TGCTTATAACACTTTCAACCCAACCCTTATTGATCAGCGCTTTCCCTTTGAATTGTAAATGTCTGTTACCCCATATAATTTCGTTTCTTATGTCTGCAAAACTTTGAGGATCTTTTTTCGAGCCTCCACCTAATTTCAGTTGTTGATAAAAGTCAGTCACACTAGTTTTCAAATTCGGTATCTTTTCAATATTTTTCATATTCATTTTGAAAATTAACCAGTTGGATCCATAATTACTGAAGATTTTTTTAGGAATCAGTTTCCAATTTGCCTCAGATCCGTCTGTTAGTCTTTTCACACATCTCATTCTAATAATGTCGATATGTGACTCTAAGTCTCGTAACTGAAGCTCTCCCTGTTCGTATTTTCCTATTACTGTTTTCCTTTTAACTTTTAAGAAATCAAAGATACTCTAATTCTTGTATCTTTTCTTTGTCTACAGCTTGCATATTTGCTATATAGGTTATTTTTGGTATCAATAGCGTTTGTATAACACCTGTTTTGCCAATTAAAGATTATTTCCTTTTCTTCCAGTTCTTCAACATTTAATCAATTGAAACGTTTTTGTTTCCCAGTTAAAATTCTTACAGACTTTTATATTAGTTCCAAAGAATATTCCTAATGATTTGATTTCCTTTTTTAATGTGATTCCTTCGTAAGTGTTGTTCCTTCCCTTATTGCACCCTAACCACATTCCCTCTGTCTTATTTTTGTTTAATTGTAACCCAGATAATTCCCCAAACTTTTCGACAACGCTAATTGCATATTTTATATCTTTTCGTTTCAAGAACAGAGTTGTATCATTAGTCAATTGTGCTATTTTCGAACTTTTTCCGCTTATCTTAAAACCGTCAATATCCTTTTCGTTTCTTATTCTTGCTGCTAATATCTCTACTGCTATTACAAAAATCAAACAAGACAACGGACAACCCTGCCTAATTCCACGGGATATTGAATATTCTTCTGTAATCCAATTATTTTTTTTCACAAATCCTTTAATATTATTATAAAGTTTTTATCCAATTTAAAAACGAAACTCCGAAACCAAATTTTTGAAGACTTGAGTACATAGAATTGTATTCTATGGTATCAAAAGTTTTTTTAAAGTCTAAAAATAGTAAACAACTGTCAATATCAAATTTCTCGGAATAGTCAATTGTCTTGAATTTGTCTAATACTATAGCCAATGATTCTGTTTTTAATATATCCGTTTTGATCCGTGTGAATGATTTTCGGCATAACTGATTTTAATCTTGCTGCTAAAGAGTATGCGGCAATTTTATAATCAATGTTTAGTAGAGATATCAGTCTCCAATTTTCTAATTTAGCAACATTACCTTTTTTATAAATCAGAGAAACTAGTCCAATGAATTAAATACTAAATTCTTTATTAGTTTCCAAAAACGTCTGATAAAATTATAAGGTAAATCCGTCTGTACCTTTTAAAACTTCATTGGAATCGCCTCCAACAATAATCATTCCAGTGCTTTTTTTCTTTTATATCATTCAACGCGGATTTAAAAAAACCGTTCCTCTCATTTTGATTATTTGGAGCGTAAATATTAGCAATACTTAGAATTTTGTTTTCTATTTCAATATCTAATAAGACCAATCTACCGTCATCCTTATTTAGTTGATTTAGTATATTTTGTGTAAAATGTGTTTCCTGTAACAGACAAATGTAAACGTTTGTTGTTTCATCCATTGATATAGACGAAGTGCCTTTCCTTATCCCTAAGTCATTGGGCATTTAAGGAAAGAATATGTACTATATCTTTATTTTGCACGTTTGTTTATGGTTCATACTTGTCTGTGTTTTTTATTTTCTTTGTCTGACGGGGACGGGGGTGTTCGCGATTTCGATTGACTCCTGTGACGATTTTTTCGGAGTATCAAAACCGCGGTTTCCCACCTTGATGAATTTGTCTAATGTTTAAGTCTGCTGTTTGTCTTCATTTCCTCCTCTTTTTCATTTTGCCTTCGTACTTTCCTCTTCCTTCTAGTGTTGATTGCACCCGTCTTTGCCTCTGCTCCTTCCTCATTTGGTGTTTCTTCGTTCTGTGAATCTTCTTCGTTCTGTGAATCTTCCTTCTGTGTTTCCTCTTCCGTGCCACTGCTAGCATGTTCCGTGTTCTGTATTTTTGTGCACTCTTGCCTTTTATGTCCATACTCTTTACAATATAGACATTTCCAGTCATTGGTACATTCTGATTGTTCATGACCTTCTTCAAAGCACTTTTTACATTTTTTCATTTTGTTGCTCATTGTGTTGTCCCCTCGGATGACCATAGTGCCAAATAGACCCATAGTACCTTCCCATGGGCATTGTCTTGGGCAAATCTTTTTCGAGATTTTTTCGTAAAAACTATTCTGTCTGCTGTGTAACAATTATTACACGATCATCTACCGACAACGGAATGTTGGATACTTTTATCCTAGTTGTATAATCAGGGTCATGTTTCGGTTGCTTTGGATTTTCAGGTACCAGGAATACGTGTTTACCCCTAACGGTCACCAGCGTATTTCAGCTCTAATCACATTTCCCAAACTCCTGTACACCTCTATATGGTTAAGCCATTATTTATTGACAGCATTGTAGCCAAAACATCAGACTCTTTTAGAAACACAGGTTTTGCTGAACCATAGCCACACGGATATTGTATTTCATTTGACTGCATTATTTCATTCGGTATTGTATCGGAATTGACCTTTCGTGAACTTACCATTCATAACCTCTTCCTAGGTACCCGCTCGAGCAGTGTGAGCAGTGTTGTCACGCTCCGGTGATTGTCCGCTTACCTGCACATGCCCGGTTTGGGTCAATATGTCGCTCAGTGCAGACAATATCTTGTTTACATCAGTTGTATTGGAATACATATCTACTCAGTTAGGAATACTACCGTTAATTTGATTACACAAATTTGATACTAAAGCAGTTAACAATTCAGTTATGCAAAAATTACCTACATTACTCAGGCGTAATCGTTGATATTTCACAAATTTTCTCGGAGCAAAATTCGACGACTTCCCTTGGGTAGCGGCAGATAACTCTCTCTACCCAGAGAGAATTATCTGCCGCTACCTAGAGAGAGTTATTTATTTATTACTTAATACTTCACAATATAACTGTTCTGATAACGTATTTTCATGGTCTAAATCATTTAAGCAAATATACAGGAATAATGTAATGATAGCTCACATATAACTTTCATTTAAAAAATAATTCTTTGTTTTGCTTTGTCAAGCTTTAATTTCGTCTCGTGTATTCCAATGGGACGTCCATTATCCTTTTGTCGTTCATTTTATTTATTTTTTTTCTTCAAAATTGATGCTAGACATGATTTTGACCAATTTCGTCAGAAGCATCATTGGGTGTGGGCCGAACGAAAAGTGTGTAGGGGATGAGAAGAAATTAATGAAAAAAACTTTGAATTACTTCTAAACGATTGATGGGAATTCGTGGATTGGTCCTGGTCCGAAGCATTTTTGTACGAAGGGGAATAATCACCCCTTACTTAGGACAGATGGGCTTGAACCAAATCTGGTTTGGATAATTTTTAGGCGAAATGGAACCAACTTTGAACAAACGGTGGTCTTGTTTGTTCCCCAATTGACCGAAGGTAACGATAACTCAATTTTGTATAAATAGTGGGTTTGACCCCCATTTTGGCAAAAGGGTGGGTGCGCTTTGAAATCATGCTTTCAATGTTGGGATAAAAGTGTTTTTACTATGTTCGATCACAAGAATTGTAAATGCAGAGAGAGAACCAGTTTTGTATATATTGGTCACCTAACTTGAGGGGCAGGATCATGTAAATAAAATAGATATTTTGTAAATTTCTTATCCCTCAGTACCAATAAAGTAGTTTCAGCCGAACCAATCCAGTCGAGCGATACGGGTCACATTGTGATTTATAATAATATACCGAGATATATTGATCCCAGATATTTTTGTGTGTTTCAGTGGGATCCCGGCCACAGTTGTCACATGTCACAGTTGTCCCCTTGATTATATTTGTGCATGGTGTCGACAGAGGAGATACATCGAGTGCATTAAAAAATACTGTAACCAATGTAGGCGGCGCCTCCAATATCCCACGCCTTTCATGTCGTAGTCCATTAATTCTGGTTCAGGAATAATCACAACAAGATTGTTGAAGGAAAAGATTACAATGAAATATTCCAGTGTCTGACTTACTTCATGCTTTGACAAAATCTTATAATGCTTTAACCTTTTATGACCGGTATATTGTCGATTTTTTTCTTTTAATCACATAATCCGCATATTTTTCAGTGAATTCTTTGTGTTTATGTCACTAGCGTATTAAACCATGGCACATTTTTCATTGGGCGCGCTATTCAAAATTCTAATATAGTCATAATAAAGGCTCCGTTTGATTTTGTCTTCCTATTTTTCTGAATTATGTGACGAAAAGAGTATCAACTTTATTTTTATTTCATATGAGATTTTTAAGTTTTAATCTTTGCATTCACAAAAATAGATGCTAACACTCGTTTCAAAAAATCCAAAATGAAATGTAAACTCATCCTAAATATATTAACAGTTTGTGACATTATAACGCAAATATGATATAGAAGAATGATGAAATTTTATATTTTCTGCGTAGTAAACATTTTCGACCATGCCTTCTTCCTAACAGAATGCAAGTTATTTCATGTTAAATGATGCATGCAGTAAGACTGTGCCAACAATATTTCAGTTAATGATGGACACAGTCACTTTTTATCAATTTTCTTAATCTGTTCATATTCTATATTAGCCTCTAAACACGAGGATTGATTTTCATTCAGTTTCAGTTTAAATGTCATTGATTTTTTATATGAGTTCTAAGTATATTTGGTAACACCGTGTGGTAATAACTTTATATCACCCTGATACATATAACAATGACCTCAGCAAATTTAAGGATATGACATCGGCTGAATGAACAATGAATGTATATATTACATATATTACATAATCTAATTAAACATGTGTCAAGGATAGCAAGTCAGTCAATATTTCGATAGTGGAACCATAGGCTCTTCCATTCCATACATCACTTTTGAGTGAAAGTTGTTGGATACATTCATTCCGAACTGATGCATCGTTTGTGTTAGAACATCTGCATCATGTGTGCCATGTTCATAATGTAACAATAAATTGATGTTCTCTTTTCCAAATGTTGAGCACTTCCCGAGATGCTCCGCCATGTGAATTGACAGGATTTCTTCGGTGAAGTTGCCGTAGAGTTCAACGTTGTATCGAATTCCATTAGGTACGCTGTACCCAACAGCCAGTGAAATGCATTCTAACCCTTCTGACTTGCCGTCTTTCAAATCACTGCCCAAAATGTGACAAAATTCGTTGAAGAAGTGATCAACGTTAGTTGCCAACAGACGATACGGTACCCAGTCAACTATTATTCTTCCTTGTGGGAACAGTCTGTCCGTGTCTGTTTTGGATGACAGCAATTTCTTTAGGTCTTCCTTGGTTAGGATCCTGACTATGGTGTTATCAACGGTAGGCAGGAAAGGGAGGATATTTGACATTAGTCCTTTGTAGAACAGGATCGCCTGTACGAATTGAAAAGAATTAAAACTGTTGCTTATTTGTTTGAAACAACGGAATCAATTACTTTTCTCAGGGATAATCAATTTTTAGTTTTACTGGAGCAAATGAGAATGGCGGAAATTTTGTAAGCTCTCTTCTTGACACATGTATATTTGATATGATTTTTTCATATGTGATTATTTCATTAAATTAAATAACACACCTTCTGTAATACAAGTTCAGCTCTTCCTTCCTCTACTCTCTGTAAGAGAGTCTTGTTTCCAGATGTGTACACCGAACGTATAAGCTTAGGTTTATTTGCATTGTCCCGTGTAATGGCGTTTCTCAGATGATAGGCCAACCCTCTACCTACGTATTCTTTACGGATGCGTGCTGCACGTGCTATTAATGTTTCTCCATCATCAATGAGAGAAACGCATTCAAACCCTACCTATAAAGAAAACAATAATAAATCATTGGTAAGTAAATATTAATCGTAGCATAAACTGATGCTTGTTTGATGTGAAAAACTTACAGTGCCAAATTGTAGAAAGTTTGGAAAAATCAAAAGCTGGATTTGGATCTTCCAAATGGGAATTAACTAAACTTTTCCACTGGTTCAATAGTAAAATCAGACTGACGTTGTATTTTATCAGAAGTTTTGACATACATGCACCTGATTGACTGATTAATTGTTGCTATGTGTTACTAACCATAATCTTATTCACGAATACGCCATACCCAGTGTGATTGGTCATGATTGTCCGGTATAGGGCAGGTAGGTAGTCCAGCCCATCATAGACGTCCGTCCGGATAGCCATAACAGAATCATAGTCTTCAATACCAACCTTTCTACATTCTATACAATCCATGGTATTCCTCGATGTAACTCGTGCCTAGCAAAAAAAAAATAGTTATAACATCGGTAGGAGGGTCAGACTATGATGTACTTTTCCGAAATTATTGATCATCACCATGAAATAAAGATGTTTATAACACGGAGACAATTCTGAACTGTCCTAACATGGCTTGAAAATAAAGAAGTGAAATAAAAAATGTTTCAACTTGAAAAAAGAAATCAGACCAGTCTTTTAATCCTATCAAAATTTTAACAACAATTAATGTGGATGAAATGTTGGCCCTAAGTTTACTGATGTTACAATGAATATTAAAAAGCGTTAACATCTACCAGTCAAATATGAGCTGATAGTACGTTTACAAATAGTTATCAGTAGACATGTTTGTGTATATAGGTATCCATGCTCAGGTATAGACACATTCTTGTTATCACAGTGGTCAGGATAACTTATATCTATTGGAAAGCTAGACGAATATCAATATTCGTTGTAATTTTTATAGCCGATTTTGAAAGAAGATTCCCACATCATCCCTCTAGATCTACCAAAATGTTTTAAAAAATTCAACAAGGTCATAATTAACGTATTTACGTAATGGAGATACGTCGAATATGGTTCAATATCAAAATATAAACTCGATATTTACATATTAATGTTTACAAGAAATAAACAGCACGTAAATACAATAGCCATACAATATCCTTCAAAATTCTACAACTGTACATATTCAAAAGAAAACAAAAGGTCTTACCTTTCACAGAAGTGATCCGAGACAGTTATAAAGTAAGGCAGGGTCTTTTACCAGGTTATGCATGTACTAGATAGTCCAGACAATCTTTTCCCACAATGCATTAAACAAAATGGCAAAATGGATTAGTAGCATACAGATTGCATTGGGTGTTTTATTTGCCTTACGGAGGAAATAATTTCACTTAAGTGAAAATAGTTTAGCATTTTGTCTATACAAAACATATTTTACTTTCGAGAAATACTTTTTGTCTTAAGGGAAGTAAACAGTAAACTTAATTTGAATTTTGTTTGATGTCACTTAAGCGAAAAACAATTTACTAGATTTTTTTTCTACGAGGAAAGAAAAGAAACAAACTGACGAATCAGAGAGCAACATTCGTTATGACAAATTCAGGTTATTATCTTAGCAGAGTGCTGCTTTTAACAACAATTAATATGGACAAAACTTATTGATAGTACGATTAATATAAACAAATAAGGTTTAACACAAGGTTAATATTTACCAGTCAATTATGAACTGATAACTGGTATGTTTTTGAAACATATTCAGTTACCAGTAAACATGCATGTGTATATTGGTATGCATAGACACGTTTAGTCAAACCCTTGTTAACACAGTGGAGAGGATAATAATGGTCACCCTATTCACGGTTTGTGTCTCGAGCCACACGACTCTCAGTTAAATTCATAATCATGTTCATATTCATACTCGCTGTTTATAGGCGATATAGAAAATAGACCTACATCCCCGCAGGTCAATCACTCTTTAAAGAATATTTTGTACTTTAAGACACCACCACTCTCGATGATGCCATTGATGATCCAGTGCCTTCAGATTGTTTACCCAAGACAGTCTACAAGTTCAAATACACAGGTGAACAAATTATACATCAACGAAGCTCTCACTAAAGCTAGATCAATGCAAAAGAAATTCATTTAGATGATTAAAACGGCACTATTCTACCCCGATTTCGCCCGATCGGTCTTGCACGGCACAGTACTTTTGCGAGAAAAATGCAATATATTGGCCGTTTGACCCTGATAAAAGCGTAAGAAGGTAGACACTATTACATATATCTGAGGTACACGAACCTTCTTTTTATAGTCATATTTACAGATAATGAGGTTATATACGTTTTTGAACACGTGCCTTATCATCTCTTGCAAACCCTTATACTATTATTTGGTATTGATGATGATTGTGTAATATAAAGTTTAAATACTTACCGAACATTCAATTGATTTTGTGTTGACATTGCATCGCAGATTATGTGATGTGATAAACTGGGTAAGCGTGTAAGGGAATTCCCATATAATTTATACGAGGTCAGATTGTACTAAAGACACACAAGAGAAAAACATATCTATAAAATCAATGTAAATATAGGCAAATGCTGAATAACTGAATCATACAGAACTTCGTTTTTAAGTGCCAGACCCTGCCTACATCTGAAGACACTTCCACTTTCGATTTGCATATACTTATTATTACATGGAAAAGTAAAATTATTTTAAAGAAATTTGGATATGTTCCTCTATTAAACTTCTATTAGTATTTAGTTTGACATTTCCGCTTTCGATTTGCACAATAAGGGACCTAAAGGAACCTATACATGAAATTTGAGAAAGATCTAGAGAAAAGTTTTCAAGAAATAGTGATAACAAACTTTCATAGTCAAAATTCAAGATGGCCACCTATCGGCCATTTTGTTTTTCTGATCAGTCCCAAAATTAGATTATGCACAATTAGGAACCAAAAGAAACATATATAAATATGTATAGTACATACATTTTTCTACTTAACTGACACACATATATTCCTTACCAAAACATATATATAGATATCTAGATTTTTAAACACGCTAAGTACAAGTTAAAGTACATTAATGAATAAATAACATTAATCTGACCCATGTCAGTAATATAAAAAGTACATATCTGACATAATTAGGACATGTCCTAATTATCATCGAATTAATGAATCAAAACAAATAGCATACTGCCATACACTCCCGCTGTTGAAAAAAATGACCCCCTTGTCATTTACTGCTGACAACGGCTAGAACTGCTGTCTTCCCACACTCCGGCATGTCCTCCAATGCACAAGTAAGAGCAAAGTCAGCAATGAATTGTGCAGGTAGTAGCCAATCTGAACTTTGATAACAATTTCTGGGGAGTTGCAACATATCTAAGACATAATCACCAAACATTTGCCATTTTCTTTCTTATTCAGGTTGATTTCCTAGGTACAGGAACTGGTCCTACTTGATACCTCTCCTTGGCATCATTTCCTACCTGATCACCTTCACAAGGCGTTGTAGGATCATCCTGAGAAGCAGGGATGTTCATACCCTCCATGAACGATTGGTCGTCACCAATATCCCAATCTTCTTCTGTCTCCGCATCCTCATCTAGATCGTCATCTGTGAGTTAGGGGACAACAATATTCTCCATAGTTACAGCTGTGTCTTTGGTACTGGTTGGGGCATTCGTAACTAGCAGCCAGAACAAAATATGAATCTTCAGAATCTAAACCACTTTCATTGCTGCAAGCTTCATCCTCAGTCACATTAACACATGACTTTCCAGCCATGGTCTTAACTTTAGTCTTGCAAATATTGTCCATTTCTGCTGGTGGAACGCTGGAAAAGTTCCTATGAAAAGTACGGATTCTTCTTTCTCCAATTTCCTTCTTTACCTTTAAAACAGGAATATCCTTGTTGGGTTGTTCAAGACCTATGTGCGCATCCTGTTCCTATTTATCAGAAAGTTTGTGACAACCATCGTGCACCAAACTTTTCACAAATACTCTGTCACCTGTCTGGACTGAAGATCCTCTAACACGAGTATCGTAATTCTTCTTTTGGCAATCCTTAGAATGACTAGATGTTTTTGCTGCACACTTATATGGTGACCTTAATCAACACACTGTGAATAGCTTGTACCTTTCTCTCTCTGGGATCTACTGATTCCAAGCACTAGATCATGTGGCAATCCTGAATGTCTCCCATTAATAAGAAAGAATGGTATATGTCCAGTGCTCTCATGACGATTACAAATATAGGCATGCACTGAAGGTCCAATGTGTTTCTTACAATCGACTTTTTCACTTGGTTCCGATGTTCCTATCATATCTAATAGCGTACGATTGAATCGTTCGCATAAACCATTTCCCATGGGGTGATATGGTGTCGTACGATATTTCCTTATCCTGCAGTTGCACATTTCTCTTAGATAACTCTTCCAACAAAATTGGAATCTTGGTCCGCATGAAGTTGCAAAGGAAAGTCATAAAATGCACAAAAAATTGTTAAGCAAAATGTCTGCTGTTGTGTCTCGAGTCGGGTATGTTTGTGCATATCTAGCAAAATGGTCATTTAGCACAGGTACATGTTGAAATCCTCCTTCCGATGCTTCTAGAGTTAAAAAAAGTCCACGCAAATGACTACCAAAGGCTGCGTTGACACTACAGGTACCATTAGTCGAGGGCAATGCTTTATCCTTCACAGACCCTTCTGTGTATACAGGCTGTTACTCACAAATAATAGTCCTAACATCGCATTCCTTGTAGTTACATTGGCAATAGTTACAGGAATATACCCACATCCCTTAAAGTCATAATGGAATAGCCCTGTAGTGATACCTAAATCTGAATAAAGTCCTGAAGAAGCAGTAGACTGTAGTAAGGCACAAGTAGGAATAGTCCACTTTCTAGACAGTGTAATCCTTGGATGGTCACCTTAGAATTAGACAGAATACTTACATGTACAACACCTTTTTCAGTACTCTTAACGATGCCGAGACATCAATTCTTCTGAGCAAGTTACACATCTGCCATATATCAAGGCACAACAAAGTCAATCATTCTCTCACAGAAGTCTTCCTTCCACGACTTAAATGAGTAAAAACACAGATTTATTGTAATTGCTGTCTGACACAACAATAAATAAACCACATATTTCCTTTTACAAGGTAAATAGTTCACTGTAGCTTCAATATATCCTAGGTTAGGTAGTGATGTTCCACCAGCAGATTTAATGTCCAACAACTCTGTTAATAGGTTAATTGGATTACGTGACAAGTTACTGAAATAAAACGCTTCACTTACAGACTGTAGAGCCAGTATCCAGTAATGTAGAAACTTGTAGTCACTCAACTGAAATAATCGGCTCGTTACCTTATTCTTCTAACCCGGTAGTTACTGTCGATTTCTGAACTGATGCTTGTGAAAACAGTCTGGGTCTGAGCTTCCAACTTGTGATTGACCCTTCTTCATAGGCTGTTTGGCGTTTAAAACTTCCTTCGAGTGGTCGATGATGACACGACATCCAATACGCAGGTGTCCTTGCTGACTGCAACGACGACAAATGAGGTCCTCATCTTTCTTTCTATTCTGCCTAACAGGCCTGCAAGTGTTCTAGTAGTTACTGGATGAATTATTCCATGCATAACGTCCATCTTTATTACTAGTTTGTGATTGATGACGGTTTTGTCGACTTTCTAATTTTGCAACATCAGCTAATTCAGATTTTACTGCAGCTGCTACCTTCTGTCTCTTCTCACCAGGAACTGTATGGTTATGTTCTGTCTAATAGCAACACGAAGTTGATCGAAACTATTTCATGAGAAAGTATTCAAACAAGTAATTAATAATAATTTTTCACACAATGTTTCAAAGCAATTCTTGATATACATATACAAACTACACGAACTGTCCAAACAATGTAGGTAATATAACACAAATCGGGAAATTGTCATACCTGAATGTTCGAAAACCTGAGTCACCGAGCCACTGGACAAGTACAAATTTGTCTGAATGAATGATTAATTCACTCTTTCTATAAAGATGATGCAGGAACATGGTCATTTTTTCCAAGCTCTATATGAATATTATCAAGCATATCACTCTGATTAAATCAATTGTATAAAACACAATAACAGCAAAAAGCAAACCATACTATTACAATATTCCAATAATTTAATATGCAGGATGAACGCAAATTACCGACTTGAAGCAGTGACTTAGGTATACAGTCCATGCTGGAAGTATGAAGATAAATACTGATAAATGATTATTTTGTCTGGAATGTGTTTTGTCGCGATTCACATTCGCTTTATAATGTCACAATAGGCAGACGTCAGTTTCGACAGTTATCTATCATATATGTTGGAATGTTGGAATCTTTGTACCGATGTTAACATATTTAGAAACATAGGATTATTTTCAGGCGGAACCAAGATGGTGCCTCGGGTTGGAAAGTAAACAAATGCAGTTGGAACTTCGTAGAATCTGTCAATAATCCTGTGTTTCTACTTAAGTTAACATCAGTACAAATAGCCCTTTTACAGCAGTATTTTTTAGCCAAATAAAGGTTGATGATGATTAAATGTAAATCAAAGGGAACCAACTTTAATGGCACAAAGCAATGTATTGGTGAATGGTCTCGAAGGGTGAACAAATCGTTAGGCCGACCTCTATGGGAAATTAGCATTGCTGGAAACCCCACCTTTGTTTGTGTATATACGTGCATATATTCAAACATAAAAGTTGAATTTTCAGTGTCCGGTGAAACATATTAGAATAACTTGAAACAACACGTCGAAATATCTTATATACACACATTTTGATGTATATATGTATATACATAATATTGTACTGTGAATACATTATGGACCGTATTCTACTTTGGTGTGTGCTTAGATTTTTAAGTTTCCATATTGTATGTGATATCAATAAGCATTTGTAATATGTGCTTGTATGTATCTGTCTATGTGAACGGAATATTAACGGAGAATAAAAATGTTGATTTTTTTACGAAAATCTCTCCTTCTATTCATTTTGCTCAGAAAGCTTGAGGTGGGATAAGGGTTTATCTCCCTTACTCCACTCAATGTACGTGTGATGATATTCTTCACGGCTGACAAAAAATTGTATTTTGAAAAGAAATAACTATCATTGCCTAAAGCTTAAAATGACTCTGAACTTCGCTGAATTTAAACAAATTCACTAAACCTCAGCTTCCTTTGGCTTGCCAAGGATTTCAAGGCTGTCAAGGACGTCAAGTATGTCAAGGAGGTCAAGGACGTCATTGATGCCAAGGACCTCACGGACGTCAAGGATGTCAAGTATGTCAAGGCCATCAAGGATGTCAAGGACCTCACGGACGTCAAGGATGTCAAGTATGTCAAGGCCGTCAAGGATGTCAAGGACCTCACGGACGTCAAGGATGTCAAGGACGACACGGACGTCAAAGACGTCAAGGATGTCAAGGACCTCACGGACGTCAAGGATGTCAAGGACGACACGGACGTCAAAGACGTCAAGTGTGTCAAGGACGTCAAAGATGTCAAGGACCTCAAGGATGTCAAGGACGTCAATAATGTCAAGGATGTCAAGGACATGAACTCAAGTTTAATATTTTCGTACGAGATCAACCAAACATGGCCAATTTCATGGTCATGTAAATCGTGAATAGCGATGAGACGGAGTGGACTTTGGTAGTATTTGATTAATTAACCACACTCTTACCATAGGGGGGGAGGGGGGGGGGCGAAGTATGTAGTGATAGAAAATGTTTATCGTACCTTACCGCTTAACAAGAGTCGATATTTTATACCATATGGGTCCACACACATAAAACACTGACTAATGAGTATAGGTAAGGAACAGTTGTATGCCATGCAAAAATATACTCTGCTCTTAGACTAAGCGTTGTACATGTATGTAATAATTTTATTTTAACCTGGTAAAAGAAAATACAAAGTAACCTTGCTCCAAATCTAGTACACAACACTCCTTGTTTTTTTGTACCCGAAGTTTGCTGGAAACCCGAAACACGTTTAATTTCATGATAGTATGGCGTTCTATGAAAGCGTCCAAGAATTATGGAGAGAGTGCAGCTACATTTTTATTTGGGATTTTCCAGGATATTTAAAAAAATTCCCTTACTTTTTTATCGATGATAGACTCCACCTGACCACCGAGGGGTAAGTATACAGATATCATTTTAAGGACTTCATTGAAATGTGGTTACATTACCTAGACCTCGTCTTCACTTTTGACTTTTTCCCTAAACACTACAACTAAATATCGAAATAATAGTTTGATACAGTATGGGACTATCATCACGTCTATTTGACCTTTCACCTCCAATTGAAAATGCGATTCGTCACGTGCGACCCCTGGTTGACCTTTGACCTTGACCCAAATAATAATATCTAAACGAACGAAATACGGATTTCTGGAGAATATCTCAATACTTTTTCATGTAAGGATATTAAAAAAGGGATGTGGGACAATCCAGGAAGTCGACCTTTTTATTATCATTCATTCGTTCATGTTTTAGCTTATATTAGAGTTGTCAATATTTTCGCCAATCAAAAACTATTTCCCCGCCTACTGAACGCATGCACTTTTCGTGTTTAATCATCTCGCTGAAAACCGACAGACTTGTGTTATAAAAAACATTTTCATAGGCAGGTATATGTGATCAGTTAACATGAAACCACACTTACAAAACAAGGTCTCACAGAGGCATTTTAGTGCCCACCATTGTTTGATCTAATTGTTTTCCATTTTTTGCTCTTATTTTCTCTTAATCATATAAAATTTTATTCTTCTCATGAATCAGTGAAGTTAACCTTTAACTATTATTTATGTTTTTTAAAGTTATAGTCAGAGACCAAGGGAGTATTCAAAAGAAATTTGGGAAAGACCCAACTAGCATTTTCAATGGCAAAATCCAAGATGGTCGATTGTCAGTCATTTTTTCTCATCAGTCCCAAAATCAAAAGAGCACAGCTCGGGGCCTAATGTGGACAACTTATGAAAATTGAGAAAGAACCACCAAGTCCTTCTCAAGAAATTGTCATAACGAACTGTCTTAATCAAATCCAGGGTGACTACCTGTCAGCCATTTTTTTTGTTCTGATCAGTCTCAAACTCAAACATATAAGGGCACAACTTTCCAACGAAATTTGAAAATAAGATCCATCCAGTGATCCTCAAGAGAAAGTTGTAACAAGCATTGACAGACGACGGCTGGATAGACCACGAACGCAGGGCATTTGAACACCATCTGAAAATGGTTTTGTCCTTGGAATTGGGTGTCTGCCATATTTAAAATCAGTCACAGTTTCATTGAAATACAGCCAAAATAATATCTACACGTATGTTTTTGTTTCTAATTAAAAAAATATATCTTGCTTTTACACGACTTATACAAAGACTGTTGTGAGAGTGGATATTTACAGAATGGGAACTGGGTCTATAAGTGCTTTTTGCAACAAGCAACTCTAACTCATGACAAACTAACATGTAGTGGTCTTAATGAGATTGTGACGCATCGTTTGATAAACACGGGGTTCATGATTTGACCTTTAAACACTAATTAGTTGTCGAATCACATACTTGTACGACTGACTAAGCATTTGAAATGGTCAACTTTTAATCAGATAACCGTTCCAAAATGATATGAACACTAAAATCGCTGGCAATTTAAAACGATATCTTCCGAAATCTTACCCGTCCAGCATACATGAAATATACACATAATCGACACGCGTGTTTGGTTGCGTGTTTTGTTTTAATCATCACGTGGTCCTTTTTATAATCTTCCTGATAGCTAGAATTATTTCGATCAGTAGTTTTGCGATCTCTCTCGAATCGAACACCATGGCCTAGCAAAATGTTCGGCAAGTTTTAAATGCTTTCTTCGACAAGCACAAGGATACCGCTATTTGAATTCCATCTGGATATTTTTTTTCTTGTGTAATAACGATGAAAACCGGTAATTAGTGATTTAGAGGGTACATTCATCTTGACTGATTTTCTCCAGAAGATTTCAAGATGTCAGGACTAACGGACAAACAAGAAGACACTCTAAGTATTGGAGACGCAGTTTGTCTGTACACTACCGAGAGCTATGGGTTTATGTACTCCCGACAAACAAGGTCAGTAAGAAAACTACAGGATAAATGAATTAATAAATAAATAATAAATAAATGAATAAATAAATAAATAAATAAATAATAATAAATAGGGCAGAAAAATAATTTAATGCTATTAAGATAAGTTATTTTTGTTTGTTTCTTTTTCAGTTAATGTTGCATGCTACCTTACACATTTAACTTATTGTGTGAAAATTACCCCTATCGAAGAACCAATTCTCGTATCACCTTAAAGTAACCTTAATGTTTTCATCAATAAGCATAAATAATAAATTGTATATCTATCTTACACACGTGTGAATTTACTTACTTAATATTTAAAATAAATAAGTAATGTTGTTCATTAAATATCTATGTAAAAACAAACGGAATTCTTAAACCAACTTATTTATTTATCATTTATTGACCGTATTCCAAAGTTACGTAAGTAAGATATTCTGTAACAACTTCTCTCGTACTCCAATTTGTTAAGAGATAACGGGACGAAAGGAGACTTCAAAACAAGACGAAATGCAACATTGCCTTCGGCTGATAATATGCTAACATCATTTAAATATTTGTAAAATTCTAGGGAACGAGCAGCAGATGTAGTACATGTGCTACCTGTTTAAATGAACACTGGACTCATATCATTACAGTAATGGTAAATGCAAGCTTTTGCTGAAACTAACTGATGAGTTCTAGAAGGGCGAAAAACAAAATTCTTTAACTTTCCTGTGTATAGCTTATTGCAAAGTCACGTAAGTTAAGAAAATTTCGTTTGTAAAAAATACGTGTGGTAAGAAATCTGTTTTCATGGATATTGCAAGACCGGAATTCAAGTTTTCTTTGATCTTTGAACATTAATATACAACAATTAAGCGATAATTTTGTCCTTTAAGATAGTAAATGATATAAGGGAAAGTAACCCAATTCCGGATGCTTGCTTTCTTCTTTTATTATTAGAACGTATAAAAATTCCGGATTAAAGTTGGCCGGCACCTGTTTTGAACCATAGTCTAAATCGAAGAAATACGAACTAAGATCGACTGATCCCAACTATTCGAAATACAGTGCTAAGTAGTCATCTATAGTTCAACTATATTACTACATGTATGATGATTGGAACAACATGCAAAACCTACAGTTTCCTTTTAAATCATTCAGTCTTTATCGATAGATTATATAGCTTCATTTTTAAGTTGATAAAGAGAATCACACTATGTGCAAAAGATTGATTTATCAGAAGTGTAAAAAAATGCATTGAAGCTGATTCTTATATGAAAGCTGGATTTTTGACAGGCCGTAATACAATACCTTCATTTCAGCTTCATTAATCCAGGGACGCATATTATAATTACATAGGGCATTGATAAAAGTGTATTGGGAAGGAATAATGAAAAATGGGGTTCGAACTAGCGACTCTAAAGGGAAATTCCCACTAACTGAGGGCAGTAAGCGACATGTACTCTCAACTTCTACACTACTCCCTCATTCACAAAATCTTTTACCCGGAAGACAACAACACCATGGATCAAATCTGTAATAGGAAGGAATAATGATAAATACCCAGCCATTGCAGGGGTTCGAACTAGTGGCCCTTTGGTCTCTAGCCGGACCCTCTACTGCTCAACTAAAGGGAAATTCCCACTAGCTGAGGTTTGTTAAAGTGACCTGTGCTCACAACTTCTGCATGAGTATGAAAATTAAATCTTACAAATATTACTATAAAAATCCCAATTTCCTTCAGGTTATGACATTATTTCCCAAAATGGTTCATGACAAGCTTATTTTTTTGCCTTTCAGCTCCATTTTTAACCAGCTGGCTGTTGGAGTGCGCCAAGACAAAATTCGACCAGACATACAGAATCAGCATAGTATGTGATATTTTGATATTCATTTTATTGTTTAAACACAATGACATATAGATATTGTATCACATTTCACAAGAACCATTGCTACACTGTTTCTGTCACAAAATTAAATCTTTGCTAAATATTGGAAATGTAATATGGAAATGTATGAACTGAACATGGCAGAATTAAGATATTAGATAGCTGTATTAAACCTGAAGTAATATTTAAACCAGTGTAGTATGATGAAGTGAAGCCCATGGTAAAGAGAACCGTGGCTCATTTCACCATAATAGTGAAATGAAGCTCCTCATGGCAAAGTGAAGCCACTATATATTTTGTTTTCAATTGCTGTTTCTTTACTTAATTTTTTATCAGTATACTTCATTATGTTTCCCAATACATAATAAAACAAGAAAAAAACCAGGGTTTTATATATAGGAGGACATCCATCATTTTTGATTTCTCAATTTCAATCTTGAAAATTATTTTCATGACAAATTAAGAATGATGTAGGGTAATTCTGTGCATTTAGTGTAATGGATCCATTTCATTTTCATGCCCAAGACCATGAAGTGACCATTCTGCCTTGATGGTGGTTCTGCTCATTGTCTCTTTATATTGACAGATGTAGAACTTTAATCTGGTGTTTAGACTAGTTTTATAATGATGAATACTGCTTTAGTCAAGTTCTGATGTGTTTATGGTCAATATATTTATTCCAGAGTTACAGCCATTTAACTTTCAAGAATTTTAATTAAAATTTAGAAAAACAATTGGAAGACAAAGGTATTTATTGGAGACCTCTGCCTAACTCCCATGGGAATTCATAAATAAAAAGATACTGACAGAACTTCAATTTCACTTTGTGAGTCATAAGTACACCTCTTCACAAAGCAATGAATACTGGAAAGTCACACACTTGAACACTTTGTAGATAGAGAAGTCCCTATATTTTCCTTTTTTAAGTTCTTAGTTCACTTTTTTTGGTATTAAAATAAAATTGCTGATTATGTTTGACCAATTTAAACAAAATTTCTTCAGATTAAAAATAAAATGTATGAATGATCATATAGTTAAATGGTTCTTGCTTGATTTTTCAAGATTAAAATGTATTTCAAAATTTCTCTTGTGCACAGTGCTAGGTAGTAAACATGATATAACTTCATTGTTATTAATTATAATGCCACTTTCATTTTCAAAATCCATGTTTAATTCACCTCGATGCACACTTTTTGGATTTGTCATGAAAAAATTAAAGATTTACTATGACTGGTGTAGGAAAAGTGAATTGTTTTGAGAGCAAAATATATTTTTCAATGATGTGAAATGTCCAAATGAAAAAGTTCAACATACTGACTTTTATATACAGTTAATCTATGTTTAAATAAAAATGAAGAAAACAAACTTCGACTTTTCAAATTTTATTTCAGTGATAACATTTGAGATATGTGTGGCCAATCGATACAAGCTCAACAAACAGTACAAAAAGCAAGCGGCCAAACTTGCTGAAGATCCAGAAAATCTTACACTACGGGCAAATGTGGCACAATCTAAGGTAATTTTTATTGTCTCAGAGTGAACAGTATACTGAGGCCTTTTTATGTCACTTACCTGTACTTGTGTGCCGTAGATTTACATCGCCCACATATTAGAGACATAAAACTGTTTATTGCTAGAAAACATTTCAACGTTGAAATAAAACAATTATTCAGAGCACAGGTACGAGTCACAGGGTATTTTATCCAGAGTGTTTCTGCATATAGGATGTTGCATGATTTCAATGGCATATTAGAGGATTTAAAAATCAAGCTCAAATGAAATCATTTGGTTAACCACATCTTCTACAATACATTGTTTTTGTTTGCAATTGGCACTGCCATTGTCTGAGTTCACCTGCCGCATGTATTTTTGTTGTATTCGGCAGTGACGGAAAACAGCAGTATTTTAGCATGTGTGGTCATTCAACAGAATTACTCTCTGAATTTACTTTTAAAATCACATTTAAAAATATAAGCAACTGTTGAAATCAGTGATTTTATATGTTGTACTGAATAAGTTTATTGAAGAAAATTCAAAATTCGCTGTTGTATCTGTTGAAGTTTTGAGCTACATTTCTGTGTGAAACAATTATTTTGGTGTATGTCATCAGGCAAAATTCAGTGTAACTTGAACAACATTTAATCAATCAATTTTGCAGGATAAATAGAATATGTGGTCAGTGTCTTAAAATTTAAGTTGCATTTGGACTCGAGACAGAGGCAGACCACTTTTGTCTTTCTTCACCCTTGCCAAAAACAGCTTATATATGAAGACATTGACCATGTATTCTCTATGTCTTTATGAAAATATATGTAATGAATCGGGTCATACACAGAGCCTTAGATTTGTAGCACCACCATATGTGACCAATAAAACAGACAGTTTTTTCCATTTGATTCCAATAGAGAGCTTAATTATAAAGGCTGAATGTTCTTTTTACAACAGCTTGCAGCTGAAGCTGAAACAGAGGACAATGCTATGGAACAAAAGCGACAACAGGGCAGGAAAGTCTTGTATGGCCAGATTGTACAGGTTTGTCAAAGTTTTAATTACAGAATACTATTATACAGTTGGTAATGCTAAGATCTGATTCTGCTAAATGTAATTACATGTGTTAGGGTCACGCTCATTGTGGTTTCCTAATTATCAATGGATCAGACCACATCAAATGTTTCGTCGCACTGACCAGTCAATTAATTTTTCTGTAGATTTTTTTTTTTTAATCTGATCTCCAAAAAGTACCTGCGCACTATACGCAAATATTTACGGTATGTATTTGTTAAAGACAGTTGAAATAAGATTCTGAGCAAACATTTTCACAATGAATCAATATATAGACATGCACTCCTGCTTTTACTGCTAAAATTTGGGTAGTATGAAATTTTAGTGAACAAGTACAAAATATGGGTCCTGAAAAACTACACAACTATGCAGTATATGATAGGTAATGAAACTAGATATGCAATGCTTGTTCTGTTAAGAACAATCCTTTCTTTTGTTTGGAAGAGTATATCCAAGTATGTTTAGGAGACATTTACACAAAGTAGATATATTGCTGTCAATATTCTGGATATATCAAAGTTTGTGAGATACTCTTTAACCTTCATCCTTGATACTTCAGGGGTTACGATCGCTTTCACTCTCTGCACTCCTGGAACATGTCCTCCATACTCCAGGGGTTATGTTCACTTTCACTCTTTGCAATCCTGGAACATTTCATGGCAAAATTGAAGGCACAAGTGAGGTTATGTTAATGGTCTAGAGCAGGTTCAAGGAAAAAAACTGATTAATCATACACAGATAGGCTCCTTTTAAAGATTACAAAAGAGCGACACCCAACTTTAAAGCCAGTACAACATACCATTACGGTTATGTGACCTCAAGATTCATTTGATGTACAACAAAGGATTAAACTAGTCTGGTCTTCTCCACAAGGTGTTGCACATGGGACTTTCAATTTTGCCATAATATTTTCCAGGGGTGCAGAAAGCAAAAGTGAGTATTGAGGATGTTTAACCTCTGATTTGATGTTTCAGGATATTACCATGAAAGTTTAAAGTAACACAAACATGTCATGTTATACACATGGAGATAAATATCATCCTCCTGTACACATTTGTATCTGTGCTTGCAGTTATGAAAATAGTTTAAGAAAAAGATATTTTGTTAAGTGTCTGGGATTCTAGCTATCACATGTAGATAGCAATATACCTGGTATGCCTTCCATGTGGGATGCGAGATGAAACTGGCAGTTCCTGAATTTTACATAGTGCACAGGTCAGGAAACTTATTATGTAACCAAAGGAGAGAACATAGATGCATTATTTAAGTTTTATGTTAAAGGTGGTTTTTTTTTATGCAATGTAGAGTAAATCTAACTCTGGAAAATTAATAGTTTTCTGTGAGGACAAAAAATCTCCTTGACAAATGTTTCCCCTTATGAAATATGTGACACCTGTAACTTTAGACACAATGTATGTGTGGTGTTGTAGTTATTGATCAATAGAATTAAAACACTTATCAGTCTGTGTACATTTTTTGTTGTTGTTTCAAGCATACAAGTGCCTGATCTGGAGGTCAGAAATATTCAATCGATTGTTATCTTTTAAAGGGCTATTAACAATGGACATACAGACTTGATATTGTGACAACAAGCTTTGTTATCCTACAGATCTTCTGTAGTCACATGTAACATATTCAGATATCACTTACATTGTCATCTCTCAATAAACAAAATCTTGATAAGTAACCTTACAGTATCCATCTTAACATGAGGTCCATTATGGTAAAGTTATTGAGACCTAGAGAGAGTTTTTGAAAAAAGTATCTTTGTAAATGGACTGTGTAATGTGGCTTGTACATAATGTTGACTACAGTGTCTGTCAGTCAGCTGATGAAGAAATTATGTCAGTCAGCAGGTGGAATATGATTAAGGCTGAAACATTTACAGGTGTATTTGGAACATTTAAGAAAATCCTGGTATCCATTTACAAATCAGAAAAAAAAATGTTTAAATGGAGATTTTTACTTTCCATCATTTATGAATGCTTTTAATTGATCAGAGGATGAACTAGAAAGTGATACATCTTTTGATAATCATAAATCCTGGGTTGTTTTGAGGACTGTAGCAGCACTACTGATTTCTCCACATTAACAAATAAATTGCAAGTCAATTCTAGTTCTGTAAGGTCTGTAGCAGAATTGCTGATTTCTCAACAGTAAACAAATAAATTGCAAGTCAATTTTAATTCTGTAAGGTCTGTAGCAGCACTGCTGATTTCTCAACAGTTAAACAGTAAATTGCAAGTCAATTTTAATTTTGTAAGGTCTGTAGCAGCACTGCTGATTTTCAAAAGTCAACAGATGAATTATAATTCTCAGAGGTCTGTAGCAGCACTGCTGATTTCACAACAGTTTACAGATGAATCATAATTCTCAGAGGTCTGTAGCAGCACTGCTGATTTCACAACAGTTTACAGATGAATTATAATTCTCAGAGGTCTGTATCAGCACTGCTGATTTCTCTGAAAAGAGGGTTGCTGGCTGAATGGTGTTATGTTTTATATCATTACTTCAGAGTATGCTTATGTTGAGAATTAATAATTATATTATAACCTGAAAAATCTTGAAATACTTCCAGGCTTGATCTTTGAAATTCTCTTAAGTGTACTTAGCTATAAAAATGTCAGACTTCTAGCTGTTTGATGTTATGGTATTGTCCTTAACATAATTAAATTAATTAATCAGGCCACAGTTTTTTATTTGGTTGTCTGCCAGTTGTAGGTATCTAACTATCCTGTGTGAGTTAATCAGGTGACAATACTTATACTCAGCCCAGGCAGATCTGTATGTTAGAGCCAGGAGATATGTTTTCGTCTTGTTTGATGAAACATTGACATTCATGTACCTGATCATTATGAGAAATATCACAAACTTAAAAAAGATAAATTTTTATAAAATCTTTGTTATGAATTAAAATCAAATTTTAATATTTAACAATAAATGGAGGTAGTTTCATTCACAACATACCCAAGCGTCACCTGTTAAGTTCAGTAACTTATTGGTCGACTTGTTTCGCCTCTGTGAGGCTTCATCAGGACGATGTTATGTTTCACAGTGTTCTTCTTCAGTCTAATATTTACCAGTTATAAGATTCTAGTTAGTGTCAGTTATGTGCCTGGTACTGTAACAGGATTGTATAAAAGACCAGTAAACTTGGTAACTACCTATTCACCTATCGGTAGAAATATAGGATTCAGTATCCAGTCTGTGGTAACTACATGTGTGATACAGCTAAGACTTCTGAGACTCGTCAGTGATGCCAGGATGTGGAAATCATGTTGTAGAGATAAAGAGATTGGTTCAGCTAACTGCATTATAGTCTTAAGTAATTCCCAGTAGATTAGTATTGTTTTGTGTCAGTTCTTGAAAGCCAGATATTGCGAGTTTTAGTTCCAGTGATTAGGAGAAGGTTTTCATGACTTCTCTCTAATGGCACTCATACAAACTTTATTTTCACTTGGTTATTTATGTTAGGGTTGAAAATAGATGTTAACACCCAACTGTTCCTCTATGGTAAAGTGTTAACATTATCTTATAATGAAATATACCTCAATAAGAATATAGGTCTAAGGATAATTTTGCATATCGTAAAATGTTCTGACTGTTACCTCTAGAAGATATACTTTACTTATAACAATGTGATAATGTCACTCATCAGGTATACTATAGGATATTATGGATTGTCAGAAACAGTCGTAAAATATTGGGTTGTATTGTATGGTTATAGTACATTGTATGAGACTTGTGTTAATGACTGAAGAGGCATGTACAGGTTCCTCTCGGATGATTCTATCAATGAACAATAGCCATGACCTCCTGAGACCAAATCAAGATTGTTCCACATATCGACCAATGTTAATGAAACAGACTGAAATATACCTTGTCAAGTTTTTCAGAATTTCAGTGTGTAGATGAATTTCAACGTATAGGTGAATTTCAGCGTATAGATGAATTTCAGTGTATAGATGAATTTATAGATGAATTTCAGCGTATAGGTGAATTTCAGCATATAGGTGAATTTCAGTGTATATATGAATTTCAGTGTATAGATGAATTTCAGCGTATAGATGAATTTCAGTGTGTAGATGAATTTCAGTGTATAGGTGAATTTCAGCGTATAGATGAATTTATAGATGAATTTCAGTGTATAGATGAATTTCTCGTATAGATGAATTTCAGTGTATAGATTAATTTCTCGTATAGATGAATTTCAGCATATAGGTGAATTTCAGCGTATAGGTGAATTTCAGCGTATAGATGAATTTATAGGTGAATTTCAGTGTATAGATGAATTTCAGTGTAGATGAATTTCAGTGTATAGATGAATTTCAGTCTATAGATGAATTTCAGTGTATAGATGAATTTATAGATGAATTCAGTCTATAGATGAATTTCAGTGTATAGATGAATTTCAGTGTATAGATATATAGTTGACTACTGAATCTACATCAGTGTCTTATGTCACACAACTCTAGACTTAGATTTTATTACTACTGTTTTACTTATCCCTGGTAGTGGCCAGGATTTTATTTCCAAAAGTGATTCATCTGCCATTAACACCAGTAGTATATAGGTAGTCCTATTTCTCCCATATCAAACATACATTCAGGCTTCTGTCTGCTAATATCAGTGATTAAGATCAGATGTTGAAACTTTTTTCATGGTTGTTATATGGTAAATCTTTGATATGTATTACTAGAAGAAATGAAAATACAAGGTATTTTCTGTGATGATTGTGTCTAGTTCATAGTTTGTTGGCTTCAAAGTCTGTTCAGAAATGTTGGACAAGATGTTGATGCTGTGAAGTCTGTCTGTTCTGATATATAGTTGGACAAGATATTAATACTGTGAAGTCTGTCTGTTCTGTTATGTAGTTGGACAAGATATTCATACTGTGAAGTCTTATTATGACATGTTGGACACCATATCAGAATAACAGTTATTATTTGATAGTTTACATCAGAAATAGGAATTTAGCCCTCTGTCTAATTAGACAGGGAATCACAATATGGATAAGTCATGGTATACTGAAAAATTTTCTAATTAGCAAAGTAGGTATATAGATTTATCGCCAAGCTGCTGTATTACCTTAATCTACTGGCAGGTTGGTGTCCTTGTGGCCCTAAAATATTAACCATAAATTTCCCTACTGCTCTGTCATAATATTTACATGTGTCTATGGCAGAAAACAATAGGGCAGTATCAGAGCTATTGAAGAAAAATCATGAATCTTTTGTACAACCTGGGGTGACTACATGTATCAATACAGGAGTTACTGGGCTGGAAATGTGATATTAATGGTACTTAATACAGCTGTTATGTCACTGGTACAGTTTTATGTTATAATTATAATCAACATATCTTGTGCTCTTTGTATTGTGAATCCTTTTGAAGCTTGAAAAAAAAAGCTTCCCAATGTTTTGGTCCTTGCCATAGTTTAAACCCTAAAAATGTTCACCTCTGATTTTCACCTACGATTGTGGCAGATAGTTGCAACCACTTGTTGTTATGCATGCCATCTTTTGGGTGCTATTGATGAAAAATACTTGCTTCACTGGTTAATGGCCCTAATGACCTTTTTATGTGTTGACGGGCCGTAAGACTGTAAAAGTGATAATAATGATTGTCTCTTTCAGCCAGAAAATCTTTATTTATCATGGCAGTTCTTCATTATCTCCTCGCAACGACTGCAAGGGGATAATACATTTTGTTCATAGATATGTAAATATATTTCTTTTTAGTCGTGACTCTAGCAACTTCATTTCTCAACCAATTTTTGTCAAATTTCATATATTGGTCAAGTATCACAATACCTTGAAGGAGATTGTGTTTCTGCATGCTAAAGTCAGCGTTAATGACCAATGTTACTATTTATGGAAATTTTTTTGTCATTGCTCTAGCCACTTCATTTCTCAACAGATTTTTATCAAACTTCACATGTTGGTCAAGTATCATAATACCTTAAACTAGTTGGTGTTGCTGTTAGCCAGGGTCAACGTCAAGGTCACTTACTATTTATAGCTACATGTATATATGTTACTTTATGAGGAATCTTCTTTGCACATGAGAATACAGGTATAACCCATTCATGTTTTTCTGCAATTTATCCTGTCCAGAAAATCTTCATTTATCATCATATATATTTACCCTGTTCATTTTTCCAAATGGCACTTCATATTGTTCATTAACAGTATGATATTGTTCATTTACAGTATGATATTGTCTATTTACAGTATGATATTGTCTATTTACAGTATGATATTGTATGATATTGTCTATTTACAGTATGATATTGTCTATTTACAGTATGATATTGTCTATTTACAGTATGATATTGTCTATTTACAGTATGATATTGTCTAGCATGATATTGTCTATTTACAGTATGATATTGTCTAGCATGATATTGTCTATTTAAAGTATGATATTGTCTATTTACAGTATGATATTGTCTAGCATGATATTGTCTATTTACAGTATGATATTGTCTATTTACAGTATGATATTGTCTATTTACGGTATGATATTGTCTATTTACAGTATGATATTGTCTATTTACAGTATGATATTGTCCATTTACTGTATGATATTGTCTATTTACAGTATGATATTGTCCATTTACAGTATGATATTGTATGATATTGTCTATTTACAGTATGATATTGTCTATTTACAGTATGATATTGTCTATTTACAGTATGATATTGTCCATTTACTGTATGATATTGTCTATTTACAGTATGATATTGTCTATTTACAGTATGGTATTGTCTATTTATAGTATGGTATTGTCTATTTACAGTATGGTATTGTCCATTTACAGTATGATATTGTCTATTTACAGTATGATATTGTTCATTTACTGTATGATATTGTCTATTTACAGTATGATATTGTCCATTTACAGTATGATATTGTATGATATTGTCTATTTACAGTATGATATTGTCTATTTACGGTATGATATTGTCTATTTACAGTATGATATTGTCTATTTACGGTATGATATTGTCTATTTACAGTATGATATTGTCTATTTACGGTATGATATTGTCTATTTACAGTATGATATTGTCTATTTACAGTATGATATTGTCTATTTACGGTATGATATTGTCTATTTACAGTATGGTACTGTCTATTTACAGTATGATATTGTCTATTTACAGTATGATATTGTATGATATTGTCTATTTACAGTATGATATTGTCTATTTACAGTATGGTACTGTCTATTTACAGTATGATATTGTCTATTTACAGTATGATATTGTATGATATTGTCTATTTACAGTATGATATTGTCTATTTACAGTATGATATTGTCTATTTACAGTATGATATTGTCCATTTACTGTATGATATTGTCTATTTACAGTATAATATTGTCCATTTACTGTATGATATTGTCTATTTGCAGTATGATATTGTCTATTTACAGTATGATATTGTCTATTTACAGTATGATATTGTATGATATTGTCTATTTACAGTATGATATTGTCTATTTACAGTATGATATTGTCTATTTACAGTATGATATTGTCCATTTACTGTATGATATTGTCTATTTACAGTATAATATTGTCCATTTACAGTATGATATTGTCTATTTGCAGTATGATATTGTCTATTTACAGTATGGTATTGTCTATTTACAGTATATTATTGTCTATTTACAGTATGATATTGTCCATTTACAGTATGATATTGTCTATTTACAGTATGATATTGTCTATTTACAGTATGATATTGTATGATATTGTCTATTTACAGTATGGTATTGTTCATTTACAGTATGATATTGTCTATTTACAGTATGATATTGTCTATTTACAGTATGATATTGTATGATATTGTCTATTTACAGTATGGTATTGTTCATTTACAGTATGATATTGTCTATATACAGTATGATATTGTCTATTTACAGTATGATATTGTCTATTTACAATATGGTATTGTCTATTTACAGTATGATATTGTCTATTTACAGTATGAGATTGTATGATATTGTCTATTTACAGTATGATATTGTCTATTTACAGTATGATATTGTCTATATTGTATGATATTGTCTATTTACAGTATGATATTGTATGATATTGTCTATTTACAGTATGATATTGTATGATATTGTCTATTTACAGTATGATATTGTATGATATTGTCTATTTACAGTATGGTATTGTTCATTTACAGTATGATATTGTCTATTTACAGTATGATATTGTCTATTTACAGTATGGTATTGTTCATTTACAGTATGATATTGTCTATTTACAGTATGATATTGTATGATATTGTCTATTTACAGTATGATATTGTCCATTTACAGTATGATATTGTCTATGCACAGTATGATATTGTATGATATTGTCTATGCACAGTATGATATTGTTCATTTACAGTATGATATTGTCTATTTACAGTATGGTATTGTCTATTTACAGTATGATGTTGTCTATTTACAGGATGATATTGTCTATTTACAGTATGATATTGTCCATTTACAGTATGATATTGTCTATGCACAGTATGATATTGTTCATTTACAGTATGATATTGTATGATTTTTACATATTATGTTATTACCATTGAAGAAGAATTATATAGCCAGTTGTTATCTGTCAAAGAGTTGAAAATCGCTCACCAAAACTCACAAACTGACCGGATGGTGTTGTTCAAGGGTTGCTGGTGTTGTTTTTAAATGTTTTGTCTGTTTACACTGAATGCCCTGTGTTAAGTTGATGCTAGTGTGATTTATAGACAGTTGGAAACCTATTCTTCTCAGTTGTCATGTGTTTTATAAAATTTGTTCTTTGTTTCAGTTGCGCCATGTATTCAGTGGTAAATACATCCATGTCAGTACAACCAAGACATCAGACACTGAGAGCAGCAACATGGCGGTACGTATACAGTACAGAGCTGATCATAAAGTTATCAGCTGAGACTGATCACATTGAAATGAGTAACATAATAACAAAAAATTCTTACATTAATCCAAACTTGATTGGCTATGTTTACATAGTGTGCTTCTTGTCACCTGTCCACCAACAATCTGGTCCTCCACTCATTTAGAGGAATATTTGTACATGTATTAGGAATGAATGTTCTATCGCTTCAGAATATTTCTTAGAATTACATTCTTTATTTTAACAATTCAAAACTTGAACAGGTGTTTATCATAGCGCAAAAATATTAATGACTTCAATAAATTCCGCAACTAAGTCAGATAGATAAACGTGAATAAACAAATACTGTGAGGTAAGTAAGTATTATATAACTAAATGAAATATTTATAATTTGATTGAAATTACACAGGCATACAGCTACAAAAAACAGGTCTAAATTCTACATAAAAAATACGTAAGTCACAAAAAACTCACTCTATGTTTACAACATTTTCATTTTCTTTTTTGGGCGTTTAATTCTCAGGGGAATTTTACCCGCAATCTCATAATAATAGAATATTCTAATACGATCATATGTTCCAACTTCTGTCACATCGTGAGGGTCTAGCTTACATATTCAGCTTCTCTCATATCATTGAGGGTCCAGCTATTTTGTTGAATATTCTATTTTTCTGCATTGCAGAATCTAGAAATCATTCAGGGTCTAGCTGCTTCTCTGTCTCTCTTCAATGCTGCTAATCTGGTTACTCTGAGTCACTTCAGAGTCCATTTCTTTGGTATATATAGAATTATGTTAGGACATTACATCTTGGTAAATAGAGTGAGTAGCCCCTGAAACGCCAAATCTTTTTATATCATACGTTGTAATAACTTAATAAACAGATCAGCTGTTCTTGTGGATTGTTGTTGTATATAAAATAAAAAAGAATACTTCAGTCACAAAAAACTGCTGTGGTCTATTAATTTGTCAGGCTAAATCAATATACCTGACTCACCTGTATTAAATTTAAAGTCCTGATGTTCTAATTGATGAGCCATTTAACTGAAATGTAATTCCATTGTACAGTATATATGTACACACTTTGGATTGAGATCTTTTAATATAGGTCACTTGGAACACGTTGTGATCTGTTATTGTTCAAGTATTTATCAATATCTTTGACCTGAGTGCAGCTGTGTCTTGTTGATGTATTCAATCCTTCATGTACAATTTAAACTCTCCCTATTACACTATTTATTAAATCTTTATTATACTCTTATGAAATTGCTATTATAGGATTTATCAAATACCTAATCATACTAAATATATTTTTTTTACTGTACATCTAGTATTCCTAACATACTGTTCATTCTATCTAAATTATACTAATTATCTGGTATTCCTAACATACTGTTCATTCTATCTAAATTATACTAATTATCTGGTATTCCTAACATACTGATCATTCTATCTAAATTATACTAATTATCTGATATTTCTAACATACTATTTATTCTATCTACCCGGTAAATTATACAAATTATCTAGTATTCCTAACATACTGTTCATTCTATCTAAATTATACTAATTATCTGATATTTCTAACATACTATTTATTCTATCTACCCGGTAAATTATACAAATTATCTAGTATTCCTAACATACTGTTCATTCTATCTAAATTATACTAATTATCTGATATTTCTAACATACTATTTATTCTATCTACCCGGTAAATTATACAAATTATCTAGTATTCCTAACATACTGTTCATTCTATCTAAATTATACTAATTATCTGATATTTCTAACATACTATTTATTCTATCTACCCGGTAAATTATACAAATTATCTAGTATTCCTAACATACTGTTCATTCTATCTAAATTATACTAATTATCTGATATTTCTAACATACTATTTATTCTATCTACCCGGTAAATTATACAAATTATCTAGTATTCCTAACATACTGTTCATTCTATCTAAATTATACTAATTATCTGATATTTCTAACATACTATTTATTCTATCTACCCGGTAAATTATACAAATTATCTAGTATTCCTAACATACTGTTCATTCTATCTAAATTATACTAATTATCTGATATTTCTAACATACTATTTATTCTATCTACCCGGTAAATTATACAAATTATCTAGTATTCCTAACATACTGTTCATTCTATCTAAATTATACTAATTATCTGATATTCATGACATAACATTAATTCTATCTAAATTATACTAATTATCTGGTATTTCTAACATACTATTTATTCTATCTACCCGGTAAATTATACAAATTATCTAGTATTCCTAACATACTGTTCATTCTATCTAAATTATACTAATTATCTGATATTTCTAACATACTATTTATTCTATCTACCCTGTAAATTATACAAATTATCTAGTATTCCTAACATACTGTTCATTCTATCTAAATTATACAAATTATCTAGTATTCCTAACATACTGTTCATTCTATCTAAATTATACAAATTATCTAGTATTCCTAACATACTGTTCATTCTATCTAAATTATACAAATTATCTAGTATTCCTGACATACTGTTCATTCTATCTAAAATATACAAATTATCTAGTATTCCTAACATACTGTTCATTCTATCTAAATTATACAAATTATCTAGTATTCCTAACATACTGTTCATTCTATCTAAATTATACAAATTATCTAGTATTCCTAACATACTGTTCATTCTATCTAAATTATACAAATTATCTAGTATTCCTAACATACTGTTCATTCTATCTAAATTATACTAATTATCTGATATTTCTAACATACTATTTATTCTATCTACCCGGTAAATTATACAAATTATCTAGTATTCCTAACATACTGTTCATTCTATCTAAATTATACTAATTATCTGATATTCATGACATAACATTAATTCTATCTATATTATACTAATTATCTGGTATTCCTAACATACTGTTCATTCTATCTAAATTATACAAATTATCTAGTATTCCTAACATACTGTTCATTCTATCTAAATTATACTAATTATCTGGCATTTCTAAGATACTGTTCATTCTATCTAAATTATACAAATTATCTAGTATTCCTAACATACTGTTCATTCTATCTAAATTATACAAATTATCTAGTATTCCTAACATACTGTTCATTCTATCTAAATTATACAAATTATCTAGTATTCCTAACATACTGTTCATTCTATCTAAATTATACTAATTATCTGATATTTCTAAGATACTGTTCATTCTATCTAAATTATACAAATTATCTAGTATTCCTAACATACTGTTCATTCTATCTAAATTATACAAATTATCTAGTATTCCTAACATACTGTTCATTCTATCTAAATTATACAAATTATCTAGTATTCCTAACATTCTATCTAAATTATACAAATTATCTAGTATTCCTAACATACTGTTCATTCTATCTAAATTATACAAATTATCTAGTATTCCTAACATACTGTTCATTCTATCTAAATTATACAAATTATCTAGTATTCCTAACATACTGTTCATTCTATCTAAATTATACAAATTATCTAGTATTCCTAACATACTGTTCATTCTATCTAAATTATACAAATTATCTAGTATTCCTAACATACTGTTCATTCTATCTAAATTATACAAATTATCTAGTATTCCTAACATACTGTTCATTCTATCTAAATTATACAAATTATCTAGTATTCCTAACATACTGTTCATTCTATCTAAATTATACAAATTATCTAGTATTCCTAACATACTGTTCATTCTATCTAAATTATACAAATTATCTAGTATTCCTAACATACTGTTCATTCTATCTAAATTATACAAATTATCTAGTATTCCTAACATACTGTTCATTCTATCTAAATTATACAAATTATCTAGTATTCCTAACATACTGTTCATTCTATCTAAATTATACAAATTATCTAGTATTCCTAACATACTGTTCATTCTATCTAAATTATACTAATTATCTGGCATTTCTAAGATACTGTTCATTCTATCTAAATTATACAAATTATCTAGTATTCCTAACATACTGTTCATTCTATCTAAATTATACAAATTATCTGGTATTCCTAACATACTGTTCATTCTATCTAAATTATACAAATTATCTGGTATTCCTAACATACTGTTCATTCTATCTAAATTATACTAATTATCTGGTATTCCTAACATACTGTTCATTCTATCTAAATTATACTAATTATCTGGTATTTCTAACATACTGTTCATTCTATCTAAATTATACAAATTATCTAGTATTCCTAACATACTGTTCATTCTATCTAAATTATACTAATTATCTGATATTCATGACATAACATTAATTCTATCTAAATTATACTTATTATCTGGTATTCCTAACATACTGTTCATTCTATCTAAATTATACTAATTATCTGGTATTTCTAACATACTGTTCATTCTATATAAATTATACAAATTATCTAGTATTCCTAACATACTGTTCATTCTATCTAAATTATACTAATTATCTGATATTCCTAACATACTATTCATTCTATCTAAATTATGCTATTTATCATATGCCTATGAAGCTGTTATCCTATCCTTATTATACTATTTATCAAATCCCACTGTCAGGCAAAATATAACACAGTAATGGTTATAGCCTATTGTCACACCCTTTGGATTACTATTCCCTTTAAGGTGGTAAATTTTGCAATGTAAATACTGTTTTATAATTGTTTTCATATCTATGAGGAAAAAAAAACAATGGTTAAAATTGAAGGCAGTTGCACAGAATATTAAGACTACCAGTCAACATTACTGGAGGCTCCCCCTGTGTACTGACATGATTAAGACATGACTTTATACAGCTAGTCAGAGATAACATCACAGTAGAGCAGGGTACACAAGGATCGACGGGGTACTCAGGGTACTCGGTGTATATACAGATTCTATCAAGGGGTATTTGGCACCATCAATAAAAATCATCAAGACCTCCTGACATTGGATAGATTTTTTGAGGCCAGGCAACAAAACTGTTTGTTTATCAAATTAATGAATAGCATGATAAACACAACATTGAATTGTAACTGTAAAGTTTCATATTCATACTAAAGGGACCCTCAAAATGTTCATGCTTGTTTTTTTTATTTTAAAAAAGTTTCACCTATTAGTTAGTTAGTTAAAAAACCCCTATTCTGCCAGGTACATTTAACATACACAGTTATCATTAGTACCAGGGTATTATTATAGAATTATTTTGTTTTTGTTTCTCACTTTTATATGGAGATTTTGATGTTTTGTTCTCAGGAATTTTAAAAATTGAAAATATTTATTGCAGTTACATAAAAACACTAATTAATATTGGTGAATGAATTGTTTTTGAGATCTTAAATTGTAAGTTTTGTACACTAGATTATATATCTAGCTTGATCTCAGAAGTGTGTTAATTTAGGGGTTGTAAGATATGTAGGATTTTGAACCTGTTTCTATTAGCAAAGTCAAACAAATCTTTATTGAATTTTCGTTAGCAATATATGTAAAGCTGGTTATCCATATGAATAGATTTTTGTGTGTGATACACATTTTGCTATTGTTTAAGGTATATTACCTTTCCCTATTGAAATGAGTGAATATTTTTTTTTATTTGGTTTGCCAGTACTGTTAAATACATATAATGAATATCATTTTATTTTCACCAAGATGCAAAAGAGAACATTCCAACCTCATTAATCAAGCGGCTTGATTTTTATAAATTTGTTAAATTATAAACACTGTCTGTGTATAAAGAGACAGTCAGACTATAAGACTGGTGGGTCGATCGATGGATCCTATCTGGGTGTATAGATATCATAGTTAATACATGCATGTATTCATTTCATTTGGCCTCAGGTTTGGTAACTAAAACAGTTGTACACAAACTATTCTGTTGACGGTAATAGAGTCATTGTTTTACCATCCAGGGAGAAGTTTATAAATGTAGTTAGCAATGACATTCAGTATTATCTCTGTGTACAAGTCTGGTATATCAGATATTATCATCCTTGATATCAAAACCTCATATTGTTTTCTTATCACGTGTAAAACTATAATTAATTTTTGTAATATTGATATAAATTTGTTGATTAATTTCAGTCCCCCACCTGGAACAATAGGAGGGGGAGAGGGGGAGCGGTATAGTTTTGTGTTCTGTCCATCAGTCCTTCCTTCTATCCTTCAGCTATCTTGTCTGATATACTACTTGTCCCTAAATCTTCATAATTTGGATATGAGTTAACCTTTATCATTTTGTACAAAAAGGAGTATAAGGTGAAATTGTCAGTTAAGAAGAATTTTGATATGCCAAGGTAGGGGTAATAGTTCTACTTAATTTCCCAAATTAAATGTTGACTACATTTGGAATATATAGAGTGGAACTTTTCAAACTGACCATGCATGGGACATAAATATTTGGCAAGTTTAGAGAGGGTTCAGTTTACAGACTACGATATATCAGGACTGATTCCTTTCTGTATATATAACATTAACCATTCTGATTGCCTTCAGCGTTTACACTGCACTGTCCAACTGTATTCAGAAAAAAATTGAAATTATAGAGTAAAAATATTTTGGTAAAGTGATACAAAATGTGTGACTTTACTAGAAAAAAAATCTGCACACATTGCCCTTCATTCTTGGAACTAATGTTACATATTGCCAGGCCCAGCCCCAGTTGGAAGATTGACTTGTCTGAAAAAGTTTTCATTTTGTACATTGCCATTTTGTTTAGTTTCAATTGGTGATTGGTTTTGAGAAGGATCAGTTTGGGGAAATTGCACTGTATAAGTATTTAAACAAGAAAGTACTAAACACCTACCAAATAAGTAATGGTAATCACTAAAAGTGCTGGGATTAGGACTAAGTGTTGTAAATATTTAGTAATTTGTGTCTGTCTTTGTAATGGTAATCACCAAAAGTGCTGGGATTAGGACTAAGTGTTGTAAATATTTAGTAATTTGTGTCTGTCTTTGTAATGGTAATCACCAAAAGTGCTGGGATTAGGACTCTTTGTAATGGTAATCACCAAAAGTGCTGGGATTAGGACTAAGTGTTGTAAATATTTAGTAATTTGTGGCTGTCTTTGTAATGGTAATCACTAAAAGTGCTGGGATTAGGACTAAGTGTTGTAAATATTAAGTAATTTGTGTCTGTCTTTGTAATGGTAATCACTAAAAGTGCTGGGATTAGGACTTAGTGTTGTAAATATTTAGTAATTTGTGGCTGTCTTTGTAATGGTAATCACTAAAAGTGCTGGGATTAGGACTTAGTGTTGTAAATATTAAGTAATTTGTGGCTGTCTTTGTAATGGTAATCACTAAAAGTGCTGGGATTAGGACTTAGTGTTGTAAATATTAAGTAATTTGTGGCTGTCTTTGTAATGGTAATCACTAAAAGTGCTGGGATTCCAAACCATTAGGTCTAAGTGTTGTAAATATTTAGTATTTTTGTGACTGTCTTTGTGTCTTTGTTGTGTTGAAGATATCCAAACATTTTGTGTTATTTTGAAATAAGGTATCCTAGAATTTTGCCATGTTTTAGCCATCAAGCTAAAATTCCCTTGATTGAGATTTAGACTGTATAATTGTTTCATAAACTCCATATGCCACTTAAGATATCACTCTATATTTTGCATCCATGTATATTCCAGGTTGAACTTATTCCCGTTAATGCAAAGCATGCTCAGTTCCGTATTATGCCCCGATACAAGGTCAAAGCCGAAGGTGACATGGTAAGTTGTATGAAATGAACTGTAAAGTAACGGTCAACTTTTTCTGTTTTTAAATTTTATGAAAGTATTTCTTAAGGCTATGAATGAAATATATTGTATGAAAATGAAACTTTCATACCATGGTCAGTACTGAATAATAATAATTTCTTAATTAAATCAAAATGTTTTTTTGATGGTACATCATAAGCAACAAACAATTGTAACTATTATTATGAATGAATTCATGCAGTCACATAATTTATTGGTCATGTCCTGAGTTCAGGGTATGAATAGATGACTTGGTATCCATGATCAGCTCTTGTGAATTAATATAAAGATGAATTATAAAAAACATGGGTTTAACATTATGTTTTTGAAGATGAATGCATATTATAATCAATAACCATTGCTGTATTTTCCACAGGTCCAAGTGGAAGACCAGATCATGTTTGAAAGTGTCAAGTCAGCTGGATCCTTTCTCCATTGTAGCAAATACTTTTTTCCTGGCCACTCCGTCTACTGTGATAGGTACATAAAAATGTAGATGGTAGACATTGTGAATACCATAGATTCAGAGTAAACATTCTTCTTTCCCTGGGTATCGTCTCCATTTCGCATTGAATTATACCTGTATACCATGCAGCATTAGTGTAAAAGCTTGAGATTCTTTTTGCATTTGTTTATAACTTTTAAGACATGATCTTGAGCTCTAACTTGATTTATTTAAGATCGTTATTGGCTTGTTGATAAGCAAGGACTTAGCACTGGTAAAGAATGACATAGTCTGTAATTATATTTTTATGATTAATCGACAGTCACGAGTTGAACCTGTCTGTCCAGACAACCGGGTTTGTGGTGTACCGTAAATACAAACCTATGGTAGAGGAGGAGGACAGACTCAAGGTTAGTTTAACCTAATACCCTGCCTTATACAAACACCTGTCTTAAGCACACCTTTAAAGTGGTCCCTCAAAGTATTCAGAATACTGTATTAATCAGCATAGTGTTAGCCTAACCAGATTATATCATATACAATATCAATTCTTTGTTTCTTGTGTTGGATCAGTGAAACCTTAAGATCCAAAACAAAACTTTGGATAGGGTTGAATCTTTTGACCTATTTTGACTTTGAATTGACTCTTTCAGCCCCAGCACCCTTACCTGGTAAGTGCCTTTTGGCCAGCAGCCCCCCAAATCATTGATATGGGTCAGGGTTACACATCTATAAGCTATATGCACTGATCAGGATGTCAGTGCTGCTGGGCAAGAAACAGATTGAATATATGCATGGGACCAGGAAAATGCTTACCACCATATATGAACTATCAATTACTATTTAATAAACTGAATATTTTACTGTACTAGTTATTGAAATAATTCTAAGGATACTTTCAATTTGGATTAGCTAATTAGTTGTCGTACATTATATTGAATCTAGAAAAATATGATGGAAGGATCGTCTGAAAAATCTACATGTATTATAAGTTATTATACGTTAGAAGTATGAATTATACAAAAAGCAAGAAAAAGTGTAATTTTATCCACATTATTTTTCAAACTGTCAAGAGTTTAGGCATGATCAATCATATTTACTTGAACCTGAGTACATGAGGACACCCCTTGAAATTGCTATGGTTGTAACCAAGGTGACATTCCAGGAAATTTTGTTCTTTGTATAATTGGGAACACCAAATTAGGGAGAAAATATGATACTGTGCCACAAGTTGAATGCTTAGGAAAGGATTGTAAGTAGAATGAAGCTTTCTATGGTGTATATTACACTGATAAGGTCGAAAATAATTTCTGATACACATATGAATAATTTTTTTTTTCATGACAAAGCATAACATTTCTTTCTTCCCCTGTTGATGGGCTTTCCTGTCAGTGAACAATAATAATAATAATAATAAGTCACAATTTTGACCACTTTTGAAATAGATAAAGGGTGGGGAGGTGAAAAATATATTTATATGAGTCATTTTTCCCTTTGTACTTTGATTGTTTCAGTTTATCAACAAAAGTAAACATAGAAATACAAAGATCATGGTATTTTTTAAAGTAGAGTTCCACATTTACAAACAGACTGGTTAATTTTCATATGAAGTAAAATTATACTGCCTGTAGTTATTTCTTCACACATTTGTAATACACACAAATATACAACATTATCTTTTCCAATGCGATGAAGATTTGTGACCTTGACCCATAATACATTGTCCAGGGCTTGGGGCCACATGGCGGTTTTGACTTGGGTAATAGTCAGCAGGGTGATGGTATATTCTATATTTATATATTCTATATATAGGAGTGTAATGGCGGTGATCGTATTAACATATCTTATTTACATCACTTCTAATCACTTAAGAAATAAAATCAAAGACACAACATCTCAATCATTTCTTCTTGCATATTAGAAATGTTGTTCTGATATGTAATTGTAATGAAATCCTGTAAGCCCAACATTCCATAGACATGGTGTCAAAATAAACATTGGATTGCTTATGGTATCATTTAACTTTTCTTTTCTATCAATGAAAATTATTATATGACAGTTTGTTCATTATTTTTTGTGCGCATGAAGCATTCCCTAAAAAGAAATGCCATGCCTGGAAAATTTCCTAAGTTTGTTAAAAGTAATTTTATTTAGTAATTTTACATGATAAAGATATTTTAAAGTGAAGAAGGTTAATGTAATCTGTGTCCAGTTGCTTTTATGATAATTATTGTAACAGATTGGGGAGCCTGTTCGCTTCTTCCATAAAGAGATGGAGGCATATCTTGTAGCAGAGGGATTATTTGAGGAAGAAATTCAAGAGGATGGTAAGTTGGCTCGGATTTACTGCATGCAAAGTGTTTGTCTTTTGTTTTGAATAATTCAAAGTCATTAAATAATCAGAATTACTTATAAATGTATGGTAATTGAAGGACATTTTAGATAAATGTTTTTATCAGTAATTGTTCTTTACACCAAACAGCTGTGTTTTTAGTCTGTTTAAGTAATTATGCAAAAGTATGATGAGGTATCAAATACAAGAATATAGATGACTATTTTGGTAATTCTAGTCCATTTGCGTGTACGTCCAATGGATCAGACGATTCCTAAGACCATGTTCCCTAGTACTGCCTCCATCACCTACTGGCAAATTGAGCTGCAGGAGGGACCAGTCAGAGGTACAAACACGTCTACTGTCTAAATCATATTGTGTAAAACTTTGTTTTCATATCTTTGGTTAAAGTTCATCTTTATAGAGAAAGATTAATGTATTTGTGGTCATGAAGAGACTTTTCTGATATTTGTCATGTTGTCATTTAGGTGGTATCCTGAAATGGGAGCAACCCATCAAGATTGTCCATATGTGTAGTCGGAAGTATCTCTCTGTTGATAAAACAACAAATGAACTCACTCTTACTTCTTCTCACACCGATCCTCGTGCAACCTTTAAACTATATGCTGTCTTCAAGGTAGGCATTGTGTGAAATAGAGTTAAAGTCCAAAATTCAATTAAATTTTCTTAAATTTCAAAAATGGGAAATTATTTATCTTATGTTTTGGTAAACAGAACAACTCATGTTACTAAAATATTTTTTACATCACATGGAAAACTGTCAGTTTTTTGGTGATTGTGATTAATATCAAATTATATTTGTTTACAGCATCTAGAATCCTAGCTGCTTTAGAAACATTGTTACCATAAAGATGTAATAAATAAAATTGGTTGTAGACGGAGCAGAGTGTCATGAAGGATAGCTACTGTAGGATCCAACATGTTTCCACGGGCTTCTGGCTACATGGATTTTTGGGTAATTACTCCACTGTTTTCCTGAATTCTGTCTCAATTAAAAAAATACTTTTCATGGGCACTTGATTTTATTCAATTTTATTCAGAAAAAAGAGTATATAAAATTTCTGACAATCTATTTAATTCTTGTATATATGAATTCTCTAAGAGAAATCAACAAAGATAAAAGTCTATATTGATAATTTTACAGTAATCTGTTACATGTGTTGTAGATAAGTACAGGAGTCGACAGCAATCAGATTCCTCTGACAATGGATCTATGACAGCCCATAAATGGAGTACAGCCGAACTCAGAAAGGTTTTCTTATTCTCACTGATAGGCAAATAACAGTACAATTAAGGAGTAAAGTTTGGTTTCGTTTATGAGATAATCAAATGAAGTACGAGGCAAATTGTGTATAGATTCATACAAGACTATTTACAAGAAATGTTTCAGTTGTATATTCTGAAAGTATGGAAATTGAAATGTCTTGAAACTTGCATGTTTAGAATCAAAATCATCCTCCACAGAAAAAGTTGTTTTTATATATGGCAGATATTTGTGATTTTGAATATTTATTTTAAATATCTGAGTTTCACTAATTATTGTTGCAAACAATTGTTTATGGTAGGTTGGGGTGATTGAGGAGAAACAGTATGATGATGCCTTCACCCTTCAAATAGTGGAGCCAGAACTCCTGGAAATATTCAACGGCATGTCGGGAATGGTCCCTTTCCTACAGAAACTTGTTAAAGACGTAAGTTGTACCCTCACTTTATCAGCTGTTAAATGTTTTGTTATATACCTATCAACACTTCTCATTAAAGTGGTTGATGGTCTAATGAATGCTTTACAATGTTAAAAGATACAATTATCATTGGAATAATTCACTTGATGAACACTTTTCTCCTCGTTCATTGTAGAAAAAGCAGGGAATTGTCCTGAATGCCAAGATGGCTCATGATGCAGTTACGGTAAGTATATTGTCATTCTCATTTGTCATATATAGGTGCATAGCAGTTGTAATTTTGTCCTTTTGAAAAGGTCCAACTTTTAAAATAACCAAAGAAAGTGATTGTAGAGAATTTGAAGAAGTCCACAGAAAAATGCTAAGTCTGTACTTTTTAGTAACATTGTCCAAGATTAGAAATCTTATCATTTCTGTTGTGCTGTATGTCATGTATTCTGATTTATCAGGCTCTTCAAGAAATGCGAGGTTACATGTTTGAGCTCGGTGAGACCACCAAACAAAGGCAGAAACTACTGCGTAATTTACAGGTAAGTATCTATAAGCATTGTGTGGTGATCTGATCCTTGAATGAGAAACATTTATTGCATAAGAATATTTTCAACTGTTGTATTTTGTACTGAAATACAGGTATGTCTTTTCTCCTCAGGAAATTCTTCTTACCTCTAAATTGCTGTGTATTTTTCTTTTTTTGAATAAAAATGTCTGAATGTACAACTAGTATGTTAATTTCTGCTCAAAAATGTGATAATTTATTAAATTTGAAACTTATTTATTTTCTTTACAGATCGTGGAAGTTCTAGTTCAACTTCTGCAGATCCCATTCAGAGGATGTGATGACCAGCAGTAAGTTTTAACCATACAGAATTATCATAATCATTTAAATTTACAGAATTATCAACAGAATTATCATAGCATTTGTCAGTAAACTCGTCATGCTAACAACAAAATATCAAGCTGTTTTTCCAGTACTTATTTTAAACAGAACTCATCCTCCTATTCTAATACAAAAAACAGTCCTGACAGTTCTGAATTGTAACTCTGTTTCAGTCATTTGGTGAGGATTTATGTGGAGGCATACGATGTCCTTTACACCTATTTGATGGGAGATAGCAGGAAGAATGAGCTCTACATCGCTAAACATATTGACTTCTTCCTCACACAGTTTGAGATCAAAGAGGTAAATATATGAAAATCAACCTCTCAGAAATGTTTCCTATTTCATGTTCTACTTTTGAAAGTGGGTGGTGTGTTGTAGCTGTAATGTGCATGCATTTCACAAAGGTGTTAGGGGTTAAAATCTTTAACCAAATGTGAAAAGTTTTGGGATCACTTGATTTGCTGAAAAATTAAGTTTGCGTCATTGTTACTAAATCAGAGTCACACAGAAGTTTTTGATTATATAAAGATATGGAAGAGGTGCTATGAACATTTAACGAATAAAATTTTCCAATTCATCATCTCTTGTAGGGTCAGATTGGTCTGAATGCTGCTCACATGGTGATGGAACTGATCAAGGACAACAGGAAGATTGTGGACAGGATCACCCACAAACATATTGACACTTTCATTGACCTCCTACAGAGAGACAAGGTACCAAACTATTTCATCTAAAGCTTTTGTCTTAAGCATTCTAGCAGCATCATTTAGACAAATGTCTTTCTTCACATTTCTGTCACTTGAGTCTTAACTTGAAAAAGTTATCAGATTCTGATAATAAATACAATGTAGCAAAGGTTTGACTTAAACAAGAAGTAACTGCATTCTATGCCCCATAAATTTGGAGGCTGAAAAGCTTAAGAAAGTCATGACCCAACTTGGGGTTATTCAAATTCTGTCACAACAGGAATCTTATGAATGCTAATGGATTTAGACCCAAATTTTTATTTTTATTTAAATGAAGTCTACTTAACACTGTGAAGATTAATACATTCATACTTTGGTCAGTTTTCATCATTTTTATAACCATGATTTACTCCAGAACTATCGATATCTGGATTTGCTGAGTGTCTTGTGTGTCTGTGAAGACATCTCCATCTCTGACAACCAGAAGTATATCACAGAAGTCTGGCTGATGAAGGGGAACAGGGTAAGTTAGCTACATCTCCTTATCGTAGATAGTATAACTACAGTAACAACATATGTATGGAATATTCTGTAGATTCTAAGCAGTTTCAGTTTTCATTGATGAATCAAATTAGGGTGCTTTTGCTATTTTGTATGAAAGTGTTTAGATATGCACTATTTAAATCCAGCAGTAGCATAAATGATGGCTTTTGTAACAAAATGTTTTGTTCCTTTCAATATAATACAGAGGAGTCTGGGATGAGATATATCAGTGTTATCAGGGTTATACAGCGATCAGTTTAAAGAGATTATATCCTGTGCATATGATTGTATTTTCATCTGAAAATGTATTGGATTTATCCTCTGATAATATTAATTGTGTTTTATTTTATCTATTTATTTTTCTCCCTTTTTTCAGAACTGTGTTTTCTATACTGACCTCGGACAGAAGATAGGGAAAGTGCCTGGGGTTGTGTATGTCTCCTCAAACATGGGCCGTACTTGGACAGAACTGAGGGAATTTGTCCAGGTCAGTCTTGTCATTTCAGAATATGGTATAAGTCTATCTCTGATACTTAGAGCCTTGATTTGTTCTTTCTTTCCTGGTGAAACTTATACCATAGTGAGTGAACCTGCAAAACAATATCTTCCATCAAATGTCCAGTCACCTTTTGTTCATAGCTTTAGAATCTCTACATTAAATTGATGGGAAAATCATTGTGTGATAAAAATCTGTTCTCTTAAACATATAGTGGGACAAGAAATGGTGGCTGGATTGAGTAAAAATGCTATATACTTCAGTTTCACTGATATAAGGAACATTTTTATATAATACTGCAATATTAGAAGATTTATACTTAACTCTTTATGATTATAATATTGTAATAACTCTATAATGTGTACACTGTAAACAGTCTTGTTTCACTATTTCTTGATATAACTACTCACATTTAAGTATTAATACAGAAATTTGAGAGAAGTGTTTTTTGGAAGGAATGCTGATATGGTAAGTTGACATGTAATTGAAACAGCCATTTGACTAGATCAGAAGATGTCTCCTGTTTATTGATTTATAATTGGAAGAGAAATGTTTCCTCCTAAGCAGACTATTTTCCTTCTTGTATAGCGAGCTGGTACAGACGAGTCATACCTGTTCTTAGAACATCAGCTGGAACTTTATGGAATGTTGTGTCATGTAAGTATCACTTCCTACACTCAATAATCAATGTTTCTGTTGTAATAGTGTTATCAGATAGACCAGCCTTCATTTACTTTACATACCACTTTCCTTTACTTGCTTCAAATCTAAGTAAAAAATGTTTGTATCTGTCTTAGACTTTTTGACATGGATATTGTCTTTCTAACTTTTTCATTGTCTTCCCTAAGTTTGTAGTGTGGTCATACAGACTTTTATTCCTTAAATTTTTATGTGTGATGTTTAGAATTGTCTTCACATAATTGATTCACCTCATTCTGTTTCCAGGGTCAAAATGAGTTCTCCACCAAAGTGATAACCCAAGAGCTGAACTATCTGACATGGGAGGAAGCCTTTACCTGTCTCAGTGATGAGGTTCTCCCTGACCAGCTGCGTGCCAGATACTGCATGCTCATTACAAGTAAAACTTTCATTATAACTACACTGTGTTCCTGTAAAGAATGTCTGACTCAAATTTGTTGGAAATACTATCTATCAGAAAGTTATTGATGTCTTAAGAATTGAGTCCTGAAAAAATGTGAGATATTAAAAGTAAATTGACTGAAATTACTTTTGAGTTTTACTTTGTTTTAAATAACGTTAACTCGTGGTAACAGGTAAAGTGTTTCTTTCAGAAACATTTGCTATTATTATTGATTGTGGAAAACTGTCTGTATGAATCATCTGTAATGATGTACTTTGCAGCCATGTTTGTGGATATCAGTGAGAACCAGGCTGTCACAGACAAAGTCAAACTCTCCTACATTTACGAAGATGTGGACCAGTTTGAGGTAAATTATCTCCCTTAATAGAATATAGCAAAGACTCACAATCTATTCCTAAAAATCTGAACATTTACATGGTTTGAGCACAGTTTATAGAAGCGGACAACACATGTCAACTTTTGTAAATGTTTCCAGCGCAAACCAGATAGATAGATAGATATACTGTATGACATAATGACAGCCAAGCCTTTTTTCTTTTCTATACTACTCTTCTTATGAATATGGATATTTCAGGTTGCAGCACTCATAATGTCACCATATAAATTTGGTGTTACAAAATGAGACAGTGTACACCAGAAGCCTGTGTAAATATGCTAGTAAATGTGTTCTTGTTGATGATAATATTAAGTATCACTGTGTTAACAGGATGTGGTGGATCGTACTGGATCAACAACATATCAGTTCTTCCCAACCCTCAATGACTGGATCTCCAAGTTCCTCGGCAAAAACAGTGATATGACTGCATCCGAGATAGGCAACAACATGCTGGTCAAACAGGTAGATTTTAACCTCTGATGTAAGATTCTGTTGATATGTGACATTTTCTTTGTTTTTTTTTTTTTTTTTTAAGCAATCATCGTGGTATACAATTAATCAAATATTGCGTTTTGTCCATGGTCTGCCATCCATGCATCTATCTGTAAAAATATTTGTTATCACTATTTCTTGAAAAGAGCAGAATAGATCATATTAAAATTTCAGATGTAGGTTCCTCTTTGTCTCTAATTGTGAATTATCCCATCTTTTGAGAAATTCAGAAACAAAATGATAATTGGATGACAGTCTTGAATTTTGACAGAAATAGATGTTATCATTTTTTGGATGAATAATTCACAAATTTCATGTAGGGTCATCTTGGTCAAAAGTTGAACAAGATAAACAAAATGGCCAACAGTGGCCTGTTATATCATTGTGTGAAGTACAGATGTAATTCTGTTTTGTAGATGTTAAGACTGGTACACTACCTGTTATATCATTGTGTGAAGTACAGGTGTAATTCTGTTTTGTAGGTGTTAAGACTGGTACACTACCTGTTATATCATTGTGTGAAGTACAGATGTAATTCTGTTTTGTAGGTGTTAAGACTGGTACACTACCTGTTATATCATTGTGTGAAGTACAGATGTAATTCTGTTTTGTAGGTGTTAAGACTGGTACACTACCTATTATAATATTGTGTGAAGTACAGATGTAATTCTGTTTTGTAGGTGTTAAGACTGGTACACTACCTCGTATCCTTTGGATTCTACTACAAAATTGATGACATCAAGAAGCTTCTTGAACCCCTGATGAGTTTGCTGGATGGAAGGAATGACAAACCTTACCCAAATATATCAGGTTTGTCGTCAGAACTTATATAATCATGATTAGCTGAGCTAAAGTATGCTTCAATATTGAAAATTTTTTCCAATTAAGCATGGTGACAAATTACTGTTTCTTTTATTTCGTTTAAATGGTTTCGAGAAACATGGGTGTGGAAAAAACCTTACATGTATCATTTGACTGCCCCTTTATTCAGAAAAGTCGTGATTCACATCTATTTGAATGATATCTACAGGCAAAGATGGAGAGGAAATCTTGAAACATTTCCGCAAAGTTGGACGCTATGAGAGAGGTCAAGAAACCAAGGCTATTGTAGATGCCAAATGCCAGTAAGTATGACTTGATGTGAGAGAGTTCTATGAAGGCATTGTAGATGCCTGATGTCAGTAAGTATGGCTTGATGTGAGAGAGTTCTATGAAGGCATTGTAGATGTCTGACATCAGTAAGTATGGCTTGATGTGAGAGAGTTCTATGAAGGCATTGTAGATGCCTGACGTCAGTAAGTATGGCTTGATGTGAGAGAGTTCTATGAAGGCATTGTAGATGTCTGACATCAGTAAGTATGGCTTGATGTGGGAGAGTTCTATGAAGGCATTGTAGATGCCTGACATCAGTAAGTATGGCTTGATGTGGGAGAGTTCTATGAAGGCATTGTAGATGTCTGACATCAGTAAGTATGGCTTGATGTGGGAGAGTTCTATGAAGGCATTGAAGGTGGTTACAGGATGAGTATCATAACAACAATCATACAATGTTGTTTCAAAAACTATGGTAAAATTACAAGAAACATTGTGACTATGGTTATGACCAAAAGTGGATGTAGGCTTGATTTTTTTCATTTTGATTAATTAATTAGATGACATAAAAGCATTTTCAGACCTACTTCCTCCTTCAACTAATTCTTTTTTGTTGTTTATCAAGATGCAAATGATTCATATCTACTTTTGATGGCAATTTAGATTTCATTTTGGAAACTTGGTTCCATTCAGATGTATTTCATGGCATATATGGCAGCTGATAAATTGGAGAAATTGATAATAAGAGTAACAGACTCTAATATGAGTACTCTGATAAGAGTAACAGACTCTAATACGAGTACTCTGATAAGAGTAACAGACTCTAATATGAGTACTCTGATAAGAGTAATAGACTCTAATACGAGTACTCTGATAAGAGTAACAGACTCTAATACGAGTACTCTGATAAGAGTAACAGACTCTAATATGAGTACTCTGATAAGAGTAATAGACTCTAATACGAGTACTCTGATAAGAGTAACAGACTCTAATACGAGTACTCTGATAAGAGTAACAGACCAATAATATGGCTAAAACATGGAAGTTTCTGATTGGAAAACTAGTCTTGTCAGGTCGTTTAAGGATCAACATCAAAGCCCTATTCCTTGTTTTACAGGGCTTTGGAAGTGCTGGACTTGTTCTTTGATTTTATCCTGAACCAAAGACTTGAGGTAAAAAATGTTTTGTTTACATCCTCTTCATCCTTGACTTTTTATAAAAAAAATTCAGAAACTGCTGAACAATGAGTGTAATATAAAGAAAGCAAAAATACAAAGAATTATTTTTTAAGGCACAGAGGTGGAAAATTATAAAGCTGTAGGAGTGATTTCTGTCATGTAGGTAATAATAAAATTTTGTAAAGAAAAATGTTAATGCACATGGGTAAAATATATGGAAATATACTAACAAGATCCACAAGATATTGGGACTATGTATGTTGTATGTTAATTCATGTTATCAAGGTGTTTTTTCTTTATTCCTGACCCTTTCTAAAGGTCATTAAAATTGGCCTGCATATAAAGCCATTCTATGTAAAGACGTAGGTTTTTGAATTATTAATGGTTAATCATGTTAGTCTTTGGCCAAAATTACCATCATTTTGTGATGTAATGTAAGCATAAGGTTTTTTGATTAGCTATATTCCTGACAAATTACAAGTACTGGGTCAATTAAACTTGGATCATACATGTGTTACAGCTAATAGATATCAGAGCTATATGCTGATTTGTAAAATCTAAACTTCTTAGTGTGCTATTGAACAAAAATTATACAATTTTTGAGATTTTGAAAAGTATGCAGTTTTGAAATGTTTGCTTAATCCGGATACTATGGGGAAGCAGGAACACATGAGGTAAGAATCCTTCAGAGTCTCATAATGTAATCAGGATTGTCTGTTTTCCACAGAAATTTATCAACATGTTCAAAGTAACCCACACAGAGATGAATACACCCTCTGGGTTTTTTAGCCATAAGACAGAACTTGCTCCCATGCTTTCTTCAGACTATGATCCACTTAAACAACATGGGTAAGTTACTCAGAGGTTGCCTTTAGTGTTGATAACAGCATCTCTAGGTCTTCAGATTTTTTGTCAAATCAATACTCCCATTCTTTCCAAGGATGTAACTCATCCTAAAAATTGTTTGTTGAAGACTAAAGTAATTGTAACACAGCTTGGAGCATAAGCCATAGCAGTGTTGAGTAAATTATTACACTTTTGATGTTTACCTGAAGTAACTTGGTGTAATTTGTAGGAATGAAAATATTACAAATGCTAAATTAAATGTAATGAAGTGGTAAAAATTGATAGCAAATTACTAATGTTTAAATATTGGTGTGAATATTTTTAGATTGTCAAAGATTGCTTTGAAGAGGTTGGCTGAAATCTTTGACTCCACCTCTTTCCTGAAAGGTTACAATCTGGTAGACGTCCTGAAGGTATGTTTAAGAAAAACAAGTTTCCAGTGATTATAAACCTTATGTTACTAATTGTCATAGACTCGGTAGAAACATATTATCATCAAAGTTAGCTGTATGGGCCTCCAATTGTCGAGGAAGTATTCTCCGTTGTCACTCTCCCGTTGTATCTATAGCAGGAGAGAAAATACATCTGAACTAAGATTAAACACTTCACAGCCACTGTCAAGTTACATTTCCTTCCCCTTTTTCACACAGGTTTGATTCTTTGAACAATAATTGTAAAATCGTTTCATTATTTTTGCTGTGTTTTTATGGAACTAAATGTTTTTATTTTGTGTGTTATAGGACTTGACTCATTACAAGTATGATGAGATCATCAGACAGTCACTAAACCTTCTGGACAGATATTACTCAGCCTACAATGATCTCTTCTCTAGAGCAGTTCAGGCACAGGTATGCTTTGTTATTAACCACAAGGTTTAACGATGATATATTCTATCAAAAGAAATAAAAAAAATTAGACAATATACATCACATTGCAAGATAAAGAATAATTGCTTGGTCTCAGGAACATTGCATTAGAAGTGACTCAGGACCATTTTCTTGCAATGGAAGTGTCTTCAGGAATATTTCCTTGCAGTGAAAGTGTCTCCAGGAATACTTTCCCTCTATTATCCAGTCACCACTAATCTGGTTGTCCCTCTATAATCCAGTCACCACTAATCTGCTTGTCCCTCTATTATCCAGTCACCACTAATCTGCTTCTCCCTCTATCATCCAGTCACCACTAATCTGCTTGTCCCTCTATTATCCAGTCACCAGTAATCTGCTTGTCCCTCTATTATCCAGTCACCACTAATCTGCTTGTCCCTCTATTATCCAGTCACCATTAATTTGCTTGTCACAATATTATTATGTCACCACTAATCTGCTTGTCCCTCTATTATCCAGTCACCAGTAATCTGCTTGTCCCTCTATTATCCAGTCACCACTAATCTGCTTGTCCCTCTATTATCCAGTCACCATTAATTTGCTTGTCACAATATTATTATGTCACCACTAATCTGCTTGTCCCTCTATTATCCAGTCACCACTAATCTGCTTGTCCCTCTATTATCCAGTCACTACTAATCTGCTTGACCCTCTATTATCCAGTCACCACTAATCTGCTTGTCCCTCTATTATCCAGTCACCATTAATTTGCTTGTCACAATATTATTATGTCACCACTAATCTGCTTGTCCCTCTATTATCCAGTCACCACTAATCTGCTTGTCCCTCTATTATCCAGTCACTACTAATCTGCTTGACCCTCTATTATCCAGTCACCACTAATCTGCTTGTCCCTCTATTATCCAGTCACCACTAATCTGCTTGTCCCTCTATTATCCAGTCATCACTAATTTGCTTGTTGGTCTATTATCCAGTCACCACTAATCTGCTTGTCCTTCTATTATCCAGTCATCACTAATTTGCTTGTCGGTCTATTATCCAGTCACCACTAATTTGCTTGTCCCTCTATTATCCAGTCACCACTAATCTGCTTGACCGTCTATTATCCAGTCACCACTAATCTGCTTGTCCCTCTATTATCCAGTCACCACTAATCTGCTTGTCCCTCTATTATCCAGTCACCACTAATCTGCTTGTCCCTCTATCATCCAGTCACCACTAATCTGCCTGACCCTCTATTATCCAGTCACCACTAATCTGCTTGTCCCTGTATTATCCAGTCACCACTAATCTGCTTGTCCCTCTATTATCCAGTCACCACTAATCTGCTTGTCCCTGTATTATCCAGTCACCATTAATCTGGTTGATCCATTATAAGCCAGCTACCATTAATGAATAACTTTTGTTTTTGAGGGTAAACAGTAAGATATAAAAGTATTATTAATAGTCATTGTATGTTTTGTTTTGAATCCAGGTGTGTATTACGGACCGATCTGTGGAAGTGTACCACCTCCTAGAAAGAGTTCTTCCCAAAATGAGATTGTATGCTAGTGCACGCCTGAGTGATGAGCAAATAATTGAGCTAGCTAGCATTCTAGACTCACTGATTTTGTAAGTAGTTCAATACCAGAAACAGATGCTTGAGAACTACAAACGTGCCATGTGTGTTCTTGAACAGAGACCATTTATTTTGATAATTTAAGATAACATATGAGATAACAATCTTTTGTAGTATAAATCCTTCCATGTATGGAAAAAATGTATTTGTTTAACGATGAGTTAGATCAAATTCTTTGGTTTTGCTATTTTATTTTTGTTCTCTGATTCAATGAAGTAAGTTGGTATTGTCCCAGTACTACATGTTAACTATGTTTTGCTTATTAGGACGTGCCATCTGGATGGAGAAGAGGACGAACCTCACCCTGTCAATCAGACCATCCTCTACAACCATGGTCAGTTATTCTATATTACTGTTACCTGTAGTTACCAGCCAGTACATATTATGTTACAGTGACATGGAGACTTAAGGGTATATGCTATGTTATTGTGACATGGAGACTTAAGGGTATATGCCATGTTATTGTGACATGGAGACTTAAGGGTATATGCCATGTTATTGTGACATGGAGACTTAAGGGTATATGCTATGTTATTATGACATTGAGACTTAAGGGTATATGCTATGCTACGGTGACTTGTAGACTTATAGTAATATGCTATATTACTGTAACATAGAGACATTTAAATGACTTATCTTTTTTTTCCACCACTCCATACATATGACTTGTCTTTGTTATACTGTGTGTTGAGAATGTTACTGGTGCTGCCATTTATCTCATATGCAGATACACCATAATACAATGAGAATGTCATTCTGATCCTTGTTTTTCGTAGACTCACTTGGACTTTGATTTTTAGTCTGATTTCTGTCAGAGTTTTAGAGGAATCTGTGTTATGTCTTTTATTGAAGATTTGAAAAAAAACTTCTGATACTTTCATTAGGTAATGACATTGACTCAAATGAGATTAGTTTTTTGTTTGTTCTGGATGAATGTTGATGGTTGGGGTTTAAACTGTTTTGTATTTTACAATTTCTTTTTGTCCTTTTAACAGGAATCATTGAGTTGTGTTTCACCATTCTTACCCAGAAAATCGACACCAAGCTATTGGTTTGTATTACATAAAATGCCTGTGTTGTATCTGTTGGTGATTCACGTTTTTAGGTCATCTGCCTGATGATCTGTAATCATTGTGTTTCATCTGTCGTCATGCACCGTTCACCTTGCACTGTGCGTAAACTTTTTTAAACTTCTTCTCAATAACTAAAAGTCAAGGATGCTGATACTGGGCTCATATCAGGCTTGATTGAAGGTTTAGCAAGTTTGATTAAATGAATGATTTGATCCAGTTTCAAGGTCACTGGGGTAAATTGTGTTAAACGAATTCGAATGACTTCATTTTAATAAACAAGAGGCCTATGCTGCTAGTATTTTTTTTATCCTGTAGCATGCTGGTATGAAGTCCTACCAAGTTTGTTGAAATGAATCAACTTGACCTACTTTTAAAGTCACAGGGGTCAATTTTTTATTTGTTTTTCCAATTTTTCGAACAGATTCTCAATTACCAAAAGGTCATTTAAGATGCTGATATTAGGCATATAGCATGCTGGAATGAAGTGCGATTAAATTTGTTCAAATTAAGACCTTTATCTACCTGCAAGGTAACAGGGTTGAAATATAATAATAATTGTAAGCTTCTTCTTCAATAACTAATATATAGCCTATGGTTAATGCTGTTTAGGTAGATACTTGGGGAATGGGCTTTGAAGATTGCAGAAATTAACTTAGTTAACAGATAATGTCCTCTTTGTAAGCTACAGAACAGGTGAGCAGTTCAGGCCCATTGAGTCTCAAGTTATTTTTCAGTTCAGTTCAAAATCCAACATGGTGGTCATTGCCACCATCTTAGAAAAAATCTAGACTTCTCAAGTCTCAGTAGTAACATAGACATGGAAATTGATAGGTTGTTAAGGAAAGGATGCCAACACAGTGGTGTTATTTTTCTGCCTCATTAAAAATTCAATATGATTGCCATGATGGCCATTTTGTAACATGATTGAAGGTTATTAAGGAAAGGAAGCAAACAAAATGTACTTGTTTTTCAGCTTCCTTGAAAGTCTGATTTATCTTTTGTTAGAACAATTGGCTCAGATTTTCATGACAAGTTGTTTTTAGCAAGGGCAATAGGAATTGTAAATGTTCTTAAGACAAGGTAAAGCTTTTAAAGAGTAATCTGAATTATGACATACAGGACTGTTTAAAATATCAGTCCACTTAGAACAAAACTGCTGAAATTATTTACTACAAAAATCATGTTGCTTTGTAGTCATTATCTTAATCAGATTGAAGCATTTGAATTCATTTTGTTTTTCATTTCGGTGTAGGACCAGTATTCTGGGCTGACAAAGATTTTCAGGAAGACTTTTACGCTGTTGAAGCTCATGTCTCGCTTGAACAAGCTGGTACAGAATCGACTGTTTGATCGTCTGGACCTTTTGCTGAAGGTACAGGGAGTAGAGGTGGAGCTAGCCGATTGTATTGCTGAGGTAATCACTTTTTCTCACTTCTATATTCTTCCTAAAACATATAATATATTCTAGTAAATATATACACATACAAAGTCAATGTCATGTCAGTGAATTCCACGCAAGATAACCAATTTTGGCATTGTCTTTGTTGCAGATTTGCCCTTCACAAAACTGTTTTATTCATACTTTATACTAAAAAATCCATAGCTGTTCATGGTATCAGTATTTTGCTACTATCTATGTTATTCAATCACAAAAGTAAGATTACAGGTTTTTCATGTTTTTAGTATTCCAACTGAATTTTCTGTACTTAAACCATTTTCACATTCCTCCAGAATTGATAAAGTTAAGATAAGCTTTCACTCAGTCAAAATGTTTAAATTAAAGTTTCCACTTTTCAAGTAATAGCAATACCAATCAGCAGATAATTGTACAGAAAACTGAGTAAATAGTGGGAACTTCCACATACCTTGTGTAGTAAAATTAACTAACCAATTATCAATGATTTCCAGCTGTTTGTAGGAAATACTAAGACTTGTATGAAGATCACAGGTAAACAAGTACAAAGGATTATGTCTATGGTGGCTCGTTGTAAAGAAACTGTCCCCCAATTCCTAGACCTTCTCAATGCTGTTGTCAAGGTGGAGGAGTTAGACCTGCCCATCAAACGTAACCAGGGCTTCGTCATGCAGTATTTCATGCAGTTCAGAGCTGATGTAGCTTATGTCATTGACCAAGACGAGTCGGCACGGTAGGTAACCAATCCTAGGCTGTGTTAGCATTGTAGGTAACCAATCCTATGCTGTGTTAGCATGGTAGGTAACCAATCCTAGGATGAGTTAGCATGGTAGGTAACCAATCCTAGGATGAGTTTGCATGGTAGGTAACCAATCCTAGGATGAGTTAGCATGGTACGTAACCAATCCTAGGCTGTGTTAGCATGGTAGGTAACCAATCCTAGGCTGTGTTAGCATTGTAGGTAACCCATCCTATGCTGTGTTAGCATTGTAGGTAACCAATCCTAGGCTGTGTTAGCATGGTAGGTAACTAATCCTAGGATGAGTTAGCATGGTAGGTAACCAATCCTAGGATGAGTTTGCATGGTAGGTAACCAATCCTAGGATGAGTTAGCATGGTACGTAACCAATCCTAGGCTGTGTTAGCATGGTAGGTAACCAATCCTAGGCTGTGTTAGCATGGTAGGTAACCAATCCTAGGATGAGTTTGCATGTTAGGTAACTTAACCTAGGATGAGTTAGCATGGTAGGTAACCAATCCTATGATGAGTCAGCATGTTAGGTAACTTAACCTAGGATGAGTTAGCATGGTAGGTAACCAATCCTAGGATGAGTTAGCATGGTAGGTAACTAGAGTGAGTCTGCAAGGTATAAGTAACAGACTCTAGAATGAGTCTGCATAGTAAGTAACTAACTGTAGATTGAGTTTATGAGGTAGAATGAGTCTACAAGGTTGAGGTAACTGACCTGTAAATGAGTCTAAAAAGTACGTAACTAATCCTTGATTGAGTCTGCTGTCTAAAGGGTAGGTAACTGACCTTTGAATGAGTCTAAAAATTAGGTAACTAATCCTTAATTGAGTCTGTTGTCTACAGAGTAGGTAACTTCCTATATATCTGTCTTATTTGATTATTACTTATTGACAGAGAGAAAATCCTGATGGACAACAGTCACAAGGACCTACAGTATCTGGTGGCCATGATGGATATGCTGGCTACTTGTGCTGAGGTAAGTAATGATACGTGGTGTTAAACAAACTTGCATTGCAGGATTCTAGCATCAAGGTCAAGGTCACTGTTAATATCTATTAGAAATTGCTTGTCAGCATATTAACAGCATCAACAAGGTGAAAAATGTCTGATGTTTTCTCAGGGGAAACATGTCTTAGGTTTTGGAAGGCTAACATGTCTTAGATTTGGAAGGTGAAACATGTCTTAGGTTTTGGAAGGCTAACATATCTTAAATTTGGAAGATGAAACATGTCTTAGGTTTCTGAACTTGAAATGTATCTTAGGTTTATGAATGACCAAATTGCTTCATGTTGATTTCTAGGGTGAGAACCAGTTTATTGAATCCATCTGTCAGACAATCTTCAAGATTCCTGAGCTGATGAGAATTCTAAATAATCCCAAAGTCAGTGATAACCTCAAGAGACCTTTTCTGAGATTCATCTTGTGGGTGTATCTCAACTCTGCTGGAGGGATGATAGAGAGTGGCGCCGGAGACCTTCCACACGACAAGTAAGTCCTGATCAATGTCTCAACATAAAAGTTACAGATACTGAATTTGGTGCAGTAAGATTTATTGCATTATCCTTAAATCAATGCAAAAATAAATTTGTGTGTGTACAAATGTGTTTATATCACTTTAACTGTACAGATATCTGAAGAGATATCATAGACCAAATGTGATGGACTAAAATCTTGAAAATTTGACTGTAAGAGATTTCCTTTTCAAGACACTATAACAACATGTTTCTTCTTCATTAACTGACTTACTTTACACAGAACCATGTGGAACTACATAGAAAGCCTCAATCAAACTCTGAAGGCAGTGGCTGATTACTGTCGCGAGAATCCACGCAGTGCAAAGCAACTGGTCAGGAAACCACCTCCCAGATTGTAAGTTATCATCATCACAAACCTTAGTACCTCTTAAGTTATATGATGGTTGTTATCACACTGATAACAGGGTAGTTATATAACGGTTGTTATCACACTGATAACAAGGTAGGTATATAACGGTTGTTATCACACTGATAACAGGGTAGGTATATAACGGTTGTTATCACACTGATAACAGGGTAGTTATATAACAGTTGTTATCACACCAATAACAGGGTAGGTATATAGCGGTTGTTATCACACTGATAACAGGGTAGGTATATAACAGTTGTTATCACACTGATAACAGGGTAGGTATATAACGGTTGTTATCACACCAATAACAGGGTAGGTATATAACGGTTGTTATCACACTGATAACAGGGTAGGTATATAACGGTTGTTATCACACTGATAACAGGTTGGTATATAACAGTTGTTATTACACTGATAACAGGGTAGGTATATAACGGTTGTTATCACACTGATAACAGGGTAGGTATATAACAGTTGTTATTACACTGATAACAGGGTAGGTATATAACGGTTGTTATCACACTGATAACAGGGTAGATATATAACGGTTGTTATCACACTGATAACAGGGTAGGTATATAACAGTTGTTATCACACTGATAACAGGGTAGGTATATAACGGTTGTTATCACACTGATAACAGGGTAGTTATATAATGGTTGTTATCACACTGATAACAGGGTAGTTATATAATGGTTGTTATTACACAAGTAACAGGGTAGTTATATAATGGTTGGTATTACACTGATAACAGGGTAGTTATGTTAGTAAGTCTGCTAATGCATTTTAATTTTCCCCACTACAAAGTTTTGGAGGTATACTGGAATCACCCTGTCTATCTGGATGCCAATGGTCCACAGAACTCCTCCAAAACCAGTAAACTAATGACAGATAAAATTTATATCAATACAAAGGATCATATGTAGATATGCATGTTTGGTTGCCTTGGTATACATATCTGTAAACAGGTTTACAATAAATGGCCAATACTTGTTGGTCATTCAACAGATTTGATTTGTTCTGACATTATGAAGCAAAGCTGGTCAGAATTAAACAAGGAGTCAACCGACTGAAAGTCAAAGTCACTGCAGCCAAGGTCAAGGTCAATTTTTGTATCTTTTAACTGGTGCATAATTGCTGACATAAATTTATCGTCCTTCTTACCTGAGTTATGTCGTGCAATACTCCTTATATATTAACACATTTTATAGCCCCTAACGTGAAGTGGAGCGGCCCAAATGTAGGGGTATAAGTTAGCCCTTAGGAGACAATTCTAGTCTCAGATAGTAAAGTATTGTTATGTGCATTTCTTAGAGGAAAACTAGACATGAAAAATGGAGTTAATGACTGACCTGTATATGTTCTTGTCTTTCAGTTCCAAGGAGATGTCTAGACAGTTTGTCATTCAGGGCAGTATGCACTACTTATTTGATGCTGTCATGCCTTTCCTCCAGGTAATATTAACTAAATCCCAGATGTAAATGGTAAGGGTTTCGTTTTAAGATTCCCAAAAATAAGAGAATTTTACATTTTCAAATATCCTTGACTGATCTGTGTTGCTCAATAAAATGTCCTTATCAAAAGAGGGTGACAGATATAGTAAATATATGACTTTTTTTTCTTCTTTGCATATCTATGTAAATATTTGGAAATAAAACTTTGTATAATGATGTTGAAATGTGCTGGAATTCATGACCTCTCTGTAGACTGAAATATCAGTCATATTTGAAAATTAACACCAGGATTTGTCTTTCTGATCTAATTTTGTTGGTTCGTATTTCTCTGCCTAATTATATATGACTAATTATTTTTAATTTATGTTAAATACTGCAAGGTCAGATGGTGAATTTTTTACTTCTGACCTGTTGTGTTACATGCTTTGTGAGATTTAGATAATGTGTTAGGCACCATGGATAAAACTTTCCCTAGAAAAGGTTGCACCTGCAAACTTGGAAACATTATGTTTTCTGTACATTTTTGTTTTAGTAAAAACACATGTATAGCATACATACAAATAATATTTTGAGGGGTTTGTATGTTTGTCACAAATGCAATGCAGAGTCAGGAAAGTTATGGCTGACAATATTGCCTCGCCTTACCCAATTCAAGTTTGATTTAGCAAGAGAATGATATAGGCCATAAGCTGACATATGCTGTTTACTTCACAGATCTTCTGTAAAAATTACTACCAGCCAGACTTGACTATGTACCCAAGTGAACCACAGAGCATGGATATCTTGGCTCGGAACTTTAAGGTCAGTTTTACGAAAGGGTACACCCAAATACATTTAGTTAGTCACTGTTAGTTTCACAATAATAATAATCTGTCTTATGAACATCATTAATGTCATTATTTTATACAATTATTTCATAGACTATAAATGTCAGTTGTAAGATCTGTAGCCAGAGTTTGTGATTCTGTTGTATCAATAAAAAGCAAGCATTTCTGTGACTCTGTAGTATTTGTCTAAAGCAAGCATTTCTGTGACTATGTTAGTTCTGGTATAAAGCAAGCATTCTTTGACTCTGTAGTCCTTGTATAAAACAAGCATATCTTTGACTGTGTAATCCTTGTCTAAAGCAAGCATTTCTGGGACAATGTGCTCAGTTCAGTGAATAGGAGGTTTTCAAGTTAGGTGGCTTCAAGGAAGTGGGATTTTACTTTTTTTTTACTTAACTATTGCAGGACTTCATGAGTGTGATTGGTCCACTCATCAGTGATGCAGGACAATTGAAGAAACTCAATGCATGTATGAGTACCCTGATGTCGGCCTCTACTTTACCTGTTGCAGTACGTAGAATAAAAACCACTTAATTTCTCCATGATAGCATAATGTTAAGGTTTAACCAATGGGTATTCATATTGTATTGTGCTGTAATGAGAACCTGATGGAGCTTATTATGTATTTTTAACCAGTTCTATCTCGCCATCAATCCATCATGATATGTTTGTTCGGAAAATTGTTCATTATGTTGTTCAAACTCAAAATTAAGATGATAACAAGACATCAAAACAACTCTACCATATACTACGAGTCAAAATGTATCTTCAGTGTGATTTCACAAACTCGGTTTCTGTAATGCATGCCATTCTATTTACCATGAGAAACCCATTCTGTGAACTGTTTGATGTTATGCAGGAAATTCGGGAATTCCAAGACCAGATGGGTACTGGAAATCAATCCCTAGATGTCCGCAGTGATAGCAAAAAGGTATGTACTTTTGAAGATTTAAGCAGTTGAGGACAAAACATTGCTGGGATTCTTGAAAACTATTAATGGCATCAAGTGATTATGTTATTCTGTCTATGAAGAATATTTCAACACAGTTTAACTTGCCAATAGGATGAAAGTAAAATGTTAGTTAAACTTTAAACTTATTCAATACAAATTCTTATATATCTTAGCAAAAATTTAAAACTGACCCAAAATATGAGTATTTTGTAGGTGAGAACAATTAAACACAAAGGGAATGTTTCCTTGTGTATAGTAATGAAACCCTTGAGTGTCAACAACATTACTGAATCATTGAAGCCCCTATTGAGAGCAGTCATTAAAGATTGCACTGATTCAGATTACTGACAAAATTATCCCATATCCATCTCATGATATTACAGTCCTATGATGACTATTACGAGGCCGAGAATGAAATCAACAACCAGCTCAACGACTTTTCAATGAACATGAAAAAATCTTACGGAGGCAATAACACAGTGCAGGCACAGATCGGATTCCCGTCTGATTTACGTATGTCTATTTCACACTTACATCATGAAATCTTTCTCTTTGGTAAAGTGATAATGAAATGTTTTGCAGTATTAATTCACAAATATCCAGATGCTCATCTTGCAAGTTGTCACACGGGCTGTTGCAATCACAAATGAAAAAGTTAATGTGTTTTCAATTTATATTTAATTGCTGTAATCAATAATCACTTTAGAGAAATCTTCTTCAGTTTGATGTTTGATGTATTCCAGCATATTCGGAGGTTGGAGGAGATGAAGAGCTACCTCTCGGGCGGGAGTTCCAGGAGCATTTAGAGTGTTTCATTAATCGATCGGCCAAAACACCCCGCGAGAAATACTCATTAGCAAGTAAACTTGTCAAAATGATGGCGTAAGTATTTTAAAGAAATGGTGTTAGTGTAACTATATTAATGAAAAACACTAGATTTTTATTTCATTCTTGACATCAATTTACTGTTGTTGGTTCCTGAATGGCCTCAATTATAGATCTTATAAAGGTAATCAGTTAATGATATGTGAGCAAGCAATCCTTCTGTTTGTACAGAATCTCGTCAAGTCTTACCAACCTCAGTGAGAAGGAGAAGTTGGATCAGGTAAACCTGGACATCAAGACTTTGCAGCTGCTGCGTGGACTCATACATAATGAGATCTGTAGACTGCCGGAGGGATGGGAACAGAACTCATCTGACCACAGAAAGTAAGAGTCTTTTACTTACTAGACATTATACAGTAATGAGATCTTTGAACAGCATGTCCATTTCTTGCCGTGTTTGTGGCTATCTCATATTCTACTTGTTGTTAATATTACTATCTTCAGGGACAATGACTTAAAAAGGAAGAGAATAGTGATACTCATTAAGATTGTTAGTTACCAGATATTATTAAGTCTGAGATTTTAGAGTTCTCTAATTACAGTTTAATGGTGTTCTCCTTTGTATGTTACAGACAGTTACGTGTGATTGACCAGGTCCAGGATGCCCTTGACAACTGTGGAGCAGTCAGCAGTGTACTTGACCACTTGTCACGACCTCAAGATGAAGTTGTTAGGGAGGTGCTTGTCTTCATGGCTAACCTTCTTTATAACGGCAACGAGTCAGTCCAGGTATGAAGTTATTGAGTCTCTCCAGGTAGACAATCATTGAGTCTATCCAGGTATGTTGTATTGAGTTTGTTCAGGTAGGTAATCATTGAGTCTCTCCAGGTAGGTAATTATTGAGTTTGTCCTGGTAGGTAATTATTGAGTCTCTCCAGGTAGGTAATTATTGAGTTTGTCCTGGTAGGTAATTATTGAGTCTCTCCAGGTAGGTAATTATTGAGTGTATCCAGGTATGTAATTATTGAGTCTCTCCAGGTAGGTAATCATTGAGTCTATCGAAGTATGTTGTATTGAGTCTCTCCAGGTAGGTAATTATTGAGTCTCTCCAGGTAGGTAATTATTGAGTTTCTCCAGGTAGGTAATCATTCATTCTCTCCAGGTGGGTAATATTGAGTCTCTCCAGGTATGTCATTAAGCCTTCCCTTCATTAGAAGCTTGGGTATCTTTAGTTTCATATGATGAAAAACTAAACACGATCATGTAAACTGTGTTTTCAACTGAGTTAGAAGAGGTTTGCTTATCTTGATCAATCTAGCATTGCCCAATATGGAGAAAATTTCAGGAGAGAAAATCTGCATGATATCAACCCCTTTTTTTCACTGTAAGACATACTGTTGATATGTGTTACCACATCACAAAGCTTTTGGTATTTCTCTTAAGAATTGTACCAGGACAATGCTGAGATGTAAAAATCTATTCATCTTTAAAGATATTAATGTTACTTTCTATATTTTTTTTACTTGCTTGAATGCTATCAAAGTGTGACTTCTTAAATGGGATAAATATCATGAAAAACTGCTATTTATGAGGAAAAGTGTACCATTGTGGCTACTTTGTAATGCTGTAAGACAGAGCTATATGTAATAAATATCCTCTTAGAAATTGAGGTAAGTGAAATACGAATGAAGAATTGAAGAAAAATCACATTGCATTATAAATGTTAAAATTTGTTAAATTTCACATTGAGGAATATGTATGAGAATTTTTTTCTTTATGCAGGTCAGTTTGATAGACTTCTTCACTGGAACAAGAGAGGAGACCTTCTTCTTCTCTATCAAAGGAAGGATGACCATGTCCGCTATAGCTACGCGGGAAAAGTGAGTCTATTATAAGGCATGATGTAGGCTTCCTGGCTGCCAGTTTTGACTAGATTATTTCAATCATAACTATCTGTAGCCAAAACTCCAGAATAACCTTCTTGATGCTTAGAAATCTGATCAATTGTAACTATCAGTAGCCAAAACTCCAGAATAACCTTCTTGATGCTTAGAAATCTGATCAATTGTAACTATCAGTAGCCAAAACTCCAGAATAACCTTCTTGATGCTTAGAAATCTGATCAATTGTAACTATCAGTAGCCAAAACTCCAGAATAACCTTCTTGATGCCTAGAAATCTGATCAATTTTAACTATCAGTAGCCAAAACTCCAGAATAACCTTCTTGATGCCTAGAAATCTGATCAATTGTAACTATCTGTAGCCAAAACTCCAGAATAACCTTCTTGATGCCTAGAAATCTGATCAATTGTAACTATCTGTAACCAAAACTCCAGAATAACCTTCTTGATGTTTAGAAATCTGATCAATTGTAACTATCAGTAGCCAAAACTCCAGAATAACCTTCTTGATGCTTAGAAATCTGATCAATTGTAACTATCAGTAGCCAAAACTCCAGAATAACCTTCTTGATGCCTAGAAATCTGATCAATTGTAACTATCAGTAGCCAAAACTCCAGAATAACCTTCTTGATGCTTAGAAATCTGATCAATTGTAACTATCAGTAGCCAAAACTCCAGAATAACCTTCTTGATGCTTAGAAATCTGATCAATTGTAACTATCAGTAGCCAAAACTCCAGAATAACCTTCTTGATGCCTAGAAATCTGATCAATTGTAACTATCAGTAGCCAAAACTCCAGAATAACCTTCTTGATGCTTAGAAATCTGATCAATTGTAACTATCAGTAGCCAAAACTCCAGAATAATCTTGATGCTTAGAAATCTGATCAATTGTAACTATCAGTAGCCAAAACTCCAGAATAACCTTCTTGATGCTTAGAAATCTGATCAATTGTAACTATCAGTAGCCAAAACTCCAGAATAATCCTGATGCTTAGTAGCATTTGCATTTCAATAGAAAACAAAACCTCCCTAAATTATGAGATATTATATTTACAATGCCTGGATTATTATGTAGCTTAGAAGTATTTCTTTCCTTTTACTAGACGTCATCTGTTTGCAATGCACCAAGCACGAATGGAGGATGCTATTCAACAGGCGAAGGCTCTAAAGATTGCCATGAAAACTGGACAGCTGGCCACCAATGTAGGTATCAGACAAAGCATGTCAAATACATAGGTATTACATAGATAATGGTTGTCTTCGGAAACACTACCTACATGATGTATTCATTTTGGAAAATGTGGTGATATAGAACTCTTATATTATGTTTGGGCTTGAGTTAAGGAAACCCAATGTGATTGAAAACATTGCTTTGATTTTAGGCCATGTAAGCAGTTTATTTCCATATCACTGATTTATAGATCCTGGGAATTTTAAAATTTTAACAGAGAAATTAATTGTTTAAAACAATTCCTTTGTTGTCTGTTTCCATACCTTTGTTACACCTCTGTGTTGTGCTGCCATTGACTGTTCAGCATTTGAGTGTAAAATAAGTCTGAGGCATGAAAACCAACCCAAGGAATTGATCAGCTAAATCTTCAAATTCTCAGACGTAGGTTAAATATGACCATTCATCTAGTGCCTGCCGACATTTTACACTATTTATATATTGTTTTACCTTTGCATTCAGGAGATCACCAAAGCTAACAATTTTGGATCCTTCATGTCATCCAACATGCAGAAGTCTTCCCTCAACCTAGGCTCCAGCCTGGCAGTGAACCAGGTAGGAAACACTGTGAGACATATGCTCCCCAAAAATATAGTCGCTGCCTTGTCTGTCCATCCATCCATCTGTCCTTCCTTCATTTTGTGTCCGGATCATAACTTTGCCTGCAACTAAACAAGGATCATGAAACATACTGATGTGCAGTGTTACATAGTCAGGGTCCTCGACGCCTCAATTATATCAGTTATTGCCCTTTGTTAAAATTTCTTATCCAGAGCACAACTGCTTGGGTATACATTAAGATAACAAAACTTGGTGTATACATTGCTCAAGTGATGTGCAATGTACCAAATTCAAGGACTGCAACGCCTTAATTATAAGTTATTGCCTTTTTTGTTAAGATTTAATGTCTTTAGCAAAACTTTCCATTGCTTGCATTTAAAATAGAAAAAGGAAACTGGTGGATACATTGATCATATGAAGACAATATGTACCAATTTTAAGACCTGCACCCCTTCATTACAGAGTTATTGCCCTTTGTTAAAATTTTGTGTCTGAAGCATTACTTTGCCTGCATTTAGTCAAGGATATTGAAAGGTGATGTACACATCAGTCATACAAAAGCAAGGTGCAGTGTAAAGTCAGGACCCATGACCCTTGAGTCCTTCGTACAGAGGGTCATTTGTACAATCTTGTGTCATGACCATGACTTTGCTTGCATTAAAACTAGGTGTATGAAACTTAGTGTATACATTGGTCATACTAAGAGAATGTGCTGTATACCAAACTTAGGGCCTGCATTCCCTTAATTACAGAATTATTGCCCCTCCAATATAGCCACTCATTCATTTCACTGATACTCTTGTCATTGATTGCAGTTACCGGTATTTGTTGAATATGAATTGAACTAATGATAGTGATTTTCCTTCTACAAGCCATAACATAGCCGTTCAAGATCAGTTTTAATGCATTTCAAAATTAACCAGTTTGTATGCATAAATGAATCCTGCTTGTCACTTTGAGTCTTAATTTGCTGATAGAAAATCAAATAATGATTTTGACCATCTTATGATTGTAATATTTTTCAGCTGATTTTAAACCAAAGGAATACAAGTGCTGATGTTTTCTTGTTTACATGAACATGAGTTGATATTTGAACAAGGAATTCCCTTACACAATGAATAACGCTCCAGCTTACAAAAGGTACTGAAATATGAATTATTTTGAGCAACTGTACTTAACTGATGATTTTATTTTGTTGCTTTCTTCTCCAGAAACTTGGTTCCACTTTATCTGTTAGAGACAATACTTCACCAAAACCTGGCACATCATTGGTGGTCGCTAATGGTATCCATGGTGATCCGCCACCCGCACAGAGCCCAAAAGGTGGCAGTGCTCTCTCATCCAGTGTATCACTTAAACCTCCTGCAGCTGTTCCCAATGGTATGGGAGTGTCCACCAAAGTAGCACCCATGGAAATAACAGCACTGGTAAGTAACATCTTTTCATATATTATTTTAGCTCTCCAGATCATCAGATGGTTGACTGTTCTACTGCCTTTCCTTCATTGTCTGCCTCTCTGTATCTGCCTATATACAATTCTTGTTAACCATTAAAACAGAAGGCTGACATCATTTGAGGGTGATTGTTGGTGTCCAAGTGTTGATTACAAACTAAGAAATTACTACAATATACTGTAACATATTACTGCAGATTTTAATGAAGAACATGAAATATACATGAGGAATTTGTTATCACTGCTGTGTGGTAGGGGACCTAAAACAGAGGAATTTGTTATCACTGCTGTGTGGTAGGGGACCTAAAACAGATGAATTTGTTATCACTGCTGTGTGGTAGGGGACATAAAACAGAGGAATTTGTTATCACTGCTGTGTGGTAGGGGACCTAAAACAGAGGAATTTGTTATCACTGCTGTGTGGTAGGGGACCTAAAACAGATGAATTTGTTATCACTGCTGTGTAGTAGGGGACCTAAAACAGAGGAATTTGTTATCACTGCTGTGTGGTAGGGGACCTAAAACAGATGAATTTGTTATCACTGCTGTGTGGTAGGGGACCTAAAACAGATGAATTTGTTATCACTGCTGTGTGGTAGGGGACCTAAAACAGATGAATTTGTTATCACTGCTGTGTGGTAGGGGACCTAAAACAGAGGAATTTGTTATCACTGCTGTGTGGTAGGGGACCTAAAACAGAGGAATTTGTTATCACTGCTGTGTGGTAGGGGACCTAAAACAGATGAATTTGTTATCACTGCTGTGTGGTAGGGTACCTAAAACAGATGAATTTGTTATCACTGCTGTGTAGTAGGGGACCTAAAACAGAGGAATTTGTTATCACTGCTGTGTAGTAGGGGACCTAAAACAGAGGAATTTGTTATCACTGCTGTGTAGTAGGGGACCTAAAACAGAGGAATTTGTTATCACTGCTGTGTAGTAGGGGACCTAAAACAGAGGAATTTGTTATCACTGCTGTGTAGTAGGGGACCTAAAACAGATAAAGTTGTTATCACTGCTGTGTAGTAGGGGACCTAAAACAGAGGAATTTGTTATCACTGCTGTGTAGTAGGGGACCTAAAACAGAGGAATTTGTTATCACTGCTGTGTAGTAGGGGACCTAAAACAGAGGAATTTGTTATCACTGCTGTGTAGTAGGGGACCTAAAACAGAAGAATTTGTTATCACTGCTGTGTGGTAGGGGACCTAAAACAGATGAATTTGTTATCACTGCTGTGTGGTAGGGGACCTAAAACAGAGGAATTTGTTATCACTGCTGTGTGGTAGGGGACCTAAAACAGATAAATTTGTTATCACTGCTGTGTGGTAGGGGACCTAAAACAGATGAATTTGTTATCACTGCTGTGTGGTAGGGGACCTAAAACAGAGGAATTTGTTATCACTGCTGTGTGGTAGGGGACCTAAAACAGAGGAATTTGTTATCACTGCTGTGTAGTAGGGGACCTAAAACAGATGAATTTGTTATCACTGCTGTGTGGTAGGGGACCTAAAACAGATGAATTTGTTATCACTGCTGTGTGGTAGGGGACCTAAAACAGATGAATTTGTTATCACTGCTGTGTGGTAGGGGACCTAAAACAGATGAATTTGTTATCACTGCTGTGTGGTAGGGGACCTAAAACAGATGAATTTGTTATCACTGCTGTGTGGTAGGGGACCTAAAACAGAGGAATTTGTTATCACTGCTGTGTGGTAGGGGACCTAAAACAGAGGAATTTGTTATCACTGCTGTGTGGTAGGGGACCTAAAACAGATGAATTTGTTATCACTGCTGTGTAGTAGGGGACCTAAAACAGAGGAATTTGTTATCACTGCTGTGTAGTAGGGGACCTAAAACAGAGGAATTTGTTATCACTGCTGTGTAGTAGGGGACCTAAAACAGAGGAATTTGTTATCACTGCTGTGTAGTAGGGGACCTAAAACAGAGGAATTTGTTATCACTGCTGTGTAGTAGGGGACCTAAAACAGATAAAGTTGTTATCACTGCTGTGTAGTAGGGGACCTAAAACAGAGGAATTTGTTATCACTGCTGTGTAGTAGGGGACCTAAAACAGAGGAATTTGTTATCACTGCTGTGTAGTAGGGGACCTAAAACAGAGGAATTTGTTATCACTGCTGTGTAGTAGGGGACCTAAAACAGAGGAATTTGTTATCACTGCTGTGTGGTAGGGGACCTAAAACAGATGAATTTGTTATCACTGCTGTGTGGTAGGGGACTTAAACAGATAAATTTGCTTTCATGGTTTTGTAGTAGGGGACTGGAATACATATTTTTGCTGTTATTGTTTTGTGGTGGTTGTTGATGAATTTTATGATCATTGTTTTGAAGGAAGATGAAGAGGAAGAAGAACTTGATGAGGCAGAGATCAAAGAGTTACTCGGGGAGGACTTTGGTGAAAGCGGTGACCTGGAATTTGAAGATGATGGTTATATTGAACTTGTACTGAGGATTTTGGGACTAATGTGTGACAATCAGTATCGTCCTCTACAGGATTATTTACGAGAACAACCAGATAATATAAAGTCTGCCAACTTAGTGGCAGAGACAACAAGATTCTTGGACATTTTATACGGAAGTGTCAACAGCAAATCAATGCCCCTTATTTGTCAGCTGTTCGACACTCTCGTGGAGTTCTGTTCGGTAATTATCAAATGTAGAATTTAAGGTACTGTTTTTTGTGTTGCCTAAAAAAGGCAACAAGTAGGAACTGCCGCGTTGATGTATGATTGTCACTTGCACAATTCAAATTCAAAGTTCAAGCACTGTTTCCTGTTTAAAAGTGCTTCTTTGGGATTTCTTTTCAGGTTTGAGAAAAGACAATGTCACTTTGATACTTTTATTAGGAAATTGATTGCTATATGATGGCTTGAGTTTCTCAATCTTATACAATATCTTGTTAAAAAAAAACTCTGCCTTCATACAGTGTTTACCTCATAAAAAAGGCCTTGATGGGTTTGTTGTTCATGAATGCTTTGTTACAGGTAGACAAAGCTCAAAGTTACTATTACTACATGTAGGAAATTTTAGTCTGGTAGATTTCTCATTAGCTCTGTTGGTTCAGCTAGTTAACCTCTAACTTTTATCTTTATTCAGATGTGTCTCATACTATGAATCTCTTTTTACAGGGAAACTTTGCCAACCAGGCATGCGTGTTTGACAACAAGATCTGTGACTACATGAATCACATCTTACGTATGGGTGTCTTCAAGGGCTGCAGTAAAATAGAGGTTTGTTGCTTCTACTTTTGTTAATAGATTTTAGAATATCACAGCCCAGGTGGATATCATGTGACATTTCTCTGACTACACACTGTTACCAGACAAATGACCAGTGTGTACTGGTCATTATGTACTCTTAATTGTAAATCACATATGAAATAGGAATTAAATTATCAAAAGTAGAGTGATCATTTCATATGTACAATTGATGGTAAATATACAGGTAATAACCCATGCTTTGTTCTTTAGCAGTGATGAGTGGGCCCATGGACCCTTGTATATTGATAATCATCATTTTAAATTTAACTTCATTGGGTAGGCAGTATTATTTATTGTACTTCGAATATGAAATTATTTATCAGGGAATGTAAATGTGAATCATTTTTCTCCAGGTGTACTCACTGAAAATGTCAATCGCCACTGTGATCCGAGCCATGAGCGAGGAAAATGCTCCTCAGGACTTCATTCAGACAGAAAATCCTCTAGCTACCTTAGCAAGGGTAAAAATGATGAAAATTTAAAATGTCACAAGAAATTTTTATGTCTGTTTTCCTTAAAGTTGAAATTCAATGTAATGCATGAGCAAAATAAAAGAGCTGAAAATCAAACTAAGTGAACACACAAAAAACTATGAATTTTTTAGCTCAACTGCCCCAAAAGGCTGGCATCCAGCATCAACTTTTTTGTTTAAACAACTTCTTCTCAATAGCCAATAGACAAAATGTTTTGGTAAGTTTGTTTACTAGGAAAAGTGAAGAAGCATGGCCCTTTGTAATTTGGATTATGTGAAAAAATTTTGAAATGAAATTATTCATAGAAACAGAAAGATTATTGTTTACTATTAATCTGACATTTTTAGGAATTTTTCGTTTGATGCTCTGGTTTCATTAATCATTTCTCTCTGAATTTTCTTCAGTTTTATTTATTGTTATTTAGGAAGTGATGGAGTCAATTGATGAACACATAATGATGAAAACACTCACAGATGCCTACTCATGTTCATTGGTAAGTTTTCACTGACAAGCACAAATTCATAGTTAGGGTAACTTTGATACTAGACTGAAATATCTCCAGAAAAGTTAACAGATTTCAGACTTCTAGTTACTTTTATCCTCCTGTCCTCTTACCCCAGGACTTTCATTTCTCCTCTGGTGTCATTTATAGGTTGATGAATCACTTTACAAAATGAGAATAATCTACAAAATGAGAATAATCTAGATATTCTTTCTGTTTAAATTATCAAGATTTTCACTTTTACTGTACCCCCAATGAGAACTCTGGAATTCAATACTATGCTTTTTCTGTCAATTTATCACATTTTCTGTTGCAGCAATTGGCTAAAGCATCCAGTAAAGAGGTAAATTGAAACTTATTTTTAAAAATTTTTGATATTTTTTTTGCTCCCTGAAGGGAGAGCATGTAGTTGCCACATTGTCTGTCTGTTTTTCTGTTCATTTGTTTGTCTGTCATAATTTTGTCAGGAGTTTAACACAAAAACTTGAGAGGTATCAACATGAAACTTAGGTAGATAGATGTCAACAAGGAAAAGTGCAGTGCACAAGAAGAATCACTCTCTTTTGCATAATGTAGGAGTTACTGCCCTTTGTTATTTTTCATTCTTAAATTTTTTTCCCATTTGAGGAGGTTAATCCATCTGTGATGGCCCTTGTTCTCATTAAAAGCCCTCTGGAATTTCTTGCATACTATAAACATGAAGGCCAAACAATTTCGCAAGTTATAGTTACAATGTACTACATGTATGTTTTCATTCAGCTGTCTGTCTGGAGTGAAAGGCAGAGTAAAGTTCACCGCTTTCCATCACTTAAGTTCTTTGTTCAAAATTCTGGTTTAATCATTACTGAGAATATGAATTGAAATGTTTTCCTAAAAATTTCTATCTATTTTTTATGATCAGTTTATTTCCGTCGCATCAATTATGTTGTATGTCCCCATGGACAATGCCACAACACAGATGTAGCTACCATCAAAGGCACTTTTATGACATTTGCAATTACCAAATTTCACACCTGAAGATGATTTAGTTTGAAAATAACTGGAAAGTTACCCTAGATATACAGACTATGGAACTATCACCCACTCCAGCCATGTGATATATACTTATTCACTGACACGGTCATTCATCATGTTCTGTTATGGTTACTGTTTATATCAAAACAATAGTACATATATTTTACTTTTCACTGTTACTTAAAATTAAATAAAGATTACACCAAACATGTTGGTAGGGTTTACTGAAAAACAAGTGTGAACAAAAATGCATGGTGTTTTTAAGTGTGTTTTATTAGGTAAATAGAAGCTTACTCTCAGAAAAGCAACATATCATGGGACCTCATTCTGCCCTCAAAATAAGCATACTGACTACAGCAAGGTAGAGGGGTCAGAGCAAGCTTCTACGGTTATCTATGTTCAGAAAGAGGCAAGATCCTATAAACTTTATACATTTTTACACTCTTTTAGACTGAAATACAAATTGATAGAAAATCGTGTCCAAAGAATGTCTCTGGTATATATGATATACATTCCATAAATTGTATGTAGAAATGTAGAGAATTATTCACCCAGTATTAAACAAAGTCCATACTTACAGTAATACAGAAATTTTTTTTTTTTTTTTTTTTTTGGTATACCTCACATAATTGTACTTATGAATGGAAAGAATTATTACCCAGTGTAAAACAATGATTTGGCCCGATGAACCTCACACAGTTCCTGATAATTGTACTAGGAATGTATAGAGTTATTACACAGTAAAAACAATGTTCTTACAGAGAAAAGATGACGACTATGATGAACTCTGTGACCTTGTACAGGATGTTGGTTTTGCATATTTCCAAATTCTGCTCCGAAAACTGGCCATAGAAAAAGGCATTACAAAGGAAGGTATGTTATCTAATGATTTACACAGTGTGAAAGTGTACTTTGAGTTAAGGGGTTATACTATGATTTACACAGTGTAAATGTATACTGGAAGTTAAGGGGTTAAACTCTGATTTACACAGTGTAAAAGTATACTGGGAGTTAAGGGGATAAACTCTGATTTACACAGTGTAAATGTATACTGGGAGTTAAGGGGTTAAACTCTGATTTACACAGTGTAAATGTATACTGGGAGTTAAGGGGATAAACTCTGATTTACACAGTGTAAAAGTATACTGGGAGTTAAGGGGTTAAACTCTGATTTACACAGTGTAAATGTATACTGGGAGTTAAGGGGATAAACTCTGATTTACACAGTGTAAATGTATACTGGGAGATAAGGGGTTAAACTCTGATTTACACAGTGTAAATGTATACTGGGAGTTAAGGGGTTAAACTATGATTTACACAGTGTAAATGTATACTGGGAGTTAAGGGGTTAAACTCTGATTTACACAGTGTAAATGTATACTGGGAGGTAAGGGGTTAAACTATGATTTACACAGTGTAAATGTATACTGGGAGGTAAGGGGTTAAACTCTGATTTACACAGTGTAAATGTATACTGGGAGTTAAGGGGATAAACTCTGATTTACACAGTGTAAATGTATACTGGGAGGTAAGGGGTTAAACTCTGATTTACACAGTGTAAATGTATACTGGGAGGTAAGGGGATAAACTCTGATTTACACAGTGTAAATGTATACTGGGAGTTAAGGGGTTAAACTCTGATTTACACAGTGTAAATGTATACTGGGAGTTAAGGGGTTAAACTATTATTTACACAGTGTAAATGTATACTGGGAGTTAAGGGGTTAAACTATTATTTACACAGTGTAAATGTATACTGGGAGTTAAGGGGTTAAACTATTATTTACACAGTGTAAATGTATACTGGGAGTTAAGGGGTTAAACTCTGATTTACACAGTGTAAATGTATACTGGGAGATAAGGGGTTATACTATGATTTACACAGTGTAAATGTATACTGGGAGTTAAGGGGATAAACTCTGATTTACACAGTGTAAATGTATACTGGGAGTTAAGGGGATAAACTCTGATTTACACAGTGTAAATGTATACTGGGAGTTAAGGGGTTAAACTATTATTTACACAGTGTAAATGTATACTGGGAGTTAAGGGGTTAAACTCTGATTTACACAGTGTAAATGTATACTGGGAGATAAGGGGTTATACTATGATTTACACAGTGTAAATGTATACTGGGAGTTAAGGGGATAAACTCTTATTTACACAGTGTAAATGTATACTGGGAGGTAAGGGGATAAACTCTGATTTACACAGTGTAAATGTATACTGGGAGTTAAGGGGTTAAACTATGATTTACACAGTGTAAATGTATACTGGGAGTTAAGGGGTTAAACTATGATTTACACAGTGTAAATGTATACTGGGAGTTAAGGGGATAAACTCTGATTTACACAGTGTAAATGTATACTGGGAGTTAAGGGGTTAAGCATACAATTTTTATTTTGTAAATGTTTCAGTTTTGTTCACAGAGACCAAAGAGATGAAATATTGGCATTCCTCTAATTATGTGTAATGTTTATTTTGTAGTCTTTGTAAAAACCAAGTTGCAGAAGGAAGCATGGGACTTCTACGATTTAGGAACCATGTCAATTGAAGTGCTGAAAGGGGAGGACCTTCAGACAATCTACTTCAGAGTGAAGGATAAGGTGAGACAACTGCAAATTACATTTGACCTTGTTGTTTGACTTCATCCTATTACCTTGATAAATGATAATTGTCATGACCTTGTGCTTTATCAAGTCTAGACCTTGTAATCATTATATTTATCTGTGTTTCTATTGCTTATATCTTTTACTTTGACCTTGACTTTACTTAGAAGACTTTACAATTGTTGTGTATGATCATGTGTTTGACCTTGACATTATAATTTTGCCCAAATATATGCAAATATGTAATCAGATGGTGCGATGGTATTATATACACTCACCTTTCATCTTTCTGATGAAGTGAGTTTTCTGCGATTACTCTGGTTGCCAACAATAAGGCTAGCTCACTTCCATTGAGGCCAACAAACATCATACGTTGATTTGGCATATCTCCTACAGTTGTCAACTTTTATAGCTATAGATGTATCTTATTGGGATTACAAGGATTTAACTGAATCAGGTGTGATCTTGGACGTGTTTGAGTAGGTTACCATGTTGCCACATGAACACTAATAAAATACACCATTTCCTGAGCAGGACGTGTCACTCTATTTGTATTTTTTATCCAACATTTGTTCTGTTTAACAGTATGACATGTATATTTGTTATTGACTGCTGATAGAGTGTGTTGCGTGAGGACATCAAGGAGAAGTTCAAGTATGAGGTGGACCGCTCCACTCCCAGCAACAAGATACGAGGCTTCATGGACTGGTCCAGTGACATCATGCAGGACATAAAATACCAACGAAAGGTCTTATCAAACCCTGTTGGAAGAATTCTCATCAAACTTTGGTAAAGTTTCAATCTTTCCATGTGAACATAATCAAACTGCACATTTCCTTATAATCCTTTTACTCTACAATGCATTTAAGCAAATAGTTATTGTAAAACACAGCTTACAGTAAAAAGTGTACAGGTATGTGATAGCAGATGTAATGCTATCAATAGCATTGTTTACTGGACTTGGTAGTCTCTACTTTGCTTAAACAATTAAATCCCTATAGGTACTCATAATTCTGAATCAAAGTGTTGAGGGCACTTTAAAGTGCTGTGCATTATATACAAAAATAAAGGAAACAAGCGGTTATCAGAATAGAACTTTATGAAGAGTAAAACTTATCTATCCTCCTACTGGATATTACCAGGAAAAGGTACTTTCTATATATACTAAATATCATCATAACCAATAACACTGTATACTTGCAATTATGACAAAATTTGGGTAAGGCTTAAATTTTTAAAAGTGACCTTGAACTTTAACCTTTGATGCATTTGCTTGTCTGAGGCAGGTAGGTCTAAATGAACATATTTTTGAATTTAAATTGTAGAAACATTTGTTGATTTAAGCTATTCCAAAAATAAACATTGACTATGGTATGTTCGAATTAAATAAGTTCAGAGACAGAAGATGTCTTATGCCAGCGCCAGGTGGGGTGCACCAATATTCTGGTTTGTACTGTTAAATATGTCAAATCCATTTTTGATTTCAATCTATTCATTTAAGTAGATAATTTGCCTTATTTTATTCAAAATACAAAAATAAATGAAAAGTGCAAACCTTTCAGGACCCAGCGTTTATTTTTACACTTTTTACACATGCGCAGCAGGGTCAGCTGCACAGTTGTCTGCTTGAATTCAGATTACCACTGCTTTGTTTGAGAGCTTTTCTTATTAGAGGTAGAAAAGTACCCACATCACGTAGTTATCATGCATCATGACTGGACAACTCAGTAGCTATTGGAATTGAGAACTGAAATAAAGTGTTTGAGCACTGTTCCCATTTGAGCACTGGTCAGCTGGTTAGTCTGCTTCAGTACCACAGGTCAATATGTAACAGTAAAGAATTACAGAGAAGGAAAGTATAAATGGAGAGGTTGAGTAAAAACTTATCAGGTTTCATTAAAGTGGGGATGTATAGTTTACTGCCTTTACATGGAGGCATTACATACTTTTAGTATGGAGGTGTTCTCACATAAATCTTCATAGCAGGTAAACATTGAAATTAACTCAGTTTTGTAGGTAGCGTCAGGTCAGTTTGTCTTCCCTATAGATATAGGTACTGGTTTCCAGCATCTAAAACATTTTGACTTAATTATTTTCCATTAACTTTTTACTTTTCCTTTTTTTACTTTTTCACTTTCCTGGCTGTTCCCTAAGTTTCTTGGAATTTCATTGAATTTAGCAATTAAGGGGTAATAAATTAAGTTTTGCTGCATGTAATTATGTGGGATATATTCAACCATTGAGTATAAACTCAAGCTCAACGCCCTTAAGTCTTACTTAACAGCAATATTAAGGCAGATTCTTTTTCATTCTTAACTCTCAAAAAAAAAGGTAAAATTGATGTGTCCAAATTCTTAACAATAATTGATTACTCGATGTGTGAGGGGCAACAGTGGTCAAGTGGTTAAGGTATCTGACCATTTTAATCACTAGCCCTTCACTTCTGGGTCATGGGTTTGAGACTTACAGAGGACAATGGCCAGGTAATGGCTGCAGGTCAGTTTTCTCCAGGAGCTCTGGTTTTCTTCCACCACCCAAACCTGACACATCCTTAAATCTGCCTAGCTGTTAAAAGGATGTAGGGTTTGAGACTTACATAGGACAGTGTCCAGGTAATGGCTGCAGGTCAGTTGTTTTCTCCAGTAGCTGTGGTTTTCTTCCACCAACCAAACCTGGCACATCCTTAAATCTCCCTAGCTGTTAAAAGGATGTAGGGTTTGAGAATTACATAGGACAATGGCCAGGTAATGGCTGCAGGTCAGTTGTTTTCTCCAGGAGCTCTGGTTTTCTTCCACCACCCAAACCTGACACATCCTTAAATCTGCCTAGCTGTTAAAAGGATGTAGGGTTTGAGACTTACATAGGACAATGGCAAGGTAATGGCTGCAGGTCAGTTGTTTTCTCCAGGAGCTGTGGTTTTCTTCCACCAACCAAACCTGGCACATCCCTAGCTGTTAAAAGGATGTAAAGCAATAATAAATATCATTGTGTGGTCAGATGAACTTATTGTGAATTAATACTTTTCCAGGATACCAATGAACTATGCTGCCCTGATGCTGAGCATTCTGATATGTTCTGTCATAATGATCACATGGCGTGATCCCAAGAACGAAGAGGGAAATTCTGACGTTGACAGGTAGGTCTGGTTATCAGGTTCATGTTACTGCCTTTGATAGGCTTTCTTCACCAATCTGTATTCCTCCAGTTCTTTTTATCACATCTGAATGAATGATTTTATAGAGACTGACTTCACTCTGTGTTAGGGCTCAGTCTTTTATTATACTCCCCACTTAAATAGCAGGATAGTCACTTTGTGGGTGGGTATATTTATCATAATCTTGTGTACCAGATATATATAAATCTATTGACACCATATCTAATTCAATGTCTTCTTGTTCCATAAACCTTTTTACTCATTGCATATTCAGTTAAGTAACTGTTTGCAGTTTCCCTTAATGCCTGATTATTCATGTGTAAGATTGTTTGTCTGGTACTTATCATTCATTTCAAGCTCTTGTTTAAAATTAAATTAATCAACATGTCTGATGATACATATGTAAGTATGATGATGTTTGAAGTAACTGGTGTATTGTTATTTTCCAGCATTGTGCCAATCTTCAGCATCGATGAGAACCTGTACTTTTATTTCCTGTACATAGTGGGTGGGATACACAACTTCCTCAGTGTGTGTATATATGTGACATTCTTACTGTCCAACAACCCAAGTTTCCCACCGTGGCAGTTTTTCCTCAGGCTTATGTAAGTCAGTAACATGTATGAATTAAAAACCTGGTGAATTCTAATTTGTGTAAAAAGGAAAGAAAACAGGATATTACTTTTTTATTGGTCATCTCAGATTTGCATTCCATTACATCATGCCATTATCAGCTTGATCTAGTCAAGATATCTCTTTTTTCAAACTTCACTTCAGTGAAGAAATGGTCCTCACATTTCACCATTTAGGAAGTCATGATTCCATACTGCCATGGTTGTTTTACTATTTTTGTACATTACAGAGGGAAGAGCAATGAGAAGGAGGAAGAATTTAAGACCTGGAATGAGAGGAAAAACCCATACGACACCAACAACCTTGAATTAAACATATACAGCATAAAAGCCCTATACTATGTGGTAGGTTTTTTAACGGGTTTTCTCCTCTATCATTTTAAATATGTTAACTCTCCTATAAGATTGGAATCCCGAGGTCAAGGTCACTTCAAACTGTCATTGCTTTTCACATTCAAATAGCTTTTCTGATTTACCTTGGTTTTACAGGGTGATTTCCCACAAGGAATTCTGGGAGTAGATTATTAACATACATTAATTGTAGAACATTCTATAAAATGTATCTGTTTTTACAGCTGGATACAATGATATTAGTGAGTGGATTTCATTGCTAGAAAAATAAAGAAAGTTGTAGTTCAAAATCAACAAGATAAAATCTCTTTAATTATAGAAGCTTCAGTTGTGTGAAGATAATCATTAATATTATCATTTGTATGATACAATGTAAGCCTATCAAATTGAAGTGAAATTTGTCAGATAGTAAATAACATTACTCAGGTGACCAACATGTCATCATGAGTGAAGCCAGAGATGAGTGTCTGTTTAATCCTCAGTCAGTAATGATAAGCACCTTACTTAAGCTTGAGTTGAAAATAAGAATGAATAATGAAAGAAAGATAATTCAAATCATAGATTGACTTTTTAATGGGATGTACAGTTGTCAAATGTAAGATAACATAATTAGAGGATGTTGTGATCTTTGCTGTCATTTATGTTGGCTGTAATTGACATGTCAACACAGTTTACTGTATATATATATATATATAGTTTTGTGCCTTGGATGTGAGCTTTTTAAACGTTTGACAGATTATTACATCTACTGAAAACAACTTCATAAAGATATTCATGTCAATTCATACATGACATTCATCGATATGAAGCCGATCAGAAGCACTGAATATTGGTGATAAAGTGTCTCACTACAATAAATACCAGTGGTAATTACCAGGGTAATGTTGCATAGGAGGTATCATAACTAAAGGGATGTAATATGCTGTACCCAGATTAATTACGTTACTTGTGTTTCAGGTATTTGTGGCATGTTCAATACTTGGAACAATCTACTATGGGTACTTCTTCTCTTTCCATCTCCTCCACATCGCAGAGCTCAATCAGCTGCTTAAACGAGTCATCCAGGCTGTCACCACTAACGGTAAAACCAAACAGGGCGTTTACAAAATCAATTTTTATAGACAGACTTTTCAGTATATATTATATAAGTGTATTGTAGAATCACCTTGTTAAAACTGTCACTTTTTACAGAAAAAAAGCAGCATGTTGATTTTGAAGAATCTCTTTAAGAGAAGCACCAGAGAACAGATTTTGCTGGAAAGTTAGTGAGGGCAAACTTAATAGTTTCTGTTGGAAACATCTTTGATATTAGGTATTGAACTGGAAGACTGTAAAGTTGCCACATCGATACCTATATACCTATACATATTTCTCCAACAGGAATGTCACTGTTGTTGGTTGCTTTGCTTGGTCTGGCCATCATGTTTATCTACTCCCTGGTCGGCTTTGCTTTCCTTCGGGAGAAATACTTCAAAGAGGATGAAGGTCGTCATTGTCGTACGGTGGCCCAGTGTTTCGTCACCATAACTCATCACGGCTTTGTGGATGTGCCCTACACTGTGAGCAGCATTTTAAACAGTATTAGTTGTTCAAAAAATCAGTACCTGACCAGTTCAGTCTCCAGTTAGGACTATAAAAAAGACTACATGTATTGCTTTATTGTTACGACAGTTTGTAACTTTGTTCAGAGTTTGTCTGTCAGTAACTCAAGGTTTGAGATCAGTCTGTAACTCTTTTGATAAATTATATATATAAATTTGTCTGTCCTGTTGAATGGTAATCAAATATTAATGTTGGATATTTTGTCTCACAATGTAAAAGCATCATGTACAGGCATGAGATCTGGTTCTGTCCAGGAGCCAGTGGACTATAATTTGTAATGAAATAATTTGCCTTGTCACAACAACATCACTTAAATCACTCGATAATACTTGCAAAGTTATGATAACACAATGATTTTGTATTTACCTACAGACATTTGAGAGTGCCATGGACAGTAACATCAATGATGTACTAATGCTATCAGCTATAGACGTGACCTTCTTCATACTCATCACCACCATCGGCCTTAACATCATCTTTGGTGTTATTGTCGACACTTTCTCCCAACTAAGAGACTCCAAGGTAACATATAAAATATGTAGTGTGGACAATGAATTGAGACAGTGACAAACTTACATGTGAGTGGATAGACAGAGTCGAGAGTTTAAAATCAGTACAGTACATTTTGTTATGTTTCTCATTCCATTAAAAAAAGAAAAGAAAAAAAAATTTCTTAATGGCTCAATCCCTGTACTGGCACACAAGACTACAAGACATATGTTGTCAGTATTTATGTAAAATGGGGTCACCAAGGTTATTGCCTCCAGTACCATTTGTAGATTTGATTAATGCTCTTTTATGATTGGAAACCATCTGTGATTTATTCAGTTACTATTACTAGATGCTAGTTCTTAAAGGTCGTATGAGGAGGAAGGTAGGTACTACTCAAAGAATTGTCTCCTTCTCCTTTTTTTCTATATCAGATACATTATTTCTTTGCAGTACACATGTGCAACCAAAGATTTTCTAAGAGTATTTATCTTACGTCATAAAATAAATTGGGAAATGGCTGAAAATTGATATATATTATTATTTCAGTGGGAAATTGACAAAGACATGCAAAACAATTGTTTTATCTGCAGCAGAGAGAGCTATGACTTTGAGCGACAAGGAAAGGTATTTTCATGATATTTGTAGTAAAACAACTTTTGTATCACCCATTTTGTCTCAGACGATTTAAATCTCATTCCATGGGGCCAAATTGGAAACAACAACTTAATTTACTCAAAGTCATTTTATGGAGTTCCTGGGCTATGATATTATGGCTGAAGTTGTTGCTGTGTCTGTGGGTCAAGCGTTCAGACTACTGACAGCAAAGTACAAAACCAATAGAGATGTGCAATACTACATTTAATAAACTATATAATGTAATAGGTAATATGGTCAGTTGTTAATTATGGCTGGTCTATATGGGGTTATCAGTATCAATTCTGTCCAGAACTGAGCCACACATTTATTTATCGGTCTAGACACGCCCCTAATATAGATGATGGCTCCATCTCTTTTAAATGGATGAAAGCAGATTTAACAAAAAATATTTAGATGCATGGATAATTCAGGAAAGGTGAAAAAAGTTGGATATTACAGTCAAAGTGATATTTCCGAACTCTTTGTCCTACAGACAATAAACTCACACTAGATAACACTGAAACTGGAAATTTAAAAGAACAGATCAATTGTTTCAACAGAGGAACTTTCATCATTGTATTGAAAAGTGATATGAACTTTTAAACAATAGTAAGTCTATTAGAGAAAATAGTAGAAACAAGTTAAGGACTTATAGAACCTAGAATGAGTAATTAGGTCAAAAACATATAGATCTAATTCAAATGATGTCAGCAGCAACTCAAATTGTTGCTGCTAAATTTAGATGTGGGGTGGCTCTGCTTAGAATAGAAATGGTAAGGTACGAGAATATATCAACAGATTTCAGAACTTGCTTTGACGGTGATATATACTTGAAAGAGGAATGATTTTTGTCATATGGAAATGTACTTTATACAATGACATTTTAGACAAGTTGTTTAACCAAAGCTGTGATAACTCTGTGGATGGTAACTTTAACAAAATGGATGACTCCGCTAAAATGTTTCTGCCTTTCAAAATGACTCCCTTATTTGTTAAAAATCCTTTGGTTATGTGAGGAATTCCATGATGTAAATGTGTTTTTGTGCAGGGTTTTGAGAAACATGTGAAGGCAGAACATAACCAGTGGGCCTACCTTTTCTTCTTTATTCACTTGGATGAGACCAGACCCAATGACTATTCAGCTCTGGAACTCCATGTCTATAACATGGTAAGCTTCTCTTGTAAAATGTTTCGTTTTCATGGGGGTACATAGTGTTATCCACGTCAGTTGTTTCCTGTTCCGTGTCTTCTTATCGTGACAATATATCTACAGATTTGGCTTATATTTAATCCATTGATAAGTGGTATCATTAATTTCTACACCATATCACTGATGGTCATTGGTCTAGGTTAAAAGTTCAAAGGTCACATTTGAAATTCATCAAGCAATGATACCTTTATGCATACAAACAGGAACCTTCTGATGTTGAGACATTTTTCTGTAATTTTTGTTTGTTTGTTTGATTTAACCTTTTGAAATGTTTTAACATCTATTTCAACCTTTGATAATGATTTGAAATTTGAAAATATGATATGATTTTTACATGTTTATTTAATGTAACTTCACTGTTGTAGTTGGACCTGAACCGCTTTGAGTTCTTCCCCTTGAACAGAGCACTCTGCCTTCAGAGTGACAAGTATGACACAGATGAAATGATTGAACAGCTTCAGATATCCATCAAAGCATTAGATGCGAAGCTCACCAATGAAATGATGCTTGTTGAGTTTATGGCTTCCAAAATAAAAGAGGAGGTAACTGAAATGATGAAATATGATTTTCTTGTGTCATGCGTCCCAATACACTGTCGATGAACAAATGATTTTTGTAGAGGTGTAGAATATGTGAATGATGTATATGTGAAAACATTAGCCCAGGGTTGTATTTTTACCCAGTGTTAAATCTGCCCTTAAATGCATGGGCATATTTCTACTTTACCATCAAACTTATGCCTACTTTTGTATTTTTGACCTAATACTGTGACAGATGAACTATAGTGATAGTTTCCCCTAAGCAGCCTTTGCATCTGTATGTAATTTTTCTGTATTTACATGTATTTTGTTATTATGAATGTCAATTACAGAACAAATGTATCAAGTGTAAATTCTATTGTAAAGCATCAACAAATTAAAGCTACTTTTCGGTCTTACATTGTTTGATATACATGTTCAAAATGACATCTCTGTGTGTATGATGACAATACCTGCAGGTTCTAGTAATTATTAATGAGGAAAGAAAGATGATTATTACAAATTAAGTTGGAAAACGATCTGTTTGTTTCAGGATGCCCTTAAACTGAAGGAGAGGGAGAAGAAAAATCAAAAGGAGTGGGAAGCTAGTCAGAAAACTCCACGGGAATAATGTGAACCAATAGACATTTTAAGAAGAGTTTTCAAGACATGTTATGACAATACCAAAATAAACAATTTTTTGAATCCAATCATGAGATCGTTCCAGAAGAGGAAAGAGGAATAGTATTTTTTTTTCTTTTCTGAATTACAGAATTAAGATGGGGAAAAAATAAAATAAGAAATAGATTAGTACTGCACATGCAGTGATTTCTTTTGCACTCATTATGTCTCACCAACTCACAGACTGACGAACATTGGAATTGGTGTGTCACCAGATTCAGTAGGCTATAATGAAATCTCCTGGAATATATGTTGAAATGAAAAGGTAATGAACAATTCAGGTTATGATACAAAAAAATAAAAAATGACAGCATTTTGATGAAACTTCCATCATAATGATTTTAGAAGAAATTCAACATCTTCGTGTTAAGGAATCCTGTATGTCAATCCTAAGTAAACAAAAGTCAGTCAGTAGAAAGATATGAGGTAGATTTAATGATGGTATGTTTAGATCATCATTGTGATATCATCTATCTTTATGTACAATAAACTTTGTGTATGAATGTTTTTAAAAGTAGACCAAAATGATGAATATTTTACATGCAACCAGTTTTATACCATGTATACTTGTTGGTCTATAGATGGGCAGAGTTAAAGGTCACATCAAGTGACCATGTGACCAAAATTGATAGTTATATTTATATTGTTTTATAATTTGAAAGTACAAATATCCATTTGAAATTGTTGTGCCTTTTACTCTGTCTTGTCTGGAGTAGGTTTTGGTTGGAATAGCAAGTGATAAACACTCTGAAATTTTTTTATACTGATAGAGGTCTCCACTAATTAAGCTACATGTAGTTTGGAGATCGTTAATGTCTTGTAGGGTATTTTTCATATTTTCAAATTTAAATGTGATATCCTAATTACAGCAGTTATCAAAATATTGAAATAATTCATTAAAAATAGGATGACAGTAAATGATAAATACATTTTGTAAATTGTTGGCATTAAAAATTCATATTTGGATTTGGTTTTGATAAAAATAAAATGTTTTAAAGATATATGCTACTATTTACTTGTGAAGCATGCTTTAGATATTTCCCTTTATCCCATACAGCATTACACTTGTATTTGATCATCTGGAATGACAAAAGTATTATTTTGTAAATTTTTGTTGTCTTTAATTTTTGTGCACATTTAATTGTTTTATCAGTCATTTTGTGCTTTCAAATCTGTCATCAACAATGTTATTTTGTTTTACCAGTCATATTAGTGTGGACCACTTCATAGAAAGAAACTCATGTCAGGTAGAGTAGCATACTTTTGGAACATTTTCTTCACGTTGATAATGTCAGTAGAAGTTCTTGTAACACACCCAGTAAAAGATTAGAGTATGACGTTTCAATGACTACACCGTCACCTTCACCAGACAAATACCTCAGTGTGGAGCATACTACCAACTTTTTCAACTGTACTATAATCCTATGTACGCTGAGGTCGAAAATAGTGTGACAAGATGGTAAATAGATTATAGACCAAAAAATTACGCCACATGGTAACAATGTACTGTAGTGAATTCAGCTACTTACATCTTCAAGTGTAAATATAGGATTGTGAATTCATGTAATTTCTTTAACTCAGGGTAGTTGATAATTCATTCATTTCATTGTGTAGCAAATTTTAAGATTTGTAGTGTGACTCATTTAATTGTTAAGTTTTTTAGTTATACACTCTTTTTGTGTTAGTTTTAGGTTTCATACAAAACATATAGATGAGAATGTATGTTTTCTTTCCATTTACATCACAATTAGTTAATGTTTGGGACGCCAGTTTCTTAAAGTGATCTTAGCCTGTATAAAAATTATTGATAACCTTAAAATATGAACTTGTTATAACAAAGTTATTTATGGCAAAAAATATTTAAATACAAAAGTGTCTGGATGGTGAATATCTTTGGTATACAATGTCAAAATAAAGGTCAGTTAAAATGAAAACTTCAAAAATTGTCACCAAATATTTTCTATCAAAACTGTTTCATCACTTCATCAATATCATGTTATCATGCCTCTTTTGATTTCTGCTATGAAATATCCACTGTATTATGCTGTCTTCATGAATCCTTTCTATCTGTTGCCTTTATATTTGATTACGTTTGTATATATTGACCTGAAGATTTATCTTTATGGGAAAATCAAAGTGATTGAGTATTATCATTCATTTATCTAATGTTTAAAAAATACTGCTCCAGATAGAGATATTTTACCAAATAAAATACAATGTACAAAGTGATAAAAACAACAAAAGGAAGATATTTATGGATTAATTTACCAAAGACTTGACAACTTTACACAATGATTTCAAATTCATTAAGAATTTTTTACATGTTGGGAAACTTCTACTTAACCAAGCAGTTTTAGATGATATTGAAAGCTTGTACTGGGTAAACTGGTGACTTGGCATTTTATTATGTCAGGTAATTTATTTTAGAGAGCAGAGACAAGCAGCAGAAACTAATGGAGTAATGATAAACATTAAAAGGTTAAAACATGCAGATATGATTTAAAAGTTGAATAAGCAGTTGGCCATATTCAGTAACAGTTAAAACAGACTGATATAAGATGGATGTTCTGAAGACCTGCTACAGATAATGAAATACAGGGAGTGGAAAGTGCAAAGACTGACTGAAGAGGACATGAAATGATGACTATTAACAAGTTGTTATGGGTTATAGCAAGGACCAGTTTTCCAACACTTGAATATTAATTGTCTGTGATAAATCCTATACGTGTATTATCATTTTATTGTTATTTGAGGTGTGTATTAGTGGTGTTAAGATCATAGTCAGCCATTATGTAGATTCCACTTTGATGTTAGTTATATGTGAGTTGTTGTGATATATTTTGATTGCTCTTCCAATGTTGAGACATGTATGATTTTAAATAAATGTTTTAGAAAATTATTATGTAGCTGTGTTATTTATACCCCGGACAAAATTTATCAATCGTTCATACTTTTAAATGAACATTGAGATCATCTTCATTCGTCAACGACCTCGTTGTCTGCTGCGATTTGGCAAAATTCTTGCTAAATTTCTATTACATTTCTATTTCATATAGTTTCCTGTATCAGGTTCTTAAGATGAGATTAGTTTCAAAGCTGTTCCCTTAAAATGTAGGTCATTGTTACCACTTTTAGAAATCTTTGAAAAAAAAGGCCTGCATTATCATCAGTGAATTTCCCATTTTCTTAGTGAATGAATTTAATAATGCATTATTACTTGACATCAATATTTATATACACACAATATTACGACATTTTTTACTTGCGGTTGACTTTACAATGAGCTTCACTTTATTATATTACACAGATATGGGAATGTGTTCTTTTCTGCATCATTTAGATTTATTGTCTTCCAATAATTCAATCAGTTATGTTAAAAACAAAACAAATACACACTGCAGCTTCTATGAAAACAAGAATATTTGTACTAATATTGTCTTGAAGAGGGTAATTGAAAACTGTTAACTGTGTCATCAAACCACCTTAAATACAAGAACCATGATGGATAATTATATAATGGTTATGGAATACTGGTCTAAAGGGATGTAACCCACTTTCAGGTATTTTGGAATTTGGGACTTAATTTCCTGTAGGTGGAATAAATAGGAAATCACAATTCAAGTTCAACCTCCCCATTTTGTCTCATTCAATCTGGACCAAATTAAACACATTATCCAGGCATATATGCAAACTAGGATTTAACAAATACAAACAAGCTTTTGGTGTCATAAACTTTTCTGAAACGAAGCAGTCATGAAAAAATTGTGTATGTATTTACATAAAAAGTAAATGATTCAAATAAATATGCGAATAAACGCCATGAGTATTGTATGAAATGAAATTCTTTCTTTGATTGCATGGAACTATCGTGTTAGTTTTTTGTAACAATCGATCATGCCTCATAATTGAAGACAAGTTTTGTTAGTCTCGTAAATCCGGAAATACAGTAACGGCAAAACTCAAATATTATAATATCGTTTTTTTTGTCATTAAGACGCTTGTTCACGTCTCTATCAAACGTTTCAGAGACGTGTTGTGAATCTCTATGACAACAAACGGGAAAATGGAGTACACTGGGAGCAATTATAAAGGGGACTACAAAAATGGACGGTAAATATGCCTTGAAACTCCATCCTTTGTTACTTATTGCATTCCCAACGCCAATGAAACAATTCTTTTTAAATATTTCAGACGTAAGCAAGACTGTGTTTCGGTTAAACTATGCTATAATGACAATATAAACAGTGACCAACATACGTACAACAGTGTCAAAGAGATCTTGCATGTTGTCGGCCTGATTGCAATGCTGAATATTATACGTCGCATGTCAAAAGTTTTTCGCAGTGTTAAGCTTCTAAATTTGTTGGAGTATAACCAACGTTTCAGTGTTGGAACACAGAAACCATCTGTTTAGAATTCTTTTAATGACAACGACAACGTGCATGCAACCAATTTCGAATAATCATTATAAATATCAGTTTTATTTAATGATAAGCTTCTTTTCTGATACACACGGTCAATTTTACTGTAGGTTATATTCTAAACAAGTTGACTGGGGTCATTAATGTGTGGTATTTATGTATACATATATATAACAGAACTGGGAAAATACACATCCCTGTCAAGTGCGCCGGCCAGGAATCAAACTCTGGCGTATGGCATGATAATCCACCAATGAAGTATGCTCCGTCAGCTCATTGACAGAGACTGTATTTAACGCTATATACAAGCCACACACACCTGCTCCTGTTACATATATATTGTGTCTAATATAGTGTTGATTGTTATGTTTTGTTTATTTTGACTTTTATGTATATGTTGACCGTGTGAACTTAAATAAGGTGTTGGTTTTATCCATTATGCTATGAAATATTGATTACCTTGATACATGGCAACTGTTTATGTGACACTTTGTTTATTATCTCATAGTTCAAAATGAAAATATATGATATCATTTTTTAGGATGGAAGGTAAAGGTACCTATGACTTCCCCACCGAGACTCGGTATGAAGGGGAGTTGAAGGATGGAATGTTTCATGGCAAAGGAACTCTTTTTTTTCCAAACGGAAGCAAGTATGAGGCCTCATGGGAAGAAGGAATAGCTTTGGAAGTAAGTAAACAGGGTTTAAAATTATCATCAAAAGTTGAGCCACACAAAAGTGTTATACATACAGCGTACTACCAGTATTTCTATATGTATAATAGATCATTCATGATGCAACTTGTTTTTGTTGATGTCTATTATAAGCCCTCAGAATTATTAACCACATGTCCAACTGAATTGGATTATTGTATCTTTCTTCCAAAACATCATCTGTTGTCATTATATGGTCAAATAGTAAATACTATAACATACCTACACATATTGAATACTTCATAAATGTAATCTTAGGCATTATCCTCTGCAGAATTATGGCCCTTTCTTAATTTACATCACTTTCGGGGCATTTTATTCATTGTGTATTTAACCAATGGTATTCCAGTACATACAATTGCTGTTAAGGTCTTGTAAACATCCTAGACATAAAGATATGTATAACATATACATATCACTTCCCTATGTTCACTTTTTACATTAAAATTTGCCTGGACTTCAACTAGGAAGGCAATTATTGTTGTCATTTTCTCATAAGAAATTATTTGCTTTCTTTCTGATTATAATTTGCACTGCTGTTTATATGTAAATTTGATATTTTATTTATTTACTTATATATTCATTTCTTCCAAAAAGGGAAAATACACATTTGCTGATGGTTTACCATACGAGGAAGAGAATTGGGAATATTGCGATGGCTATGATAGACGATTTTATACAGAAACATGCAATGGCCTGAAACCAGCAGGTATATTTCCCATTTTCTCTCACAGAAAACAATCATTCACCAAATATCAGAGTATCAATAATTTGTGTTTGAAGCATCTCCCTTGAAATTCAGTTTCATTGTCCACTGTCAGTCAAAACCAGAGAAATCATACTGCATTTCAAAGTTGCCATAAATTGTTATTTATCAATATTAAGTTCAGGCTACTTGATAGGTTTTCTAGTATAGAAATAGTTTAAACTATCACAATTTTTAGTGACAGTGAGATTGACTTATTACAGTGCACAGTGCTTGAAGTGGTGGGAGTAATTTATGAAGAATCAGATATTGTGTTGTTTACCTGCATTCAAGTAAAAAAGATACGTGATAAAAACTATTACAATTGTTACTTATATTTTACATGATCTAGGTCGCTCCCAGCTAACCAACAGAATACCACCTAGAGATATTCCAGAAGGTTGTTATGACTGTGGTGATGGCTTCTACAATCCAAAGTCCAGGGTGGTGGTTGATTATAATCACAAATTCCTCAGAAATGCAGGTGAATAAAAGGAAAACTCATTGAATGTTGAAATTTAACTAATTTTTAATGATATGTTTCCAAGATTTTTCTGGGTATTTCAGACAATCAACTACGTCAGAAAAGTCTTTGGTCATTCTTTGGAAATTAAGAAAAGTATTGATAATCATAGGATACCTAAGAATTTTTTAATATCAAAAAGTTGAAACATAACACATTCTGACCAGTAACCATAGTTTATGAATACCTTTTGAAGGAATTGCTGAATTATTTAATAAAACTAGCTTTGCATTATTACATAAATCTGTTAATACAGTATATTTATTCTATTTACAACTTCCTTCTATTGTCATCAGCAAAATACAATTGCAAAAAATACCCTTACAGGAAAAAATCCATGGAGGTTGTCTTATCAGAAATAATCCAAATTTAAAATGTTACACAGGGAGGAGGCACCAATGCTAAAGCATTAGGCATTGCAGCCTACGGTGTGTGTGTGTGTAGCTTGATAACCCAAACTGGGCCAGTATTTCTTTGCAAGCATGGACCATGTGTCTAATCCTGTACTGTAATAGTTGTGTCTAGTCCTGTACTGTAATGGCTGTATCTAGTCCTATACCATTATGATTGTGGTCTGGTCCTGTACTGTAATGGCTGTATCTAGTCCTATACCATTATGATTGTGGTCTGGTCCTGTACTGTAATGTTTGTGTCTAGTCCTGTACTGTAATGGATATGTCTAGTCCTGCAATGCCATTGTACAGATAACTTTCATAGATTCCCCCAACCCTTCCAAAGATATTTTTTTTATATATAGAACATGTACAAAGGAAAAAGTCTAAAACTAAATATCTTATCTGTTTTTGTTTACAGATGATGACGAACACAGTTGGATTATCAAAAAATGCCGTAAAGGATGGGATGAATATGTTGGTTTCAAGAAAGGAAAGACATCGGCATAGTCTTTTTATAAGTCATAGACAACTAGTAATGTTTTTAATGAATGTTTTTCAATACTTTATTTTAACGATGCATTACTGTCCAAATATATGTTGAAGTAATGAAAATTTTAAAACAAAACCCAGCAATGGATATCTATCAATTAATTGGATCAGTAATACATGTGATATTTAGAAATATATTTTACAAACAGAATGCACAAGAAAGTTTTGAAGTACAATAATTTTCATGTACATTGAATCTGATCACATTAAGTCATGTTATTTAATTGTTGTATATTGCATCATCTCTGGTGCACTCTTCCTGTATAAACAGGCAGGAATACAGATCATTAATGGGAACTTCCTGGGACCTTACAAGGAATAAAATATGTATTCATTCTTATAATCAATTAAACAGGTCCTTATTTTGGGGATGGGCAGTTATTGGAAAAGACAACAACAACAAAAATCACAGAAATTTTCAAGAGGGAGTGCATTTATTTATTTATTTATTTATTTTTTTTTTTTTGTCTTTGGTGTAGATGATGGGTGATTATAAGAATAAGTCTGGCATATAACATGGGATATTCTCTGCTCTTTTTTGATGTAGGCTTCACAATTCTTTTATGGATGCATTCTGTTAAAGTTATTGTTTAAGACAACTCCATCAAGAAAAACTACCCCTGACATTGTGGTTTTACTAAATACTGATATTAATCACTGTATTTGAATTATGAAAATTATTGATTATTGATCATGTTTTTTTATTATGAAAGTTTTGGATAAAATCCAAAATTTCAATTAAAATCAATTTTTTAATTTCTGTTTATAGATTTTTTTATATTTGTCTCCAGTGATACAAAATATTCTACTCATACTCATTAAGACATGGATTGCAAGCATCGACTCAAACATCAGTTACTTTGAATACACAAAATATTTTAAATCAATATGCAAAAGGAGATGACAAAGCTTCCTAAAGGGAGATAATGAACACTACAAAAATATCTTATTTAAGTAACAACCGATTACCAGACTTGTAGTGATTGAATTCGGTGTTGTCAGAGACAAATTTCACCTCAAACCTATAGTCATAGAAATATGTCAAACACTTCAACAATTCAGTATATGTCAAATGTAGCATATTAATCTGGGAACTGAGAATAACGTGAATGTCTTATATGACTTCCCTATATATGTAGTAATGAACACCTATAATCTGGTTTTTACAATTACATGCATAAAAATGTATACTACATCACAATATAAGACTGTAATTACAATTTTAATTCAAGCACGAGGACCAGAATTGAAGAATTCAGTTTCATGACATTGAACATGGGATGTTGTCTGTCTTGACTGGAACACAGGGCGTTGTGAGGCTGTAGACATATTCTATCCCGTCATACGTGTCAACTGTCAGCCTGGAGCTTCAGTTCATTTAATGCAAAAACCTCATGACTATCCTTCGTCGGAGCTACCGCGACATGAAACATGAAAACGTTCATATCATTGTCACTGGATATCACATTGATCTGTGGTAAATTAGCTGTCATTCAAAAAATCAGATGGGAATGTGCACTTTCCCAAAATTCATTTATTATTTCCAATTTTGAATGATCCGAAAGGACGTTAAGTACATGATTAACTGATCCTACCATCATTCGTATCGGCAATGTCTACTACCCGCAATCTTTAAGGTTTAGGATTAACAAAAATCATATAGCTGTTTTGTTCTTCTGGTACTTGCCAGTGGTGCTATGGACCGAAGTTTTTGAAACAACCAAGAAGGCAAGCTGTGAATTAGTACTATGCCTATCATGTCAGTAACAATTATGTGCATATACTGTACTTGTATATCTTCCCCAAACCAGAAGCTGGTTTTCCTATATCCATCAGGCACATACACTTTATCAGACTATTTTATCATACTGATAAAAACCCGAAATATAATTCTGCCAAGCACAGAGTATATGATATACAATGCCCCAACTGTCCTTTTGATGAAAATCCAAAAGCCAAACATAAAGTGTAACAAAAGCGAAGTCGACTCCGTTGCCATCATGCTGTTCATCCCGAAATCCTTGTGAAATTAATTGTACATAAGCTTTTATCAGCATAACCTCATAATTCTTGGCAAGCATTCAATCTGGAAAGTGAATTGTTATTTATTTGGAAAGTAGCTTCATCGTTTTGACAACGAAGCGGTGAATTACTCGAATGAAGATGTCGTACACGTTACGTAATTAACCATTTGTATACTGAACGGGTGGGTATTCTACATGGATATCATCATTTGTATCAAGTTTTAATGGAGGGAACGTTTAACAGTATGGCAATAATTTGAAGTTCTGGTGAAATGTCCCTCCACTGAAAAGAACTCAAGTTTTGAAGCAATGTTTCGATTTTCACTGGCTAAATAAGATGTTAATTTCACCAAGCTAACATAGTCAAGATAAACTGTTAGATTAAAATTCTTAGTTACGATCAACATACGAGCAATGTATCTTTTGCATACCTGACAAGTGTTCAATATTTATATATAATAATGGGTATTAAGCATTGGGGCCTTAATTGGGAATTAACGCAAAGTTGTCATCGTCATCGTCATCTTGAAATGTCCCCACCGAACCAAGGACACTCAGTTCCATGAAAATGGAAATTATTTTGTCTCCGTTGTTAGATATGGCTACGAAAAGTATGCCGGCAACATAATAGTTTCTTTTCATAAAAGAAATCAATGTTGGTTGCAACACAGCTTCTGTAAATGTTTACACTTAGATGTGATGGTTTTTGTTATACATGTCAAAACCAGCTGCTTAGAATTTTCTCTTGTTACTTAAACATAAATTTTCATTATAATGATGTAGAAGTCTTGTAATTGGAACATACAGAAATAATTTTGATTTATGAAAAGGCCGTATTTACTATAAATAACACTTTGTGCCAATATACAATCTTTACTGTAAAGATGTTAAAAATAACTTGCGACTCCATGATTATACATTAGAACACCAGAAACATTGGCATAAATGACAAAACTACAAAAAGAACTTATTTCATTTTATTTTTTATACGGATAAACAAACGAAATAACAATGAAAAATGGCAAATAGGCCGAGTCTCTTGTGGAGAAATCCATTAAAGCAAACGAGTTCCACGGATCAATTTCCAACAGAACGGCAACCCATGAGCAAACATTAACTGACAAAATGGGAATTATGAGTCACTGACATATTTTATGTTAATTTCTTATTACAATACGTTGCGATCATTTTCACCCAAAGTAGTTCTGTCGCTGGAGTCAGATGGACACCATCTTCCAAAAATCGATCCTTTTGCTGGTAAGGTTTGAACATTCTACAGAACCAGACATGTTTCGACGTCCCCTTTGTTTCACGACACTTCTCCTTTAGATATCTATTTATCTGTTTTCGATACGTATTATATTTGGCCAAGTTCATCACGGGATTTCTAAACTTGTATCGTTTAAACTTGCTGCCGATAACGACCTTAACCTTTTCGCTGCTTACTGTCTCTGCAAACCGGAAGAGAGCTTCGGCAATGTTTTTCCATGGTAATGTTCCGATGTCATTTTCACCAGATTGGATATAAACTATATCCGGTTTCATTTCTTCGCAAACTTCGTCCCAAGTATGACTCAGGTCCTTCACTCCTCCACCGGACACACCACTAGTGTTGATAACTACATTCCCTGATTTATAAGGACACAACTTTCCCGCACGTCGAGCGAACGAATGGCCTATCAGTAGCACTTTTTTCTGAAAAAAATAAGAATATCTATAACTACTGTAGGTGTTATGTAACGCCTATTCAAAAAGAAAATTGCGAAGTTTTCATTGCACAATCATTTAAGTTGTGAAATAGAAGTTGTTTTCCCTATAAAACGTGAAAGGGTATGGGTTACCCAACCATGGTTCATTCCCATTCAAATAAACCCACATTTTGCCATCAGGACCGAAGAGATTGATATACATACAAGTTTTCTAGTCATTATTGTAAAAAAAAATTAATTTCTAGCTTTTTTTTTCAAACAAGTTTTGAATTCCACATTGAGAAATATTTGAAGGGCATCATAAATATAACACAGATTTCACGGATATTACAATGAACATATTTACTCTCTTGAGAACTAGGCACTGCACAAAAATGGTAATCTGTGGTGAAGGTTATCTTTATCAATAGCATAAGACTTCGCTGTCTTCAACAATGACTTTCAACTGATTCATTTTAATAATATATAGCATTTTGGGATATGTGCATACCTTTGCAAGTGTACTCCTAATAAAATCTATACTAACGGATCACAGAGAAACTCATACGAGATATTCGAGGAACGTGTCTACCAATGATGCAAGACTTGACATCGCTTGTTTTTAGCTATGCACCATTTCATGACGTAATCCTAATATCTTCGCATCTCATCTGATATAAGTTAAAACAAACAAGCCTACTTAACTTACAAAGTACGGGCAATACGCTTACATGCCATTGTAGTTTGATGAGCATCGAACAGGCAAGATATTCTGGTGCTGTATCACACAGCTGCATAATATACGCGAGTAGAGGTTTTTATCGTGAGCTGCTGAATGTGTACGTGTTATTTTAGACCTACCTTCGTCTGAGGAAATGGAGCAACGTTTTCGGTCATCCTTTTGTTTTACCTTATTCACCAATACAAGGTGTAGAACTCTCGCATGTCAACAACATCACGGGCATTTTACGGGTGCATTCGAATACAGCATATAAGAGTTGTCCCCCTTCTTTATCAGTAATATCGTGGCTTGCCGTGACACGAGCCATTAGTTGTGCAGTATCTGGTCAATATAAATCAATACCCGTTATTAGCATGTGGTGGACCCTGGTAACAATTTACACGGTAATAATACGTCCCTGACATGTACCGAGACCACGATCTTTTCATCAACTGTTGGCACATTATCACAGAATTCGAGCGTTCAAAGCCTAATATCTATCATCCAGTCTTCGCTATATAGATGGACGTAGCTGTCGTTCTGTCTATCTCGAGATCTCCAAAGTAGCTTAACCTATACACTAGTTTAAATAATTTCGCGCTAGTAACTGTCCGATATCTGATTGGACTAAAATATTTATCAATGATGGACTTTTGAGGTCAACATGGTGTTACATCAAACCAGTGACTCCCATATCCATCCACTTCACCATGAGAAAGGAGCAGGAAAATGTCATTATCGTGTTTAAGCATATATACGATAAAGAAAGAAGATAACTCAATATAATCCTGATTGTGATCCGCGGCGAACATTTTACGGACATTTGTGAAAGGTGTTGTGTCTGTACTATTATCTTTAAAAGTCATTGTTGTAGTGATACGGGGTTTATTCCAACGTGAAATCCCCATCCCCAAACTCAATCCCACCCAAGCATTTGGTGATAGGTTTGGTGCAGGGCGATATGATACCTTTATGATTTTGTACAATTTATATTTTGATCTTGTATATCTAGCGCAGGAATAGTCGCGACGGAAACATCTCATCCTTACCATCACTTTGTCATTTCGACCTCATTTGACGTTTAACCTCTGGTGTAATGATCGATTTTTTCATGTCTATAGTTCATATCACTATTTCATAAAGACATGCAGGACTAACACATCAGAAAACTTAGTTCATAGCACATCTTAACGCTAAAAGTTGTATAAAATATCACTGTTACAGACAATCTTATTCTGCTTGTATTCCTCTTGCACATGCCTTGTTAATTCTGCCCCTCGGTGCGCGATTGCCGGTTTCCTTCATCGTCAGGCGGTTGCCAACTCTCCTCGGATGTTTCAACCCTAAACCATGACAGTCTCCAGTGGGTGGGTCAGTAGTGGTGGGCGACCACTACGCGATGGGTCCCGGCTTCCCGCATATATCATTCCAAGGGTGTCATATCCAACATTTCCAGTTGTTGCAAGAGCTTGCTCACTGACTGCGCTGGAAATCCTCTGCAGCCGACCTCGACTGGAAACAGCACTACACTCCATCCCATTTCCCTGCAGTCTGCTGCTAGGTCTGCGTAGATGAGAATCTTTCTCTCGATTTTCACAGTTCTCCTCCCATGGCACTGTCAGTTCCATTACAATGAATGTTTTGACCGTGTTGGTTTGTGGACCATAACTGCTGCAGTGTTGTACCCACGATGGATGGGAATAATAGACTCCCATCAACGTCCACTTGCAGCTCCCAGTCCCTTGCTCTGTCCATCAGCGATGTTCTAGCCAATCCTTTTCTCCAGTTAGTTCACCTTACTTCACGAAGAAATTTTCTTTTCCTGTTTTTACCCAAGGCCGCTTCTTTCTCCTCTCCATATCCAGAACTCTGCCAACTCACGCAGGACTTTGTCGTTCCGCCACCTATACCGTCCCTGTGTCAATGACACCTGACATCCTGACAGTATGTGCGACATTGTCCATCGCTTTTCACACAGTTGACAACTGGGTTCGTCAATTAGTCTCCATTGATGAAGGTTCATAGGAGTTGACAGTGTGTCGTAGACTGCTCTCAGTAAAAAGGCGATCCTGTATTGGTCCTTTCTCCATGTCCCTGACCACGACAGTTTCCGCTCTGGTAGCTCCCAATTCACCACACTCCTTGCTTCCCCAGTTCAACTGCCTTCGCTCTTCGATGATCTTCTTCTACCCGCCGTTCTTCATTCAGAACAATCCCTCGTCTCTCTGTTGTTGTTGCATTCTTCCAGTTCTGAAAGTGCACTATGCCCAACCCTTGTCTACCGGCACAGGTGTTCCCAACCACATATCGTATTTGTAGCATGACTTCAGCTTGGTCTACTGATGTTGATGCTGGCCATTTTCTTCCTGTTCTTGTCTGAATGCTTGCTCCACTGACTCTAGATTCTAGAAACAAATGTTTCAGTTAAGAAATGTTTCCACAGTACGTTCTCATTTCTTTAAGACACAGAAGGGAAGAAACATTTCTACGTGTCCATTTAAACCTGACACGATAATCCACAAATCTTTGCGAGTAGAAAGGGATAAGTCATAGTCATTATATGAAATATTAATATAAAGATGAAACTTCAACATAACAGATGTTTACCTGATGATGTAAAATTGAGGCGGTCTTAATTGTCAACAGTAGGGTTTTTCTTGACAAATATAAAAATTTACATGAAGATTATTGGAACACGGAGACTGGTAATAGTGAAAAGGTAATGAAGGGGAAACAGGTTATCTGTTATATTCTTTAATACATGTACAAGCATTGCTAGTGGTAGAATAATGCTTTGAAGTTGATATTAACCGACAAAGGTTAATATCCATGAATGATAAAATAAAATCGAAATGGTGCGGTTTTATGTGTTTAAGAGAGTAAGGTAAACATGTGCTAAGGGTGGTCCCGCACTAAGGGTGAAGGTCAACCGTCCCAATGGGATCGGCTGATTCGCACGAAATATGATGTTTATGAAATAGGAATATCTGTATAAAAAATCATGCAGTGAAATATGCTGTAATAAGGACTTGTTTTAGTTGTTTATAAACAATAAATTATAAACCTTGCACATCCATTCTCTACCAGAGTCGTCGTTTGTTATTGAGGTACCGCAATGCACTCTGGGAGAGATTGGTGAATATGTACATTAGCATTTGTTTAACTCCTTTAGGAAACACCATTTAAGCACATCATTTTTGTTTTTGTTGTTTTTACGCCGCCTAGACGTGTATGTAACTAAATATAAGAAAACGATTATATTTTATTAATTTTCGTGAAGACTTGCACACAGTCAGGTAAAGTAAAAGTTTATCTCTGATCCTATTAAAGAGAAACTATACCAGAAACCAACATTTTTCTCATAAGAATTAGACCGATCCCTGTTATGAAGTCCAAGGGCTTCGTTATACGTTTAGCATGAGTTAAAATCAGATATAGAACTGCACATCTCAAAATAAAAGAAAGATTAACATTTGAAGTTAAAAAATCATAAAATGAAATTGATACAGAAATCCATAGATAGAAACTGTAATATTGGCTTAAGTGTCATGCTTAAGTCCCAGTAAATTTCACATTAGTTTTTCAACAGTCTCAAACTACGACGAGGGCCGAGTGAAGTGCTGTAGTCGATGTTATCCACGTTTTCAACTTTTATCAGTTTTTCCTTGGCAACTTTCTTCGTTTCTTTAACGATGTCATGTTGCCTTATGATGACTAAAAGCGTCAGTATTGTTGCCAAAATTACAGTCCCATAAGGACAGATTTCCTTGCTAGCATCATAATCAATGGGAAACAGGAAACCAAAGAGGCATGACATCTTATTGTGACAAGGGAACCACATATAAAGAAGTGCCACAACTGGAGCCGTTGAAGAAAGCACTATCTTGGCTAGTTGTTTAAGAAGCTTGATTCTAAGTCGAGGAAGATACTTCGGCAAAACAAAGTTATGGATGATCAAGTAAGCCATTGCCAGAGTGAATGCAACAGAAGCTGCGTACCCAGTCATTAGAACGTTGGCCTCTTTCCGAAATACGACAAAGATCATCGACCATAGAAATATGCAGAACTCCCAAAAGCTTCCGAGTTTGAGGATTACTGCTGATGTTTCTTTTGCAATGACAGATATTGTCGTTCCGATGACTCCGCATACGATGAAAGTTTGCATCTTGGTCAATCCAACTGCATAACCTTCAAAAGCGTTGATATGTGTTGTTCTATCAGCCTCACTTTCAGTTGACGTTTATGACGTCATAAGTGAATGACGTTTCCACATATTTTATAATTAGCTCCCCTTACAGAACTCTCATAAGTAATTTCGTTTTCTGTGCCTAAATTTACAAGGAAAAAATGATATGATATGATAAAAACGATACATGGTGCAGTCTCAGCAGAAATCCGCACCACTAATATTATGTCTGTTGATATGAAATACACAGTTTTCCTGCGTCATTTCTTGATACTAGTTTTTGTTACCTTATTCATCCAACATCTTTGCGGATTGCGTGTATGATCACATGCAATTTATTTTCATCTCATATGTCATCGTTGCTAGCATATGTGCCTAATGTTTCGAAATAAACTGACTGTATTACTTACACATATTATCAATTTCCTATCATTGTAGGTCGATTTAGAGAAATTAATACACTATACTTATATATATATATATGGATTACGAGGATGGGGGGGGGGGGGGGAAATCGCAGACTTTGGAAAACTATTCATCTATTGAAGTTAAAAGTACATGTCTCCATAATAGTAAACCCTAAACCCTAACAATGTAACCTAAACAGAAATTGTTAGGCGAAACTCAAATATCTGAAATAGAATACATGTTCAGTGTATAACATAAGCTGTATTTTGGCGTGGGTGAAGAAAGACATGCTACTGTCTTTCTGTCTCGGGCCATACTGTTTTCTCTATATATCGACGTCCTTGGAGACACTAGTGATTTATTATTATTATCCATAAAATAAAAATGGTAAACTGAATCATTTAAGGTAGTGTCCCACCACTCAGTGTTGCGACTCCTGCGCAGAAGATCTGTATTAGTAATAAATTTCATTCCCTAAGTGTTACGCCTGTTTGTAAGCTTTCCGAAGGTTGTCACTCCGAATGAAGCGTCAGCGGTCCCAAATTAAACATCAATGTGATAAGAAAACAAACAATATATTTTACTTACTTCAAGTTATTTTAATGCAGAGACAAAAATTAAGAACGGTAGTGGAAACCCCGCTTATTGATTATCGATGTTTAACTTTGACTCAGAACTGTAGATAAAATCGTGATTTATCGCTGCTATGCCAGAACTGGACTAGTTTGGTCGTGTTGGCCATGCAAAAGGAAAGCAGACTGTCACCAAACGCATACAGATCAAATATCAGAAGTTATGCTGTTATTATTTTAAACACAACATAGATGCTATATTTCATTTTATTTATTTCATGTAAGTTAAGACAACAATTTATCGCAGTAAAGAAGGAATAATATACTAAGCTGAAAAATCATCTTGTTGATTACCGAGTTGTCTTTCTTTGGCATCGCCGGAAATGCTGTGAGGTGCTGCCATCACAGGAATATGATAATGGCAGACGGTATGCAGTAGAAGTGACGGTTCCTCGTAAAACAAGAAAGCGACGTCAGCATTTGTAGTTTTGAGATTTTCGGGCGATAATACCTCAACGTTTGATTACTATAAACAAGATGCCTCCCCCTGATATCACAATAAACGAGGGAGACGTGGTAAAACTCGTCGCCGAGTTTTTAGAAAATCGCGATCTAAACATAGCCATGCTTTCACTTGAGAGAGAGACAGGCTTGATCAATGGGATGTATTCTGATGATCTTCTTTTTCTGCGACAACTTATTCTCGATGGTCAGTGGGATGACGTTATCGACTTTGTCCAACCGCTTAGTTCCGCAGATGGCTTTGATGGTAAACAATTACAATACCTAATCATGAAGCACAAATATTTGGAACTGTTGTGTATCAAGTCAGATCCAACAGCCATGCAAAATTATGAATTTACAGTAGAAGAGGTCGTGAAATGTCTGAACTCGCTTGAAAAACTGTGTCCAACTAAAGAGGAATACAACAATATGTGTATGTTATTAACATTACCTAGACTTTCGGATCACATTGATTACCAGAATTGGAATCCAAGTAATGCACGAGTCACTTGCTTTAGAGATGTTCTGCCTCTAGTGGAGAAGTTTCTGCCATTTGAAAGGAAAGAGAATAAAAAATCATGTGTGGCAGAGAATGACCGTCTGCTTCAGCTTGTGTTGAAAGGTCTACTGTATGAGTCGTGTGTGGAATACTGTCAACAACGAGCAACAAGCAATGGTGATAATAGTGATTTAGAGATGGCATATTCAACAGTGTTACAAAACACTGGGTTTAATGATGCAGATTTAAGTTTGCTATCATGGCTTCAACACATCCCTGATGGTACATTTTCTTGTCCATTTGAACAGAAAAATCTTAACTTTGATGTTCGTCCACTTATTAAACCTTCCTTAGAAGCATCATGGTCTGAGCAAATTCTAGTCACTCCTATTAAGCCAAAAATGTTTCCCCATTCTGCCGTGCCAAACTCAAGACCACGCTCAGCAGATCACATGACAAGGTCTCTTAATCCCCAGTTTGATGGACTGTCTAGTGGATTAGGTCAAGGGAGAGGTGGGTTAATGACTCAGTCTATGGACTTGAACAGACATCCTTTGTCACAGTCTATGGCACCTGGACCACGACTAGATAATTCCATAAAGAATCCAATGCAGATTTCCATAGATAAATTGTTTTCACATGGTGAGTGTGTACAAACGCATAGTTCTATTGTTGAGGACACAAGAAATTCAGCTGGTGGACCAGTGCTACACAGGTCACCCCCTCAGAATGTTTCACAGGCAACAACAAAACCAGGACCCATTCCTCAACATGCACAGACAAAATCTCCGCTTAGGAGTGCAACACCCCCTCAGCACAGGACAAGCTTGACAAATGAAACACCCCAAAGAGTTATGTCACCTGCACAATCACAGGGAGATGCCCGTGAGAGGCGAGATTCTCCAGAGCCGGGAAGTGTGAGAGACTCGAGCTCGGAGCTATTTAAAGAATATCAGCGACAGAAGTGTAGGTTACAGGACCAGCTAGCGATGCAGGAGAAACAGCGAGAAATGTACCAAATGGAGCTGAAAGAGATTGAACAAAAACAGCAAATCATGGCTCAGCTTGACAGTACAGAGGAAAAACAAGGTATAGATGATATCTTTACTATATATACATGTATACTTATATACATGTATGCATGTGTACTTAGTTTAGTACATTTAAAGGAAAAATATGTCCATTTTATTGAAGAAATGCCATAGGATAGGAATGGTATTTTCTGGATTAAAAGCTGCTGTCCATATGAGTCAGGTGTGCAGCATATATACCTTATATGGCTTATATATGGAACTATTAGAATTTTGTTGACATCAACGGCCTTTATTAAAAATTAATAGTAGGTTCTGAGGACTGCATACCTGGTATGCCTAAACGGGTCAACTGTTAAACTCTTCTTTACTTGCACATAACAGTACAGTCACAGATAGAGTAAACAATGCCTAACATCAGGCCCAAATGTGCATTGTCTATTATATCAATAAACTTTGGTTAACATAGCTGTTACCATATTGTAAGAAAGGGTGCTGCTTATATTCGGATGCAGTTCATATGTGGATCAAATCAATAAAGTTGCTAAAAGTTGGCTCTGCCATCTATACACCCATTCAACTTATAACCCGAAAATAGAATATGTTAAATGTCGCTCATGTCACTCTAGTCCAACGGAAATCAATTAAACCAAGCAAGGGATTTTGATCAAATATTATACAAAGGTCAATGATAAGTTCATGTTTCAGGGTTCAGAGGTCAAGGTCAGTGTTTGTGGTCGCTGTAATTGTGATCATTATTATTCATGAAGAATAAACAATTCAGTGACATTACTCTAGTGACGTCATTTCATAAGAGATTTGGTATTATGATAACCTATACAAGTATAAATTTGTGATTCAGGGTATCAAGGTCAAGGACACCATTGTTATTTATAAAAAAAATATCAACCCTTTCGTCTTCATTTCATCAGGAATTTTGCTAAAATATACACATAATGTTATGTTGTAAAAAGTTGATGAAATAATGATACATTTATGCATGAAAGTGGAGAAATGTAACATGTGGTAGTATTTATTGTGGATGTAAATATCAAATGTTGTGCAGTGTTTACTGTTGTGGCCATAGGTTATGTTGATTTGATATTATATTATATTCTAACAATGTTAAATTTTCTGTCTTCCTTTTATTCATCTTGGTCCTTACCTTCACTACAAAACAAATCTAGGTGTAAAATTGTTAAAAAAAATTGTTTACAGCACATAACCAGTTATGACGACAAAATATCTTCTAAAATTTCCTTATCAAGCAAGGTTCTATCGTAATCATTAAAAAGAATCAAGGATTTCTCAGTTCTTATAGCTTTCAATTGTTCATAGACATTTATGCCTTTTGCATAAAATTAAACTTTTTATTATTAATCTATTTGAAAAGATATATAAAGAGTATGAGTCCATTACTTGTGACTCTTGTACTTACTTAAAATGACTACATTTTGGATTATTTATAATTGATGTTGTACATGTATATTAATGTGTTATGTGTTGTGTTCTTTTTCTTCATTATTTTATGTATGTTTCCATGTTTTTATATCATTTAGCTGAAGGGCCTGCTGTTGTTCATGCTGTAGCACAGCATCTGTTGTCAATCACATGGGTATCTACATAGTTGTTTATAGGGTTGAGTAGGTTTTGAATAAATTTAGTATGTAGCAGTATTGTTAGGCCAGGATGGCTCAATTAAGGTCTGACTGAATGCACAGTAAAATAGATTTTATATGGATTTAGACTTTGGGTGGGGATTAACATCATTGTAATAGGACTGATCATATTATAGACAGTCACTGTTATAGGACTGATCATATTATAGACAGTCACTGTTATAGGACTGATCACATTGTAGACAGTCACTGTTATAGGACTGATCACATTATAGACAGTCACTGTTATAGGACTGATCACATTATAGACAGTCACTGTTATAGGACTGATCACATTGTAGACAGTCACTGTTATAGGACTGATCACATTATAGACAGTCACTGTTATAGGACTGATCACATTGTAGACAGTCACTGTTATAGGACTGATCACATTATAGACAGTCACTGTTATATTCATTTTTTCATGCCATTTGCCTTGATTTGTCATTAATTCTGGACTAGGAAAATGAGGAAATGCAATTTTAGAAGGGTATTGTTCAGGGTGAATGTTCTCCTGTTGTACTTCTGAAAATAGAAAGGTGTAATCTCATACAATTTAATGACAATGAATTATAATGAGAATATTTTGCCACAAGTTTGCCTGTGTAAACATTTAGGTATCAAAACAAGCATTAGATACACTGTGTTCTTGCTTTGGCTCTTTTTGTCACTATTTTCTGTTTTGTTTCTTTTTGTGATTGATTTAGTTTATCTTGTTGATTTCCAGATTATGTGGATAGTCAGTTTCCATCATCTTCTTCTAGCACACCTTTGTTAGATCATGTAGAAAGCAGAGATCGTGACATGCACACACCACAATTTACACCCATTGAAAACAATGGACATGCCAAGGCAATGGGAAACACTGCTGGCAGTCCATTGACTATCCCATATACAGATACACCCCATTTTACACCCTTTGAGAATGATGGGGAGTCCATGATGCCAAGTGATCAGTTGCCAATGAACACACCAGAACTAGAAATGTTGAAAAAATTCAATGCAGAAGTTAATGTGAAAAAGCCCATACTTGCCATGAATGCTGTTACTATAAATGACTCTGATATTGAACTAGAATCTAGGAACAAAGACAATAGCAGACTTACTGACGAGAGTTCAGCAAGAGTAAGTCCTACAGCATCGAATGCCCAACAACAGAGCAGCAGGCTAAGCAACCCCTCAGTAGGTCCAGTGCAGTCAAACCAGTGGCCTAACTCACATACCTCTAAAGGTGGATGTTTCGTATTGGGAGACACTCCAATGATGTCACAAATGAAAGACCAACAATTACCCTTAAAGGGCAAGTCCAAGCAAAACAGTCCTCCTAACATCAAGGGACAAAATGTCCATGGGCAATCAGGGTCAACTGGTAACCCTAGCAGAGGGCAGACAGTTGGTAAAGGAATGCAACATTCTCCTAGCTGCCCTCATAGCCCAGCAAATTCCTGTAGAACATTACCCAATATGGGAAAACAGAAGGCTGGACAGTCTAGGGATGGGACCCATACCCCAAAAACTGAGCACCCGAAATCTCCTGGCAATTGTACACCAGGTAAGTGGTTAGATAGTGTACTAACAAACTAATAACCTACAATAATACACAAGTAAATCAGGTTAAAGGTCTTAGTCTATGAGAAGAAATTAAATGTTTTGAAAATAATCTGAATATATGATCTGAAATTGGTAAATTTCTCATAGATTCTGATTGTACATCAAGCCTTTCCATCTTTGTAATCAATTCCTCTTGCCAGTTGCTTTGAATTTAGAAAAGGGTAGGTATCCTTAATTTTAAAAAGCAAAGAATGAATTTTGTCACTTGAATATTATATGGCAATATACTTTTTATTATTCTATTTCACTGTATGGAATATTGAATGATTTTTGCCCTATACTCTGGGATATAGGTTCCTGCTCCACATTACCAAGGCGATCAAAACCTAAATCTCAGACTAAGGAGCTGTCTAATGCCCGTCCTGGGCCATCAGGGGGCACTGTAAATTGTAAGACAAAAATCCCCGGCAGTAAATCGGCAACCCCTTCCAGTCCCCGTCAAGCCCCCAAGGGGCCAGTTCCCAGGCCATCTAGTCTGACTACAGGTGGTCAAGGGAAGTGCCGAAACCCAAAATCCCCTAGCATATCGTCTAAAGGTAGACAACTCTATACATATCAGCATGTATGGTTGAAACCTAGTTGTGCGTTATCTAAATGATTGGCTTTATCCTTCAGTTATCATTATACCTCTTGACATGTTATATATACTGTATCTAGTTAAGCTACAAATAACCATCTCGCCCTTCCTTTCGTGAGGGCCAATTGGCATCATGCTTGTTTTTGTTTTCTTGATTTTTTTATGTGTTTTTTTCATCTTATTATTTCTAATCACTTTGTCTTACTTGAACATTGTATAGTGTTACCCTTCTTGCTATTTTGCTTTATTACTTACAGGTTGGTATATACATACAGTGAAGCCTTCTTATTCCAGCTAACATTTGTTTCAAATGTTGAATACAATGTACAAGTATATTTAGGTAGGGTTTTAGGACATGCATGGATCTCTATATGTATCTAGTTAGGGTTTGAGTTTATTCAGTTTTGGGTTACAGGGTCTGCCGTTGTGACTTATTAAAGTTATGGGGATACAAATGGATCAAACACTATATTTAAGAGTTTGGAGGAGTTGGGTAGTGGGTGGAGGGGTGGAGTAAGCATTGAAAGGAACAAACTATGATGGTTCAAACTTTATGCAAAACTTCCTTGTTTTCTTGCTTAGCCATAATCATAACAAGGTAACTTTCAACAGAAGAATAGATTTAATAATCATTATATATTGGGTCACTTGGTATCAGAATAGGGAAGACTGTGTTACAAGGCTTCACTGTATATACAAATGTACTTGTGTATGTGTCCTATTTGTTTGCATGTGTGTACTGTTATGTTAGAATATCTTTTGAAAAAAGTATCACACATGAAATGGAAACTCATTCACCTGGACGTTCAACCCTGGGAAATTCAAATGGAGTGATTTGTAATTAAGTGATGATATTTGCTTGAATATTCAGGAAAAAAAACAAATTGGGCTTCTTTGGAAGTCATACCAGCTGATGATATTCTGTTCTAAACACATTTTATAGTTGTACAAATTTTCCTAGTGTTATTTCAGCTTGATCCATTTGAAGAAAGGATGTCCTTTAAACCATTATAGAATTATGTTAAAAAATCTACATGATCAACTAATGCAAAGGACAACCTGGACTGTTTGCATGTGTACTTATGCATACTGATCCTTTAATTGATACTGATACATTTGTATGTATAATATCATGTAGTGCTTTGAAAGTTTGCAATCTCATACATGTACAATTTAAAAACAAAAACAAGTCTGGTTTTAACAATAATTTAAGCATTGATTGTAAAATTCATTTCTTATTAATTTTAATGCTGTTTTATTTTCCATAAAAAGTACTTTTTTATGACAGAAAACTTATGTTTGATAATCGATGGGATTATCCAATTTCCAAAGTTCATATGATTCAATTCTGATGGGTGTTTGTTGTAAAACTCCATGCTACTTTTTATGCACAAGTTGTAATTTGTTAACATGGAAACTAAGATGATTGATTTAATGTAAACAGATGCTAAGCAAGAAGCCAATTACCAGGAGACAAGTCACATCAGCACAGGAAGTTTGCACCGGTCTCATCTGGATGCAAGTCCAGGCATGGCCTCACCTAAACCCAGTGTAAGTAGAATTTATACCTGGGACCAATGTCCTCGTAACTTTGTATAGATGGAGTTAATAGATAATATGGTGTAGATGTTTTATCATACTGTGTATTGATAAGAGTGACCTGTTATATGAAGTCAAGAAATAATTTTTTTGTATATAAATAATTCATATCTAATGACCTGTTCAGGGGAAGTGTCAGAAATATAAATGTAATTTCTATTAATATTGTGCCTAGCCATTTTTGGCCTTTGTAATTACTGATGAATAAAATCAACTGCAGAAAATCCAGTGTGCCGACGGAGAGAAAACTTATTTTAGGAAAAGCATACTTTTACATTTAAATTTTGCTATACATATTCTTATGAAGTCTAGTGGAAACCAGTTGCACTGTTGAGTCACTTACAAATGTTTGACAGACAAGGTCAGTGATTTAGATCTATACTATTTTATATGAGGATGACTTTGGGATGTTTTACACTATTTTCATATCAGTCGGATATGAATCGACCCAAGTTTATAGCAGTGACATCAATGGAGGATGCACAAGCTATCAGGACCATTGCCTTCCATCCATCTGGTGAGCTGTACGCAGTGGGGTCCAACTCCAAGGTGTTGCGTGTCTGTACTTTTCCTGACCTCTCTAGTCTCAGGTGAGAGAATCTTACAAGAATTAGTCTTAATGAAGTAGAAATTTTATTAAGATGATACAAGACTGATCAAGGATTTAGAACTGTGATGGTATATTGTGGTCTGCTTGGCAATATTGGTCACTGTAAATAAACATTTACATATTACAGAAGACAGCTTTTAACAACAATTAAGGGTAAGCTTGTCACTTACACTGGCCAATCAGAACTTAGAAAACAGGTCCATTGTTGACTATGCTGAACCTAAATGGAATCCTGTAGAAGGAATTGATGTTTGATATACATATATATACATTTGTGTATACCATTGGCTTGTTTTACTTATGAACGATATATACCATGCAATTTTATACATATTTCCTGATTCAAATGGTTTGTTAAAGGAAACATGATGGTGGATTGTGTGTATGTTCAGTTTTGTGGTTTGCTAAGAGATTATTTGTCATTTGGTGATCCAGAGACGACCATGTGACAGAGAGGACAGACGTTGTTTACAAGAAGAACAAGCATCACAAGGGATCCATTTACTGTATTGCCTGGAGTCCAATGGGGAACCTCATTGCCACAGGCTCCAATGACAAAAGCATCAAGATGATTCGCTACAATACAAGGGAGCATACTGATGGTAGTGCATCTCATGAGATCTGTCTTACTGAGAATTTACATTGTACTATAAATTCATTTTTGGATCCTCTTATTGCCCTTGTGATAGACCACTGTTGTAGGATAATTAGAGTGATTGATCTCTGTGGTAGATTCCACACTGTACATTTCAATGACTGGAGTCCTATAAATCCTGATATGCACAGTTTGACAAAACAGTGTTAAATATTTTAAAGGTTTGGTTATTTAGCAAAATCAAGTCAGTACTTGCTGAGTTTCTGTAAAGTTCATGATTTACCTGACTAATCTTAGCTGCAATGACCCTCCCAACATATCGTCAAAATCTGATTTTAGTAATGATGGCTGACTTCGATTCTCATACACCTGTGTTCTTGTCTGTCTACCATCCCTCAATATTTCTTGTTATCACTATTTATCGGTTACATTTCTGTCAGACACACGACATTAAGAAAAGTATTTCAGAAATTGATCTCTTAAGTTTCATAAGAACTTGGATCTTCCATAAATTCTGAATGCAGGTTCTCAGTTTCTAGGTATGCATGTTCAATTTTAGATTGATAGCTATGGGAAGAAAGAAAAATGGCTATCTGGTATTTTGGCAGTGTTATCCTTCTTCTGATCTTTCTCAATTTCACACGTAGATTTCCCTTTCCTTCTAGTTGTGCTAAGACAGTTTGGTTTATCAGAGAAACAAATTAGAGACATGCAGCAGTCTTGAATTTTAAAATCGAAAGTTTGTTACTGTATTGTCATTCATTTCATAGGTTGTATATTTCTGTTGATTTTCTAGGTAACCTTGATCTACAAATTTCTCTGTTCACAAAATGGTAAACAGTTCAATTGACATCATTGAATTTTGTGAACACTGTATATCCACAAAATCAGGTGTCTAAAAATTATGTATTCCTTCATAAAACCATGAAATTGGAGTCCCACAAAACATATGATTACATAGTAGCTAGAACAAAGGCATCTTCCTCAAAATTTTGAAAGTGATCAGAGAAAGAAAATGGTCTCTACATTGCCATCATGGAATCAACAGAAAATATTTGTTATCTGCATTTGTCAAAAAATGCAGCTGAAAAAAAAATAGATTATATTTTTTTAACCCTTGATCCTTACTAGTGTACATTTAATTTTGGGACTGATCAGGAAAACAAAATAGTGGACAGGAGGCCATCTTGGATTTTGATTAGTTAAGTTTGTTATTGCAATTTCATTACTGATATTGAATGGATCTATCTCAATTTTAAGGTTCCCCTTGTGTCCAGTTAATTTTGGGACTGATCAGAATAAACGAAATGGCTTCCAGGTGACCATCTTGGATTTGGCAGTTAAAGATTATTATTGCTATTTCAGCAAAGGATTATTGTTCTAATTTCTTACCATTAAGAGCAAAAACAGAGAACAGAAGAGAAAAGATTGGAAAAAGATCCAACTTTCAAAGTACAAATAAAGATCAAACAATGATGGGCACCAAGATCCGTTTGGGATCTCTTGTTCCATTTTTCATTTGCATGGTCCCCTTGGTCAATTTTTGCTGAAAGAAGCTTTTGTCTCAACTTTCAGATGTGGGTTTACCTTGTGAGTAGTGTTACCGAATGTAGTTCATTTTCCTATCAATGCTACAAAAAAAGCATTGTAAAAGCAAAGAAATCAAAAGATAAAGACCAAGTTACATAGATCACAGATCTTTTTGTTTTTATTGTTGGTCTTATACATCCGTGCCATTACAGTGGGACCAGAGATGGAGTTGACAATCCATGATGGTACTGTTCGAGACCTGACCTTCATGCAGGACAGCATCAACGGGACTTCTCTACTGATTAGTGGCGGGGCAGGTGACAACAAGATCTATGTTACAGACTGTGAGACGGGTATGCCAGTGAGGGCAATGGCTGGACACTCGGGTAAATAATACCAGAGCAAGTGATGATAAATGTTAAATGGATATATATTATAGAGTAGGTCTGACAGTAATGGTTCATCATCCATAAATACAAGGTATTTCAAGTATAGCTACATAGACAGCAGTTTGATTTTAATTTCTATTCTCACAATAATTAGAAGATGGAACATGGGAGCAAGTTCTTCTGTTTTTCTCTTTAATATTTGGCTTTCATATGATAAAATTTTGACAAAATGCATTGTATGAAATTAACTCGCTCAATTGGTTTTAAATGAAGAAAATATATATGCAATACCTAAACAAAAATTCTTTCATAAAGCAATGTAAAGTTTAGGTCCACTGTTTTGAAGTAGTAACTAGTCAACGTTGAATTTTGGTATCAGATTTGCTTGCTTTTGTAAGTGTTCCTGATCAGTCTGATTTAGTCTACATGATTCTGACTTCTTTTGTAGGACATGTATATTCTCTACACACATGGGGTGGCTGCATGTTTGTTAGTGGGTCACAGGACAAAACGGCACGGTTCTGGGATATGAGGGCTTCTACAGCCATCACAGTGGTACCAAGTGCTACAGGTACTTTAGGATATATATATATATATATATAAGTCATAGTATTGACTCAATTACACCAGTGTAAGCATGGGTTATTTTTGTGGCAGCAGGTTCTTGCTAAATGCTGTATGTGTATTTTTAGCAGTATACTGATATTGGCACCTTTTACCTTCAAGTTGGTGTGCTAATTCAAGTGCAACACTAGAATTTCTATGTCCTGTCATTGGGCAAAGAAACAAAACATACAACAATTCATTGTTGAGAATTTTGTAATATATTCAGTACTATTAGTCACTTAGAATGTTCAACTTACCTATTTAGTATGGCATGTTTCATAATAATATGGCTCCTTACTTAAAACATACATGGAAAACCACAGTGTTTATCAGAGAAATTCATTACATCTTATTCAACAACTTGTACTTGCTGTCTTTGCTATATATATGATTGCACTAACAAATCTAATCTGTCTCAACTGAAATAAGAGTGTGCTCAGTTAAATACACATACAGGTTGTTCAGTATCCCACATTTTCTTTGTTCATAGTTTTTTATTGTACATACAAACAGAGAATACATATGTGTATGCTCATTTGATTATCCTCAATACTTGGTTTGTCTGGTCTATTCCTCATGCTTAAGTGATCTGTATCTATGTAAACAGGCAGTGCGTTTGCATCAGTGTGTGTGGACCCTTCAGGGCGCCTTCTGGCCTCCGGGCATGAGGACAGCAGTGTAATGTTGTATGATATCCGAGGTTCAAGGGGAATCCAAAGCTTCAAGCCTCACAAGGGAGAGTGTCGATCAGCTCGCTTCTCCATGAATGCATACTACCTTCTGTCGTCGTCTTATGACCAGAAAATAGTACTCACAGACCTGCATGGTAAAAGTTTCTGTTATAAAAGTTTCTATTCACCTGTGGCATACATTTTTACAATGGTTACACTGAATTAGTTTTAACATTGGTCATTTGGTGAACTTGTCTGAAAAGGTTTGATCCAAGATTAGATAGCTAACCATTCCTGGTTCCTTTGTTCTTTTAAAGGATTGAGAAAGGTAGAATGTGAAATAGAGTGACATAAACACTTTATATTGTTGTATAAACTATAAAAAAAATTCATGCTTGTATTAAATATTAAAATTTTTTTAGTTTGAAGCAGCTTCTGAAATGATTTAGACTTATGATCTTTTTAACTTTAGATGATATCTGTTAATGTAATTTGAGCAGTTTTCTTTTTAAAATTCTTCATAATCCCATCATTACCTTTGATCTGCAGGTGACCTTGGGCGCCCCCTGCCCAGTGTGGTTGTTGCTGAACATGAGGACAAAGCACTTCAGTGTCGCTGGCACCCGTCACATCTTGCCTTTGTTAGTACAAGTGCTGACAAAACAGTCACTACCTGGGGTTTACCTGTCTCCATGTGAAGAACGGATTTTCTTACTTCCATTTAAAGGTTAAGGTGAAATCTTCAAAAGGATCATCAGCAGTCAGCTAACAAGAACTTTACAACCAATGGTCTACTTAGTTAAGTCATACAGGTCAAGGGTCAAACTGACTGGGTAGGGACGTGAGGATGGGGTGGGGGTGGGAGGTCAGGTCTGATTTAAGAGGAATCTGATTAATAGTCAAGGTGATGTCATTGAATTGATAGTTCTGTTATCTTAATTTTGTCAAAGTGTGATGAAAGGTTTGGAGTTTCATGATTTTCATTTTCAAATTAAGAGCTGGACACAGAAAGTCAGTATCTGATTTGGAACCAATACTTCTCTGAAAAATATATTGTTTGAAGGATAAATGGTCAGTGATTTTTAAGCAGAAAACATAACTCATTATACTTCAGTTTTAAAGTGTCCTGTATGTTGTAGCTGATGTATGTATCATGTGTCCACCAGTCTCATCCAGAGGGTTAATAAATTCTTAGGTCATGTGTGGTGGGGACAAAAATGTAGCATAGGCTGGTTCAGTAGATTTTCAAAATCCTTCATGTGTATACTATGCTAAATTATTGCATCAATCACTAGCCATGATGAATCTAGCTATTTATACTGCTAAGAAAGTTGTCTAAATTACAGGCTCTGTCTAACAAAATTGTCTAAATTACATACTCTGTGTAACAAAGTTGTCTAAATTACATACTCTGTTGTGTAACAAAGTTGTCTAAATTACATACTCTGTGTAACAAAGTTGTCTAAATTACATACTCTGTGTAACAAAGTTGTCTAAATTACATACTCTGTGTAACAAAGTTGTCTAAATTACATACTCTGTTGTGTAACAAAGTTGTCTAAATTACATACTCTGTTGTGTAACAAAGTTGTCTAAATTACATACTCTGTTGTGTAACAAAGTTGTCTAAATTACATACTCTGTTGTGTAACAAAGTTGTCTAAATTACATACTCTGTTGTGTAACAAAGTTGTCTAAATTACATACTCTGTGTAACAAAGTTGTCTAAATTACATACTCTGTAGCAGTACAAGACAATGTAATAAAAGAGAGTTATCTTAGGTTTAGCTTGGCAGCTGGATTGATAAACTACATAGCAAATTTTTGTTTGTAATGTGTTATGGTGAGTAATTTTGCTGTATTGATGTTGGCAGTGTTTCTGTGGTTATGTGGTATTGATGTACACTGTAGACAAATTTCTTGATGTATTTTTTAATTTAATTACAGTGAGAATTCTTTCATTTGCATTGTTAGATGTCCAACCTTGCTTGCTACTTTTTGGTAATTTTTGAAAAATATATGATAGACCGTTGTTGATTACAGTATCAAATTTATTTGCTTAGTTTTACCTTTCCTCACTGATATTCGTTATACACCATGTTCTGTATACCGTAGTCAGCACCTAGTTCTCTTGCCTTTTAGCATGTTATTGGTAATGATGGACCAGTGTTGACGTAGGAAAGTTAAAAGTCTTTGCTGCTTGAAAGGGTGCTGGGAGTTTGGCTTAATACATGGTAGGAGGTTTAATGGTGTTTTATGTGTATGGTACAGGGTGCTTGGTTCCATCAGCAGTTTGACTCTGTAGCTCTGCTTTAGCTCAATAATATAGCAATAAAATTTATTTAATCAAGATTTATGATTTTTGCACTTGAGAGAACAATTATTTATTCATTATTTACTGCACTTTCAACCTTATTATAAGAGTATTGAAAGCGAGTATCAGTGTTTTACACCTGATGTTTTATATGCTCATTAAAAAAAAAACATGTATATACATTTAATGTATTTATGTCTTCAGTCCATTTGATGATATGATAATCAGCATAACTGTCTATGTAATTCATGAAATATTCATAGATTTAAATTATAGGTCTACACACACCAATACACTTGGGTTTACACAGTCTTATAAGACTCTCAGAATTACACAGACCTGTAACACTAGGTCTACACAGACCCATAACATTTTCATGTCTACCACACACCTGTAACACTAGGTCTACACAGACCCATAACACTTTCATGTCTACCACAGACCTGTAACACTCAGGTCTACACAGACCCATAACATTTTCATGTCTACCACAGACCTGTAACACTAGGTCTACACAGACCCATAACATTTTCATGTCTACCACACACCTGTAACACTAGGTCTACACAGACCCATAACACTTCGATGTCTACCACAGACCTGTAACACTCAGGTCTACACAGACCCATAACACTTTCATGTCTACCACAGACCTGTAACACTCAGGTCTACACAGACCCATAACATTTTCATGTCTACCACACACCTGTAACACTCGGGTCAACACAGACCCATAACACTTTGATGTCTACCACAGACCTGTAACACTCAGGTCTACACAGACCCATAACACTTTCATGTCTACCACAGACCTGTAACACTCTAGGTCTACACAGACCCATAACACTTCGATGTCTACCACAGACCTGTAACACTCATGTCTACACAGACCCATAACACTTTCATGTCTACCACACACCTGTAACACTCAGGTCTACACAGACCCATAACACTTTCATGTCTACCACAGACGTGTAACACTCAGGTCTACACAGACCCATAACACTTTCATGTCTACCACACACCTGTAACACTCAGGTCTACACAGACCCATAACACTTCGATGTCTACCACAGACCTGTAACACTCATGTCTACACAGACCCATAACACTTTGATGTCTACCACAGACCTGTAACACTCATGTCTACACAGACCCATAACACTTTCATGTCTACCACAGACCTGTAACACTCGGGTCTACACAGACCCATAACTCTTTCATGTCTACCACAGACCTGTAACACTCTAGGTCTACACAGACCCATAACACTTTGATGTCTACCACAGACCTGTAACACTCAGGTCTACACAGACCCATAACACTTTCATGTCTACCACAGACCTGTAACACTCAGGTCTACACAGACCCATAACACTTCGATGTCTACCACAGACCTGTAACACTCAGGTCTACACAGACCCATAACACTTTCATGTCTACCACAGACCTGTAACACTCAGGTCTACACAGACCCATAACACTTTGATGTCTACCACAGACCTGTAACACTCAGGTCTACACAGACCCATAACATTTTCATGTCTACCACACACCTGTAACACTAGGTCTACACAGACCCATAACACTTTCATGTCTACCACAGACCTGTAACACTCAGGTCTACACAGACCCATAACATTTTCATGTCTACCACACACCTGTAACACTAGGTCTACACAGACCCATAACACTTTCATGTCTACCACAGACCTGTAACACTCAGGTCTACACAGACCCATAACATTTTCATGTCTACCACACACCTGTAACACTAGGTCTACACAGACCCATAACACTTTCATGTCTACCACAGACCTGTAACACTCTAGGTCTACACAGACCCATAACACTTCGATGTCTACCACAGACCTGTAACACTCAGGTCAACACAGACCCATAACACTTTGATGTCTACCACAGACCTGTAACACTCAGGTCTACACAGACCCATAATACTTCGATGTCTACCACAGACCTGTAACACTCTAGGTCTACACAGACCCATAACTCTTTCAGGTCTTCCACAGACCTGTAACACTCGGGTCTACACAGACTTAGCAAAATCTGGAATTTGCAATCTTACTTCCAAGATTATTTTGTCTCTTCTTAGAAATCTGTGATACATTTCATTATATTAAGATCTTGATATTTATTTATTTTATTTATTTCTGAATACATACAGCATTATGATGCTGCTGATGTATATTATTTAAATCAAATCTCCCTTACTTGTACCATACTGACTAAATCCAACAACATATTATAATTTGTAACACACAGTAGAAGTTGAAGGTCTAATTGACATCAGAGTCACTATAATAATTAAATTATTAGGACATGTTGCCCTATACTGCATTATACAGCAATATTGACTGGTGTGAAGTTCTATGATTTTTATCTAAATACCTTCACTTCCTTGATATAGAATTATATAACATTTACAAGTCAGGAGATGATGTAAACCATTCCTCGCGTAGCATTACACTGGAAAACATTGCCATATTCGCTTGAGTTATTATGTTGATTTTACATGTTTTTTGCATTCTATTATATTAATACCAAAAATTTGAATTCCTTATAGAGTCATATTTTGTTTAATTTATAGCATTGTTAATTAATAATTTATGATTTATATTGTAATTGTTTAAAATTTGGTGCATGCATTTAATGTTTTTGTTTAAATTTTGTATTTATCATTTACATTGGTTCTGTCCTGCTCATTGACATTGGAGAAATAGTTATCTATTATATTAACAGCTTTAATGTAACATCCCTCCAAAGATCTTTATTGAAGCCTGAACAAATCTCCACATGACAAAACTGTCTCACTTCCTGCATTTTCCTTCCGTCCATCAATAAACAGGCATTATTTTCTCTATGTATTGAATCTTCAAATTTTTGTTCATTTACAGATGTTTATGTTTTAATGTTTTATTCATTAGTTAGAATGTTTTCATATTGAGGTAGGTTAAAGTGACAATTTTTACCACCAAAAAGTTTTAAATTAGCCAGTTACAGAATATGTGTCTCTCAGAACAAAATTTTACAAATTTATTGATAAGTTGTAGAAGATGGCCATTGTGCTATGAATGTCAAACAAGTCATTTAAGGATTTATATGTCAAGTAATCATGGCTTTTGTGAACTTTTTTGCATAAATTGTTTACTAGGAGCAATGACTCTGTTGTAATATGGTCAAAAATCCAAACCTGACTAAAGTGTCTTTTTAGATTAAGAAGTACTTCAAATAATGTTATTCTCACATTGATGAATATTGATATTTATATTGGTAATCTTGACCTCATTTGCATACCTTTTCATTCAGAATGATCATATATAAACATAAGTGAAGTTCCTAGTATTTTTTGAGCCACAACATTAAAATGGAAACATCTATATTTATTTATATGAGAATACTTTCATTAAATGCACACATGCAAACATTGGGTCAGGATTTTGTGCCAAGTTACAATGAAGATATTATCAGTGTTGTAACTTTCTGTAAAAAATTTCATTTCTTTGTCATAATACAGTTTATAATGATAAGAGTATATTTGGATACATGTTACAGCTTCAGCTTCTTGTCAATGTTGCTCATAGTTTGGTTAGAATGAAGCAGTGGTTATTGAAATTTTTCAAATACAACTTTTTTTATTATTATTTATCATTTCACAGGTATAGATTTGTTGAGATAGGTCAGATTGATATATTTGGAGTATCAATTTTGCTTTGAATGTCATTTATTTTCTTAGATTATTGATTGGAAATTGTCACCACTCAATGGTAACTTTTAAAAAAAGTTCGGAACAACTGAACTTGATATATCATTAATTTCATGTCTTCCATATGTATGATTACAAAAGCACTTTATATCATATGTAATGAAATATTTTCCACATGCATATAAATAATCTGCATAGTTTGAGAAGATTGTCAATCTGTGACCTTGATAGGCACTGACACATTATTTTTGTGGTATACGTAACATTTGTGTCAGGCTGGATTTAATACATCATTCAGAAGAATGATCCAAAAGAGTGTTGAATGTGTCGGGTCATGTGATTCTGTGCATGTCAGGTCAAGGTCATTAGAAAGTGAGTTAGGTCAAGGTCATAACCACCATGATATTGTATATCCAATGATGGGTCATAACAGTAAGATAATGATGTGATGTAAGTTAACTGTCTGTGAGTTCACGGTTGTGTTTTATAGAAAGGTGAAGGATATCTTGTTTTTTCAAGTTAAAGGTTGTGCTCTCATTATAACATGAATGCTTATCGATGATTTCAGTCAGTGCTAAGTTTGTCATGGTATTACGCTAGCAATTCATAAATTAAATTTCATTACATAAACTTTTGCAGCATATTTTCCCAATTATAATCATCATTTAATAAATTGAAAACCATTCTATATGCCTGCACTACCGTGTTTTGTGTTCAGATCTGTTTGCTGTGTACAAGTTTCTGTACCTCATGTGGCTTCTTTGTAGCAATACATGTATAATCATAACAATGTCTTAGCTTTGATTTCTAGTCTACCAAGTACTGTGAAATTTACCAGTGACTCGCCTTTCACTATATTTCATTACCATGGCTTATTCCAGCCAGTGTTCCCATGCAATCTAAAGTGATTTGTTTTCTATTTTAAATGCGCTTTGAATATAAACATTGTCCATTATTCAGATGTATATTGATCTGTGAGAGATAAATTAGGCTACTACACAGGTAGTATACACTCCATGTGAATTATGATATTTTCAAAAATCTTTTATTTTTGTTACACAGTAGTGTCACTTGATATCAATGTACAAGATTTACAATATAGATATTGATAGATAGCATTGATAAGTAGAGATGGAATTATTGTATAGCAGTGTAATGTTACATTCTGGTTCAGTTATCTTAGTAATCTACACCAAATATACATGTAAAATTATCTACACAAATATCTTAAATCAACTCAAGTCTTTAAAGTGAGGAAACTATAGCACTTTATAGTACATACTAAATGTAGTGCACCATAAACTTGGTGTGAATAATATTTAATGTTAATATAATCAAATTAGTCTCCAGAATGCATCTAGTACATTAAATCCTGAAGGATCTCTAGACTGTTGTTTATGGTTTCAGGTTTGGCATGAATACATGGTTGATATATTTGTTTAAGCATGCTTAATTGCCAGTGGTATACGTACAGTATGATGTACAATATCAATATGTATTCATTGGTTGTTTCATAGTGAACAATACACTACTTTATATTCCAGCATGACAACACCCATGTACTAGACATTGTCACCCTATGTGCTTGGTATGCTGCCAGATTATTTATTATGAATAAATCATACAAAACTATGACGTTGTGTTTGTTTCATTTATGTATTTATTTTTTATGACATTATCAACCCACAGAAGGTTTTAACTGTCCTGTTGAAAAATAAATCAGTGGCATGTTCTACTTCCACTTCCAGCTGACTTACAAATTATTGAAAGTTTAACGCAAGTTTTGCAAAATTTGGTACGTAGTACAAAACTGTAAGCCATGTCACAATACACGATGACAAAACAAGTGACTTGAACCTGTTTATGGCTTTGAGAAACCAAACAACTATACACACTGGTAACACCCTGTAAGCTGTGGGGCTATCAACAGTTGTGTCATATCTCCGAAAGTATTGACCATCGTCCACATAATACTCTTTACAACTACAACAGCTTAGCCATGAAATGTAGCTATTGACAGTTCCTAAAGCATTGGTCAAAGGAGGAATGCTTGTGATGTTCTTCCTCTTCAGAAGTTTACAAATGAAAGTGTCTTTGGAATCCTGGAATTGAAGCACCTCATGAATAAACAGCATTCTGGAGATGTATAACCTCTGACCTCTCATGTAGCCTGATAAGAATATGTCTTGCTCATCACAGTTGACCTTTGACCTCTCATGTAGCTTGATCAAAATATGTCTTGCTCGTCATAGTTGACCATAGCTCGTTTGTCCTTGTGGGATCCCTTCTGTGATGAACTTGCAGCTATAAAATTTTGAGTAATTAAAGAGTTTATTTTACTTCATTGTCAGAAAAATAATGAAATGAAATAGTCAGTTGTATGTACAGAAGTTGAAATTTACAGGTTTAATTTAGTATAAATACAGCATCATACACCCAAAACATGAAACAAAAGGTTTTCATGCCATTTTCACTACATTGGAACATTTAGTTTGATAGAGACGTGTAAGTCAGAATACAGCTATGTTTACAAATATGATTATCACATTGGATGTTTATATTGGTAACCCATATGCACACCACTGCTGTCATTAAAATGCCAAGAGGTATTGTTCTTACCTATAGAAGACCATGATGTTGTTGATGGATCAGTAGCCTGCTCAAATGTAGGTTGTCTCCTTGCCATGGAAACACGGAGCTGTACCCCATCTATCATGGCATTGTTGACCTTAAATCAGATATCAAACAATTAACATGAAACCAACAGAAATCTCAATACCTCAAAAAATAATTCCAATACAATGTCCATAGTGCTAAATCTCATCAAATTGACCTTGCATCATACACAATGGTATCCACTGTTGATCTCATCGGCTGGAAAACACTGAACAAGCTGTAAGAATAGCACAAATTTTAACACCTGCATGATTATATGAAATATGTGTTTATATAACATAAAATTACAAACAAGCTTAGTGTTTGCGATTTTACTTCTTCCAGCATGGACAGGGTCATTTACCAATATAAATACTCACTCTTGGCTATTTTTAACTTAATATCTTTCCTCCCATCATCACTAAATTAAGACTTACTTCTGATATAGCTGAATCTGCTGATTCCATTTTCTCAAAAGTCACAAAACCAACACTGAAAAAATGAGAAAGATTAATCAGAATCAAAACTAGAATTGTAAAGCAAAAAGTCAACTATTACCTTCTGATCCTCCCATCTAAATATATAATGTACTGTAGCTTGTACCAATATTTTTTTTCTTTTTTATGCATTTGGGTAATGATGTAAGATGTTATCTTCACCATTGACCTCTGACCCTTATAAACAAACACATGCTTCTCAATCAACCAAGTTTGAAGTTGAGCAACCATTTTCTATATCCACTGGTATAGGGCTCTCTTTACACTGACCTCTGATTGTGATAAACATAAAGATACCATCATTGGCCCTGATTTGAATATGTAAAGGCTTCAAATACTATAGCTTGAGGTTTAACCAGCGAAACATAGTCCAGAAACAATTAAGATAAAAAGTGAACAAAAAGATTAACGCCGTCAGTTCATATGTCATTTTTCTAGATAACCTGAAGGTCACACAAAGCTACACACTTCTTGTCCTTCTCCATGTTGACATTGATGACATTGCCCAAGTTGGAGAAAGCTTTCCTCAGTATTTCCTCAGATACACCATGTCCATGGACATAGATAGTGTTTCCTCGCGGTGGTGGCTCCTTTCCTCGACTCTCACGTTCTTTCTTCTCACCAAAACCTAGAGATCACCGAAGTTGGTTATAAAATGAACATATCAATATAGACAAAGATACTGTTAACCGGCTCATTATCTTTATAATGAGTACAATGCTGACCAGTCTAAAGAATATATCACATAAAAATCTGTCAAAACTTTGAGATTATTACAACAGAATTTGTTTATCAACCATCCTTTTTTCTTTTATATAATACCAAAATGTAACTAGGAATATTGTCTCAAATATACAACATTGTAAAGTGTCACTGCATCATACAACATTGTAATGTGTCACTGCATCATACAACATTGTAAAGTGTCACTGCATCATACAACATTGTAATGTGTCACTGCATCATACAACATTGTAAAGTGTCACTGCATCATACAACATTGTAATGTGTCACTGCATCATACAACATTGTAATGTGTCACGGTATCATACAACATTGTAATGTGTCACTGTATCATACATTGTTATGTGTCACTGTATCATACAACATTGTAAAGTGTCACTGCATCATACAACATTGTAATGTGTCACTGCATCATACAACATTGTAAAGTGTCATTGCATCATACAACATTGTAATGTGTCACTGCATCATACAACATTGTAAAGTGTCACTGCATCATACAACATTGTAAAGTGTCACTGCATCATACAACATTGTAATGTGTCACTGCATCATACAACATTGTAATGTGTCACTGTATCATACAACATTGTAAAGTGTCACTGCATCATACAACATTGTAAAGTGTCACTGCATCATACAACATTGTAAAGTGTCACTGTATCATACAACATTGTAAAGTGTCACTGCATCATACAACATTGTAATGTGTCACTGCATCATACAACATTGTAATGTGTCACTGTATCATACAACATTGTAAAGTGTCACTGCATCATACAACATTGTAAAGTGTCACTGCATCATACAACATTGTAATGTGTCACTGCATCATACAACATTGTAATGTGTCACTGTATCATACAACATTGTAATGTGTCACTGTAGCATACAACATTGTAATGTGTCACTGTATAATACAACATCGTAATGTGTCACGGTATCATACAACATTGTAATGTGTCACTGTATCATACAACATTGTAATGTGTCACTGTATCATACAACATTGTAATGTGTCACTGTATCATACAACATTGTAATGTGTCACTGTATCATACAACATTGTAATGTGTCACTGTATCATACAACATTGTAATGTGTCACTGTATCATACAACATTGTAATGTGTCACTGTATCATACAACATCGTAATGTGTCAATGAAGATAAGGATAAATATCAAATAAAAGAAACTAGAGAATGTTTGCAGAACATGTATAGTTCACTCCTCCTTTGATAGTAACTGAACATAAAGGTTTAGATGTATAAATCTAGGCAAGACTGTGCAGTCTGGATTTTGATCCAAAGTTTCAGATGTACCATAATATGAACAAGATTCAAAGTTACAAATTGATTAGATTTTTCACAATTGAACTCTATATCATCAATGTTAGAAATAAAAAACCTTTGTGTACTTTAACCACAGGTTATTACAATATTACAACCACAAATAAATTTTACCTCCACTGACAAAGTTGTCGTAAAGTGCTCTCATTTTTTGTCTTGGGCGTGGCTAAAACAAAGGAAAAAGAATAGCATGTACAGAAATCATAAGTTTGCTACACTGATGCCATTCTATTTACCAACAGGTGATGGATCAGTTTGCTACAATGTCAACGTAAAGCAATGTGAAGTGAATGATAGGATTTTACAGGTATGTGTTCATATTTCTAGGAAACTTGCAAATAAGTTGATGGATTTCTGAAAATTGTCAAGGAAAAAGCATTAATTATTGGTAAACTCTTAAAAAACGAAACGAAGAAAACAAAAATTCAAATTCATTTAAATGGCAGTTTCTTCAAACAGGCATACCTCAGCAAATTTCAGGTATATCTACTCTAGCATTGTCTCCAAAATAACAAAATATCTCCCCAATTGAATGTTTGTACCTCTCGTTCCTCTTCCTCTGGATGTGTTGCCTGGAAGGGCTGGAAACCCACGGCTGATGGAGTCTTTTCTGGATCCTGCAGGGAGGGGAAAACAAATAATCTAACTAACAGCAAACAAAGCTTATCCATGCACTCACAGTATAACACTTCTAGGTAAGGAACATGTACCAACTTCACATTTTTATCTGAATATTCTCAAGAACACAAAAATTCTCAATGAGATTCACTAAATAGCATATTGATAAAATGATTTTCTAAAAGATTTGTTTATAAACAGCAGTGACTTGATCAATGTTCAACAATGCACTTACCTTGAGTTTCTTTTCAAGATATTTGGAGCGTTTGAAGCTATGTTTGTCCTGACTGTCAGAAGCAATTTTGATTGCCTGGAAGATAGCATTAAAATGATAATAACCTAGTATAATTAATGGAATGTAATGTTGAGAGATCCTCCACATTGTCCCCTGTAGAAAGGTTCTTTTGATATACATGTAAGTGACATTAAAATTTTCTATGACAATCCAGGTACATGTATAGATGGAAGATTATTTAACTTGTATAATAAACACCAATGTTTAAACTTCAGACTCTTCCTTGCAAAATTCTATTTTTTTAGTGATGGGAAGTCGGTTAAAATCAGTAATTGATTATCGGTTGAAATTGGTGAGGCTTTCAAACGTAGTTAATCGATTATGCAATTGGCTGACAGTGTGTTCAATATCTATAGAAAGCTAATGCATTCTTTATTAAAGTTCTATTATGGTTTTTTTTTTCTTTAACTTTAAGGCTTAATTACCTCTCTTACCAAGAATTTATATAAGAACAAATATTATTGGCAATTGCCATCTTTATTAAGCATAATTTGAATTTTGTTTTTGTTTAAACACAAGAAAATATTATGGAATTGGTGTACCTGCAAATGTTGGTCATTTTAGTGGCTATCAATACCAAAGGACTTTAAACGAAGGCAGTTCAATGCCTATATGTACTCGTCTTAAACATATTGCTCTCTGTTTAAATCATAATATGTTGTTCATTACTGACAGCATGATCTATTAGATACAGAGGCTATTTTGAATATGATGTTATAATGGACAGACCATAGATGTCATTTATAGTCCTATTAATGACACTTTTTAATTAATTCATAAAGAGGAAAAGCAATGTAAATATAAAGATGAAACTTACACCCGATTTCAACAATTTCTTTGCCTGTTCTTTAGCATCTTCAGCTGATTCTGGAGCAGCTACAAAATACATGTAGTAATTGGTAAGTTTCTGAAAAGTTTGGCTATAGATCAATTAGAGTCAGATGTGTAGTTTTAGATTGATACTCTAATATTTATAAGTTAAAGATGAGCTGCAAACACATCAATGAAAGTCTCCTTGAAACTGTTGCTAGGTATGGTAACAGTGATCAACCTAATTAATAACTAAGGTATTCATGGTATGACACTCAGCTACGAGTCAAAATTCAAATATAAACCAGAAAATTAATGAATGAAAATAAATCTTAATTTACCAGTTTTAGTGAATTATAATGATGTTAAAATTACTTATAGCATCTTTCAATTGCACCCATGTCATATTGATTTTTATTAAACTGAACTATTACAATCATTTATATAAAACTCACCCATATGTTATATCTATTAAACAATTATAATATAGGGAAGCCTTGTTTAAATGCTCACATAAGTTATATTCCTACATATTAAGCCCCTCTTGTTTTTATAAGAGTTAAGAGATATCATGTACATTTACTTATGTAATAGTTCCATTAAACTTTCTGCTATATCTTAATGCTTACGTCTTTTTGCTGGTTGCTGTGCTGGTGGCTCCCTTTCTGGTTTGGCTGTTTTCAAAGCTTGTAGTACTTTTTTCTGAAAGATTGAAACATAACCAATTTTAAATCGATGAAGTAATAGATAATCAATACAAAAATAAATCCATGTACTCAAATAAAAAAAAGAATGGATAAATACAAAATCTTTAATACGCTAAGTTTGAATATTAAGATATTATATTTACACTGGTACTAGCAAGATATATAGTACAAACAGGGATGCATGACACAACCCCTGCTTCTGTACACCAAAATAAATAAAAATGTAGTATCATAATACTCAAATAGGACACACAAAAGTATTTATTTAAATATCGAAAGTGTCATATAGTTGCACCTTTTTACGTAGCAAAGCATATTTTTGTCGTAACTTTTCTTCTTCGTCTGTTAATCGAGCAGGAAAGTTAATGTAAACCATATTGAACAAAACACAGCTAAAACACGGATGTCGGCAAAAGGGACCATTCCATGAAATTCGGGAACTTAAAATATGTGTAATGAAACATTAATTGTCATGATTCCTGTCTCATCTTTGTTACTTTATTATACTTCCAAATCGTTTGCGTTTTTTTCCAACTGCTTGCACTCATAAAAGTATTTTATTATGAAAGAGGCGCTCCCCTATAAAACCGGAAGTTAAAATTCTCACAGTAAACACACGTGCCAATAGCGGTTTCGGTTCGTCACAAATGAGATTGACGTGCAGTACAGACAAACAGGTTTGTTATGGAAACATGATTAATATTTACATTGTTTACCAGGCGTTTAATATAACTTAAGTGAAATATGACATGCAAAACGTGAATAGAAACCACTATCGAAGTATAAATAAGCTACAAACAGCTGACAAATTCGTTATACATTTACATCCAACACAGGCAGATTCTAATAAAACAATACTACATGTATATCACATCATCATGATGGTCAGTGCAAAATTAATCACTGAATAGTTTCCTTTGAAAAATGTCCATAATCATTTCAAATTAATCATCTCTGTGTAGCAACTAACCTTAAAAGTGGCTAATTCCCTATATGAAAAAGAGTGTCGTAATCACTGAATAGGATAGAGTATTAAATTTTGTAGACGTAATTTGGAGTTACACACAAAATGAAACATAAGCCCTGAAGGAGTGGGTCTGTGTAACTTGTACACGGTATTGAATACAACTGTCTCTGTCACTCACTTACTGGAGCATGCGTCATAGTAGCTGTAATTTTGTAGCTCTGACAACAAAGATGTTATTACATTGTGCTGCCGGGTCGGTAGAATGGTGGATTATCATATTACTACTACCTTCGTTGTCTCAATTGGTACAGAAACAATTCATAAGTATGTTTCTTTTTTTTTTCAGAATATAACTTTTGTATCCTGAGATTTCTTTGTAGTCTCTGCAATGAATCAGTGAATAAGTGAACACTCTTTGGTAAATCAAACTGGAAAAAACCTGTTCATCCACTACAAATATGAAGTTTGTGGTGAACAGCGTAAAGAATGGAGGATGTCGCTTGGGTGTTATGTCAGAATTTGGGTTACATGGTAAAAAGACAGTTGATACCCCAATGTGCATGCTGTATACTAGGAGAGGTGAGTAAAAAGCAGTTCATGTAAGCTGAATTTTTAATGTTAATTAATAATTTCCAAACTCCAAATCATGTATGAATCTAAGCTGAAGTTCATTGTGAAATAAGTGTAATGCTTTGTAGCAAAATCTTTATCAAATTCATGTGAAGTTGAAGCTGTCTGTAAAAGCCACTACTGGGAGTAAAGAAATGGCCTATAAGGCAGGTGACCATTTATGTGATTACAAATTGTACTAATTAGACTTAGTGGCCTTTATATCCTGTTTTTTTTTTATATATATATATATACAGATGGTCTTTATAAACAGTTTTTTTACTTGTTTTATAAAGAGTTTGCCTTTATGGACAGGTTTTTGTTTTGCATAGAGATTACCCTTAGGGCAGATTAGACTGCACTAACATAGATGATGAAGGCAATATATCTGTCTTGAATTTTTAATACTCTTATTTGATGATCGACATACAAGATATTTATTCTGCCAGTCTGCCTTATGTCAAATATAGCTACCAGAAACACCTGGGCAAACATTGTGGCAGAAAGACAAAATTTCATAACCCAAAGCCAGGTCACAAAGTAAGAAACAAAGTCAATTCCTGGATTCCATCTAGTAGCTATAGTTTTCTTTTTAAAAAAATATTTATTTAGGATGACAAAAATTTACTTCTATGACAGGTAGTGCCCCTCACCTAACAGCAGATATGTTAAAGAAAATTCAGTATTTACCTCCTTTGGCACAAATGTCTCTCACTAACATGTAAGTACAAGTTTTTTCTAATGCCTTTCTTGTTTTGTTCTCTGTAAAGTAAGAGTGGTATTGAGGTCAATCTTTTCTAGCTATACAAGAGCAATGTTATTGGCTAAATACAAAATCATACTAAGTGCCAGTACTAAGTGCACTTTTCAGAATTTAAGAGAAATCCCCCCTTTTTTTTTTGCAAGAGTGGTTTACGTTGTCTTCATTTTGTTATTCTGTACTAAGCATTACCATAGATGTTTTCAGTATCATTAATAAATGATTTAACTATTATTACTTTCACCCAACTAAAGGACAATTTTACATTGTCCAGTATAAAACTGTCATTTGTTTGATATATTTAACAACTAACTTATGTAGACTTGTGTAGTAAAGGTGTGCATCTTCTTTTTCAGGGTAGAGCATCAGGAAACCTTGGAGGCATTTAAGGAAGGAATCGGAAAATTTGCAAATATGAAGGTATAATTTATTAACTTATTTGTTTCAGTCAAGCGAAATCTAACGGTATCACTGTTTACAAGAGAAAGAAAATATAATGAATTGTTTCTATATTGGAATTCACAAAATAATCTAATAAGTATTGAGGAATTCAGTGTTGTATCTTGATTTTGAAATTCTATTCAAAATATTTTAAACAGTAATTTATTCAATAGGTAAAGTTTGATTTGATCTTTCAGGACTATATTGTGTACATGGCTCTCCATGATCCCGCTACAGAGGTGATGTCAGGACAGAATGATACAGCAACTGTTGGTGTGTGGACTAAATCAGGCAAAGTCAAAGTAATTATCTACTGAAAGATTGGTATAGGTTACAGAGGTCACATTTTAAGAGTTCATACAAAGATTGACAGGCGTTTATGAAATATTGATATTTGTTACTGTGGTCACGTTTTATCAAATGTTCTTGCAAAGATATAAACTTTTGCATTTCACTATGTTACCAGACCAGCTAGAATTGAAACAATTCTGTGAAGGTGACTAAATAAAAGACAGATGAAGGGAAATTCACACTCATTTAGTCAGTAATATGAAGACTAAATTGCACATTGCTTAGATAGGATAGCTGTAATGAATTTAAATATATATGATATTATTTGTTGGGAGAAGATTATGATAAATTTTCATGATTTCATTGCGTTAATATTTTGGGTATCATTTTTCTGATGGACTCTTTTATGCTCCCTGGATGGAGAGCGTATAGTCACCGCATTGTCTGTCTGTCCATCATGATTTTGTCCAAGCATAATGCAAAAACTATCAGAGGTATCAACATGAAACTTCATATAAAGATAAATCTCATCAAGAAGAAATTGCAGTGCAACTCTTTTGAATAATTTAGAAGTTATTGCCCTTTGTTATTTTTTATACTCAAATTTTATCTTGTCAAAGTAAAAGAGATATCAACATGAAACTTCATAGGTAGATACATTTCAATAAGTAGGAGGTCAGTGTACAAGAATCATAACTCTTTTATTGACGTTTGTTATTTTTTATACTCATCTGGTAAATTTTTCCCCAATATGGGAGCATAACCTGTCTCTTACAACCTTTGTTTATTTCTTGTAAATCCAAAACTTAGAGCAGTGTTACTGAGATGAGAGAAAATTGTTCTTCATTCAATACTCCGTATTGAGAAACCTTAGTAATTGTAACATCTTTATATATACCACCCTTATACATGAAAGATTCCCATGTTTTATTGTAAATAATATTGTATACAAGGATACATTAACTCAATGTTTTTCTTTTCACCCTCAAATGAATCTGTTTATTTTCACCCATTGTTATATTCACCCTAAAATACATTCAGCTGTAATTTAAGTCATTCACCCACCTGTTATTTTCGCTCTGATGACAAGAAGCGTGAAACAGATGACATTTTTACTGTGTCAAATGTTTCCACATATAAAGTGCTTCTTTTCATAATTACTGACCACATGATCATTAATGTTGTAGTCCATCAGTGATCAGTAAAACTTTGTAATGAGATAGATCAGGGATCTCCCTGGAGCTGATTTACTAGATCCTGTCTGGTTGATCGGGTGAATTGAACCCTAGACAAATTAAATACTAAATCTAACTTAGTTTAAATAAGTCTGACTCCATCAGTGAAGGGTCATGTCTCTTGCAATCTAAAGATGTTTTTTCCCCTTATATTTTGTACATGTTTGATTACCAGACTTCTTCATAATGTTGTGTTGAACTGTTGATCTAGATGGATGTAGATATGTTTATGCGAGTACAAGAAGCATTCAAGCCTGACATTTACCAAGCCCTGAGTGACGGGGACACAGATCTCAAGGCGGCAAAGAAGAGGACGAACAAGTCTGTGACTAGGACATTGTCCTACCTTGACCAAATACTGGAGAGATTACCCAAATCTGAGGTTAGTTACAGAAATTGCACATACCAATTCAGAATGGTGAGTATGGATTTGGCATCACATTATGATGTAATTCTTATGTGGTGTTATGTATTAATGAAATCTAAAGACTGTATTTCATTATTGATATAATATCATGTATGTAGATACAAAGGAAACTTTTCTGCTGATAAGCAGAATTAAATTTTTGTAGTAGTTATTACTGGAAGTCTTCTGAAATGAACACAGATTTTAGTTTTGTCAGTTATTAAAAATTTGTTGTTGACATAGATACCATTAGCCTAAAACCTAAACACCATAAAATAAGGTACCAGGATATATCAATCTGTTAGCTTCTCATTAATAGTCTGTAATTTATTGACTTTGTTTATCAGGTGATTAAGTCTTTATTCAAGAGTTGGGTATTACAAAATGTTGTCTATTTTCACTTTGGGTATAGATACTAAAGGACGCAGCCTTATTTGGTGTAATAGAGGGAGGTAACTCCATGTTTGAGAGATGTCGCTCAGCTCGGGAAACTGGGTCTAGAAATGTGGCAGGTAAGAATGTTTGGTGTAATCATTACAAAACATATCAATATAAAATATAATTTTAGATGGGACAGAAGTTACCAAAGTTATACCATATGGATAATTGATCCATAAGTTAATAGTAAAAAAAAAAAAATAAAAAATCATCGTTTGAATGTTTTTGATAGTTTGTGTTTCTTATTTTTAAGTAAGCCTTAACTTTACTTAATTAGTTTCAGGTTTTTTTATCATGGGTTCTTGTTAACTATTTAATTCTAGTCTTTTTTATGCCCCTGCCATTTCTTGTTTAAGGGTCATGTAGTGTTACCCTTGGCTGTAATTCCATCTTAATTTAGTTTCTGCTCATTTATTCTTGAACAGATACAGAGATAGAACTGTAATTTGGTATGTACATAGTTTAATGATATCAACATGAAGACCAATTTCTGATTTGGTTTAGTGGGAACTCAAAAATAAATAATGATAATAATAAAAGAAAAAAATACTACAGGCAAAATTTGGATGTTATTTCAGATTCTTTACCATAGATTCAACAGACAGAGCTTCAATTTTAATTCAAGAGTCTTGAGTACACCTCTTAACAAAGCCAACAACACTAAAACAAAGCTCCAACCTAAGTCCAATTACATAAATGGTAATTGTGTTTGTAAGTTAGAATCACTTGTGCCTAATCTATTGATGAATGCTGTAACCATAATCATAATTTAAGTAAAGGTTTGGGTTGTTTTTCATACAGGATTTGTTATTGAAGGATTCCATACACAGGGACCAAAGACAGAGTTTTTCAAAATGTCTGATATTAAAGACATATTGAAACAGACAGTGGTAAGTTGACACAAGAATTTGTGTATTTGATCTGTTTATTGTGTGACAGTACTATACCAATATCTATACAGATAGATAGGATTCATATGCAGTTTACATATCAATGTCATCAGTGTCATTTGTGTGATGAAAGGGACAGTATAGTCATCAAAATGAAACTCAAATCTTCTACTGGTCGTGATGTAAGAACTGCTATTCTTTGAATCAAAGAAATTGTGTATACATGTTACTGTATAGCATAGGGTTTTATTTAGACAGATGATTTAGTGAACAGGGTTCAGTATAGACAGGTTACATGTCATGAAGAGTTCACTTAAGAAAAGATAGAGTACACTTTTTTATCCAAAGAGGATACAGTCTAGTTTGGTTAGGTCAGAGCATGCTGTGTGTTGTAGAGGTTGGGTTGAAGTCTTGATTATACTAAATTAAACTAAACTCAGATGACACGATAATTGAGATTATACTTACCTCAGAGGTCTGAATCATACCAGATTTTACTTACCTCAGAGGTCCTGCTAGATCATACCAGATTATACTTACCTCAGAGGTCCAGCTGGATCATACCAGATTATACTTACCTCAGAGGTCCAGCTGGATCATACCATATTATACTTACCTCAGAGGTCCAGTTGGATCATACCAGTTTATACTTACCTCAGAGGTCCAGCTAGATCATACTAGTTTATACTTACCTCAGAGGTCCAGCTAGATCATACCAGTTTATACTTACCTCAGAGGTCCAGCTGGATCATACCAGTTTATACTTACCTCAGAGGTTTCTCTTTTTATAGGATTGTCTTCCAGATGACAAACCACGACTGATGCATGCAGCGCTCCCTCCAGATCAGGTCCTAGAGGCGATAGAGTTAGGTCTGGACATATTGGACAGTTCGTATCCTTCATGATCATTTAAAATGGTGTCAATCAGAGTGCTGTGTGCTATTTTGCTCAAGTGAAACTGGTTATCCATTTTATTCAACTTCTACCTGCATTTGGACAGTAAGATTGAAATTTGTTTTGAGTGAACACTTTTAGAAAGTGACACTTTGGGAAAGTGGTTTGAGGAGGCTTGGCAAATTTCTGAGATTTTAAACCTCGTTTTATATTCCTTGACTGAGGTCAATAGATATCCTTACCTTGTCACAGAGAGAGGGGCTGCTCTAGTGTTCAACTTCATCCACAAAGCTAACCCAGAGAATATGAACGGGAACAAGATTGTTCAAAAAGGATGGGAAATAGATCTCAATGATAAAAGGTATAGTCAAATCTGTCATAAAATTCACGAAAAGGGCATCAACTGCCATAATGTACAGGAAGTCTGTATAAAGATGTCAAACATAATTTTTTGATTCCTTTGATTCCTTGTTTTTGTTTCGTAAACCTTCATCCAAACTCGAAATAGAAAATACTGATCACAAACAATATTGAAGTCTTCTCTCTGTCCACCTATAGCAACATTTGGTGATATTTAATATCAGTCCTCATAGAGAGATGGTCTTTATGTAGAGGGGATCCTTGTAGTCATGTTATTCCTGAGAGAGTTCAGGTAAAAAAATTCTTATCATTTTTGTCCTTGATGATGTATGATTCATGGATATTGGCATTCAAGTTGCATGTTTTATCCATATAACAAAGTAAAGTTACCAAGCATGATCAGTGCTTGGGTGGGTATCACTGGTTGAACTTTTCAAGATTAATGGGAAAAGAAAATCAAGCAGTCATTTTGTTGACAACTAATTTATGTAAAATCAGATGCTTGCTACATTGGAGTATCATTTAAAGACTTTTTTAAAATCTGGTATAGTAAAAAATGATACTTCCTAGCTATTCATTTTTGTGATTTCACTTTTGTGAAGTTTACATACTAAAAAAGGAAAAATGTCCTCTGTAAATAAGAGGTAATTGTCCTCACAGCTGTCACCAAACTCTTGAGCAATGGTCAATTAAATTTGACTGTCAGTGATTGGTATACACATGTATACAGAACTTGTCTGTCCAACAGCAAACATCATACATGTTACTGTCAGTGTATTGTTTGAAGTATTGATATGTCCTGTAGTTACATGTACAGTGTATTTCAAAAATATGCATACTTGAAGGTAATTGGATGTGTACAAAAATTGAGTTTTTAAATGGAAAAAAAAAAAAAACATAAGGTGCACATATTTAGTGTCCTTGAATAACTTATAAGTATATTTCCTCATGAAGTCAATCCACATCGGTACTTAAAAATGACAAGTGTTATGGCTGCTGACGTTAAGATTCTGAACATCACAAAAATTAATTGATTTGATGGTTTACAGTGATTTCTGTCAGAGGATTACAATGTATAGGGAGTTTGCTTCATGTTTATTAAGATAATTTTTTTTCAGATATTTTGAAGACTTTGGTCCTTTGTTAGAAGGCTGCTCATGCTACACATGCAAAAACTTCTCCAGAGCCTACATAAACCACTTACGGAATACATCAGAACTGCTTGGGTCTGTGTTGCTGATGATGTAAGTTTTCCTACTTGAAACTGCTTTGGTTTGGGTCAGTAATTTACAGGAGGGAATCTATTTTCAGCTTACAGATGACATGCTTTATGGGTCAGTAACATGGTACACCAGGTACAGATATTGCATTTCCTTGAAACACTCTATGTATCATACAGATGTTATCATATTCAAAAGATTGAAAAGTTGTTTAAGCCTTAAAAAAGTATGTTTTGTTTTACAAGATGATGACTTTGACTTATACTGAAATTGTCTTATGGAACTTTTACATTACAGACACAACTTCCAGCACTATTTCCACTACTTTGAGGCAATCCGGGAAGCTTTGGCAGATGACAAATATGAACAATTAAAAACTCATATAAACAGACAGAATCTTGGAAACAACAGCTGATAGTGGCATGCTTTTATATCACTAGAAAAACGTCAGATCTTCAGGAAATATACATACTTTATAATCAGAAACATTAGTTGTTTTCATGGCATCAGACAAACTAGGAAAATATTACATATCAACAAATGTTGTTAAGCTGGAAATTATGTCAATCAGTCAATAGCTGTGATGAAATATACAATGACATCGTGAAATCTACACAGGTTTAGTGCTTAGTGAGAAACCTACAGCAGGTGTTAGTGGGATGAAAACCTAGGTGTGGAAGAACAATAATAACAGAGTACTGCAGAGATATTTCACAAGTGTATTGTAATTTACTTATTACCATAGCCATATTTCTTCGGTTCATTAAACCTTTTTTTTTCTAAATATGTTTAAAGAATTGCAAAATGAATTTAAATTTCACCTGTCACCAACAGATCAAATGTTTTTGTTCAAACTGACAGATGCTCAATTGGATTTACATGTAAATTCTGACAATCTTTAGTGGTGTTGAGCCAACGCCGTTCTTCTCGTAAATCCTTCTTCATAACTCTATTGCAGAGTCTAAAACTGGTTTAAACTTTTTATGAGCTTGTTCCACCAGTCTATATATATATATATATATATATATATCAAGTTTTCACAGTAAGATTCACACCACAAATTGTCCTGAAGAAGCCCATATGTTTGGGTGAAACCAGAAGACATAAGTAACAAGAGATCCCAGAGGGATCTTGGCGCCCACCATTTGAGGATCTGTTTTCAGTTATTGAAGATTTTTTTTTTTGTGTTACAGGTTTTATAAATGTTCATGAACTGGTCTTCATTGAATGTACTCAATGATGGCACAAGATATTTTTATTAAGCACCTATTAGCAAATATCATTTGAAAAGATCCCAAAGTATTATTAGATAGCAGTCAGTTACAGGTGGATAATGGACATGGTCTTGAATCAATATGATAAAATATCGAAGAAAATATGCTTGTGCTGTATTACTGTCGACATCCAAGATGGCTGCCTGTTGGCCAACTTGATTTCAAATCAGTCCAAAAAAACTACAATGCACAACTAGGGACCAAGAGAAACCAATACCTATGAAATATCAGAGGTATCCATCCAGTACTTCCTCTGAAATAGCAGTAACAAGATTTTACTCTCAAAATCCAAGATGGCTGCCTGTCAGCCATCTTGATTTCAGATCAGTCCAAAAAGGTACAATGCACAACTAGGGACCAAGGGGAACCTGCATATGAAATTTGAGAAAGATCCATCCAGTACTTTCCCAGAAATAGCGATAACAAACTTTTACTTCCAAAATCCAAGATGGCTGCCTGTCAGCCATCTTGAATTTGAATCAGTCCACAAAAGGTACAATGCACAACTAGGGACCAAGGGGAACCTGCATATGAAATTTGAGAAAGATCCATCCAGTACTTTCCCAGAAATAGCGATAACAAACTTTTACTTTCAAACACCAAGATGGCTGCCTGTTGGCCATCTTGAATTTGAATCAGTCCAAAAAAGGTACATACACAACTAGGGACCAAGAGGAACCTGCATATAAAATTTGAGAAAGATCCATCCAGTACTTTCCCAGAAATAGCGGTAAAAAGAATTGTTTACGGACGGACGGACCACGGACGCAGGGCGATTTGAATACCCCACCATCTGATGATGGTGGGCTAATAAAGATAATAACTTGATCATCCTGAGCTTGGTGCAATTTACCATTACCTTTTACTTTTGAATTCAGAAAATATTTGAAAACAGCCAATTTGGTACTTGGCTCTGAATTAAACCACTCAAAAGTATTAGCTACTCGACAGTAAATACAAAAATATCATATCTATTGAACAAAAAGTCAAGCAGATCAACACATAACCTTTGCCTTAAAATCAGGGATGAGCTTATTACAGGACATTGAAAATAATGCCTGTTAATGCTTCTGAATAGCAACAGATATGGGTGGGCTTATTACCAAGCATTATTGCATTCTTATGATCGATAGTAAATATATTCTTATGGGTAAAACTAGTGCTTACTAATTCATTAATCCAATTGGTTTCTGTCTGTCTGTAACTTTATGTTTCACTACTTTAGTTTGGTTCATTTAAATATGTATTATCCATGTATTATTAGGGGCTTTGTGCAAAGATAAAAAACACAGATAAGTTTGAAATTTTACATTTTATATATGTATCTTTAAAATAGTTAAAAACAATCAATCAACAAAAACAATTCTGTCTGCATCACATTCTGGTTTCTTAGGCATTCCTTATTACTTACAAACACAATCATCAAATAACAATTTAAACATTTAAATCTTTGATCCCAGTTTTAACATGGCACCATTCTGAGTTTACAATTTCTATCTAAGTGCACCATTCCATGTATACAGTCCCTTTTTCACAGCAGCATTCCAGGTAAATATCAATGTAGATAAAAAAATCAAATATGTATCTTGAAATGATGAAAGATGAACATAAACTAAAACCATACAGGTTTAGAAAGATACATAAGTCAAACCTGTTGGAAACCTAGGCTGCTGTCCTGTAACAATGTGAAATGATCAATTTGGTCACTCCATCACAGATAGATGCAACTGTCCACAGTTTCAGTATTACCTAACAGAAATAAAACAATAAACCAGTAATGAAATATGTTTTACCATTCCCCCCCATACCCTAAACTGGTGAACCAATCCAATATAACCTTTTTTTCTTTCACCATTTTGTATGCAATGGTAGCTGTTAATTATAAACAGGTTTTTACTTCCAATGGCCATTAATCCTTGGTCATTCAACATTTTACATTATTTGAGCATGGTCAAATGGTATGACTAGTTTAAACCAGTAGTTGGAAATATTAGGCGTTTCAGAAACAGCTACCATTGCAATACAATCCTGACCTCTGATTGGTCAAAATTTAGATATCTGATTTTGACCAAATTTGGTATATAGGAGTAAAAGGGAACACCAAATATTATTGTATGTGTTTCATTGCCATGACAACCATGCTAAGGCAAATAGTGGTCTCTGATTGGTTGAAATTTAGATATTGCAAAATTTAAACCAAATGCGATTGATAGGGGCACTAGGGAATGCCAAATACTATTGTATAGGTTTCATTGTCATGACAACTATGCTAAGGCAAATTGTGGCCACTTATTTCCGAAATTTAGATACTGATTTTTTCCTTACTTTATATATTGAGAGATACCAAGAAGCCCCAAAATTAATTTTTAATAATTTTTGACTTTTTCGTGGAGTTTTGACCAAATCTAGTACAAAGAGGTCTTTGCATCTGCTGAGGGTATTGGTTGTCATCACGAAGACAGTTCTAATTTAAATTGTACTGAATATTATAACTTCTGCCATTTTATACAGAAATTATGAAAATTAATGATATTTAACTAGTCAGTTTTGGACAGGAAGAGCTGATCCCTTCAAACTGTACCTGCCAAATATTCCACAATCCAGCCTCAGTCTTGATCAGTGCCTGGCATTTGTCCAGCAGATTTTAGCTTGTCCAACCATTTCAAACACTAACAGCGAGAACTGCCATATTTTGATTTGTTTCTAAAGTTTTCGCAGGTTTCCAGATTGCACAGAGTTCAGATTAGAAAAGTAATGATTAAACATATATAATAACACAATACTCAGCAATATACAAACAGTTCCTGATCTGCATTATAATATAGAACATTTAGCACCTCGTTACTCCTAAGCTAGAGTGTGTAGACACCCATTTTATAATTTACACCACACAGTAATTTGTGGATATCTCATTTAGTACCTTGAACAAAGGTAATTGGAGAAAGGCTTATCTAACTGCATTTATGCTATAGTAAGCCATGATACCAACACACCAGTCAAAAGTGGTTGGCTTACTGCAATCCTATCTGTAATTCTACTGAGCAGCAATATATAGGGAAGGACTTATCACCAGCCACTGACTTATTGCTAGATAAATATGACAAGAGGATTTTGTAAATGTTATATATCTTAATGCTACATAATCAGAAAACACCTCTCCTAAATTTTCTTTCTTAAGAAATAATTTTTATCAAGACTTTGAGACAAAAAGTTCTTTCCATTAACAGTATCTGAAAAGATATTCATCTAAATCAATTTTTGTTTTTAAATGGTACAATTTGTGTTAACAGGTTTGATTATTTCTCAAAGCTATTTAGATCATACAAAGCATGGAAATCATACAAAACATGGGTAAATCATACAAAACATGGGGAAATCATACAAAACATGGGAAATCATACAAAACATGGGTAAATCATACAAAACATGGGGAAATCATACAAAACATGGGAAATCATACAAAACATGGGTAAATCATACAAAACTGGGTAAATCATACAAAACATGGGGAAATCATACAGAACAAGGAAATCATACAAAACATGGGGAAATCATACAAAACATGGGAAATCATACAAAACATGGGTAAATCATACAAAACATGGGGAAATCATACAAAACATGGGAAATCATACAAAACATGGGTAAATCATACAAATCATGGGAAATCATACAAAACATGGGTAAATCATACAAAACATGGGTAAAACATACAAAACATGGGAAATCATACAAAACATGGGGAAATCATACAAAACATGGGAAATCATACAAAACATGGGTAAATCATACAAAACATGGGGAAATCATACAAAACATGGGGAAATCATACAAAACATGGGTAAATCATACAAAACATGGGTAAAACATACAAAACATGGGTAAATCATACAAATCATGGGGAAATCATACAGAACAAGGAAATCATACAAAACATGGGGAAATCATACAAAACATGGGAAATCATACAAAACATGGGTAAATCATACAGAACAAGGAAATCATACAAAACATGGGGGAAATCATACAAAACATGGGTAAAACATACAAATCATGGGAAATCATACAAAACATGGGGAAATCATACAAAACATGGGGAAATCATACAAAACATGGGAAAATCATTCAAAACATGGGTAAATCATACAAAACATGGGGAAATCATACAAAACATGGGGAAATCATACAAAACATGGGTAAAACATACAAATCATGGGAAATCATACAAAACATGGGGAAATCATACAGAACAAGGAAATCATACAAAACATGGGGAAATCAAACAAAACATGGGTAAAACATACAAAACATGGGTAAATCATACAAATCATGGGGAAATCATACAGAACAAGGAAATCATACAAAACATGGGGAAATCATACAAAACATGGGAAATCATACAAAACATGGGTAAATCATACAGAACAAGGAAATCATACAAAACATGGGGGAAATCATACAAAACATGGGTAAAACATACAAATCATGGGAAATCATACAAAACATGGGGAAATCATACAAAACATGGGGAAATCATACAAAACATGGGAAAATCATTCAAAACATGGGTAAATCATACAAAACATGGGGAAATCATACAAAACATGGGGAAATCATACAAAACATGGGTAAAACATACAAATCATGGGAAATCATACAAAACATGGGGAAATCATACAGAACAAGGAAATCATACAAAACATGGGGAAATCAAACAAAACATGGGTAAAACATACAAATCATGGGAAATCATACAAAACATGGGTAAATCATACAAAACATGGGAAATCATACAATACATGGGTAAAACATACAAAACATGGGTAAATCATACAAAACATGGGTAAAACATACAAATCATGGGAAATCATACAAAACTGGGGAAATCGCACAATTGCTGAGTCCTAAGGCAAGTGGAATTATGTGCTTTTATGATTTCTTAGCCTTGTTTAACCAGCCCATCATCACACTACTCTCCGTCTTCTTCTTTTTCTTAGGTGGACTTTCTGACACCTTGACTGGGGAAACTCCTTCATTTTTAGGCCTGGACAACCAATTCCTCATTAGGTTACTACTAGCAGACTCTTTCAGTTTTCTACAATGAAATTTTATTTTGTGAATTCCAGATCATGTCCTTTCAATAGAAATAGTCAACAATTTTCACTGTATTTTGCCCAATTGTTATTAAAAATTACTTTAGACAAACACTTTGAATATCATTCAAATTGGGTCACGGTCACATTTATCTAAAACAAACTTAAGAGCATTATACCATGATTGCTTCATATGGATGTTTATTTCATATTTGTTCAAATAAAGTCAAGGTCACTCTGAAAATTGTAGCATTTTACAGGCTAATTATATAACCTTTGACCTCTTGTTAATTAGTTAGAATTACATATCTCGTCTGATATTTTTTTTCTTCAAAATTTACATCAGAAGATGTCAGGTTTCCGGTCAAACCTTCTTAGTCTAGGTCTTTCAATACCTCATCAGAGACTGATTAAAGAAATAATAAACAAGAAGCCACAAAGCTTGGCTTTATCCCCACATCAAGCAGTCAGTGTAAAACCCAAATATAATATATACATACCGGTATTACAATAACAATATAGTGTGCTATACTTACTTTTTGAGGTCCAGAGGTTCCACACAGTCAGGTGTTTTATTTCGGGAGTTGTTGACAACATTGGACACAGGGTGTAACTGGATACACTCCACTGGTCGGATGTTCTTCACAGCCTAAAACACAAGTTATATATAAATCCTTCATGATCAGAAAAGAATTTCCACTGCCAAAATGTTCATAATTTTTCCCTGATTACTATAGTGATTTTGATACTGTTCTGAATTGATGGCCTTGATGACCAAGTTGAAGTTTGAAGTTTGGGCCCCGCCCACCTGTCCCAAAGGGCGGAACCACAAGGAGGAAGAACACATTAACACCAACCATTAGGAGCAAGAACACAGAAACACTAACCAGCAGGAGCCAAGAACTCACAGAAACACCAACCAACAGGAGCAAGAACACAGAAACACTGACCAACAGGAGCAAGAACACAGAAACACCAACCAACAGGAGCAAGAGCACAGAAACACTGACCAGCAATAGCCAAGAACTCACAGAAACACCAACCAACAGGAGGAAGAACACACAAACACCAACCAACAGGAGGAAGAACACAGAAACACTGACCAACAGGAGCAAGAACACAGAAACACCAACCAACAGGAGCAAGAACACAGAAACACTGACCAACAGGAGCAAGAACACAGAAACACTGACCAACAGGAGCAAGAACACAGAAACACTGACCAACAGGAGGAAGAACACAGAAACACTGACCAACAGGAGCAAGAACACAGAAACACCAACCAACAGGAGCAAGAACACAGAAACACTGACCAACAGGAGCAAGAACACAGAAACACCAACCAACAGGAGCAAGAACACAGAAACACTGACCAACAGGAGCAAGAACACAGAAACACTGACCAACAGGAGCAAGAACACAGAAACACTGACCAACAGGAGCAAGAACACAGAAACACTGACCAACAGGAGCAAGAACACAGAAACACTGACCAACAGGAGCAAGAACACAGAAACACTGACCAACAGGAGGAAGAACACAGAAACACCAACCAACAGGAGCAAGAACACAGAAACACTGACCAACAGGAGCAAGAACACAGAAACACCGACCAACAGGAGGAAGAACACAGAAACACTGACCAACAGGAGCAAGAACACAGAAACACTGACCAACAGGAGCAAGAACACAGAAACACTGACCAACAGGAGCAAGAACACAGAAACACTGACCAACAGGAGCAAGAACACAGAAACACTGACCAACAGGAGCAAGAACACAGAAACACTGACCAACAGGAGGAAGAACACAGAAACACCAACCAACAGGAGCAAGAACACAGAAACACTGACCAACAGGAGCAAGAACACAGAAACACCAACCAACAGGAGGAAGAACACAGAAACACTGACCAACAGGAGCAAGAACACAGAAACACTGACCAACAGGAGCAAGAACACAGAAACACTGACCAACAGGAGCAAGAACACAGAAACACTGACCAACAGGAGCAAGAACACAGAAACACTGACCAACAGGAGCAAGAACACAGAAACACTGACCAACAGGAGCAAGAACACAGAAACACTGACCAACAGGAGGAAGAACACAGAAACACCAACCAACAGGAGCAAGAACACAGAAACACTGACCAACAGGAGCAAGAACACAGAAACACCAACCAACAGGAGGAAGAACACAGAAACACTGACCAACAGGAGCAAGAACACAGAAACACTGACCAACAGGAGCAAGAACACAGAAACACTGACCAACAGGAGCAAGAACACAGAAACACTGACCAACAGGAGCAAGAACACAGAAACACTGACCAACAGGAGCAAGAACACAGAAACACTGACCAACAGGAGCAAGAACACAGAAACACTGACCAACAGGAGCAAGAACACAGAAACACTGACCAACAGGAGCAAGAACACAGAAACACCAACCAACAGGAGGAAGAACACAGAAACACTGACCAACAGGAGCAAGAACACAGAAACACAAACCAACAGGAGCAAGAACACAGAAACACTGACCAACAGGAGCAAGAACACAGAAACACCAACCAACAGGAGCAAGAACACAGAAACACTGACCAACAGGAGCAAGAACACAGAAACACTGACCAACAGGAGCAAGAACACAGAAACACTGACCAACAGGAGCAAGAACACAGAAACACTGACCAACAGGAGCAAGAACACAGAAACACTGACCAACAGGAGCAAGAACACAGAAACACTGACCAACAGGAGCAAGAACACAGAAACACTGACCAACAGGAGCAAGAACACAGAAACACCAACCAACAGGAGCAAGAACACAGAAACACTGACCAACAGGAGCAAGAACACAGAAACACCGACCAACAGGAGCAAGAACACAGAAACACCAACCAACAGGAGCAAGAACACAGAAACACTGACCAACAGGAGCAAGAACACAGAAACACTGACCAACAGGAGCAAGAACACAGAAACACTGACCAACAGGAGCAAGAACACAGAAACACTGACCAACAGGAGCAAGAACACACATCAGAAGACCCAAAAACATTTATGTTAATTTGTTGACATTAATAAGATAATTTTTTGTTCAGAGCATCGCAGAATGCTGAGCATTACGGTTATGTCTAAGGCATTAAAAAAGTGGACTATTTTGACATATTTGTCTCCATACTATATGAAATTAAGATTCATAATTCATGTATTTTTGTGTCTACTGCTACTACTTACATATTTCAAATGAATTACAAATGACATGTTTTTTTTCTTTGTAATCTGATCAAAATCAAGGGACATACTTGTATGAAGTAGACATACATAAAGATGCTAATGTGTACCTCTCAATGAAATACAATATTGTAGTAAAGTTCCAGGAATTTTGATACACCAAATTCACAATTTTATTTTTATTTTTCCTAACAATAGAATGGTGTTGTTTTAGGAAACAATGGCAAGGCAATTATATACAATTTCATATGTAGTGCCCTTTTCTTACCTGGATTTTTACCTGAGATTTACCTGTGTTTTTCACATCCTTCATTTGACTGAGAAATTAAACTAACCATGAATTCTATTTGATGAAAATAATTTTTAAATTTTTTGAGAATAATTAAGTTTGAATTCACTCAGCAGTAAAACATTTCAAACAAATTATGTTGGATGTTACCTGTAATAGAACTAATATTGCACTAATATATTAAAGATAATGTAAAATACAGTATTTAACTGCATTATAATCATTTTGACAATTAAATATCAGAAAAAAATTTAAAAGAGAAAAGCACCTGAAATAAAACTGGAGTATTTGGGGAAAAAAACATATACTTAAAATAAAACTAGAGTATTTAAAACAAAGAGAAAAAGTATCTCATTATTGGTTAAGACGATATCACATTTCTGGTAATTGGTATCAAATCTATTAAATCATCAATGAGAAATGATTAATAGTCATTTTAGTTTCATCTGATTTTATCAACTTTTGGCCTAAAGGCCCATCAAAACATTATGTGTACACATAAAGTCAATAATCTGACATGATAATGTATATATTTGTTATTTAAATTTTACAAAATTATCATTAATATTACATTCAAAATAAAACAAAAATTAAGGCTTTCCAACAATTCATAAATAGGTTTCTTCATACTTGATACTGTTATAGAGAATAAAATTATTCAAAATGTGACTATTGTTTAAACATATCCTTAAATATTAATGTGTAAAAAGAAGTATCATAATTTTAAAAACTGAAAAAATGCTAGTAATATCAGTTAGCTAAAGATTTACAGGTAAATTTACCTGTTGAAACTGATACTACTCTGACTATAATCACTATAAAAATGCACTGTAGAGGATTTACAGAGGATCTTTAAAAGAAGATCTTTATCTTCCCTATTCAGGGTCAATGTGAGTTAGGAACAGTCCTACAACACAGCTTCATATTTTCAGATATCACTCACATTGAAGTATCTAAAACATAGAAATCATAGTAATTATTCACCTTCGTCTTTGTGAAAATATTTATTAAATCTGAGAATTTCACCATAATAACCCAATAAACTGGTTTTTATATTGAATCCACACTTATGATTATAGGTGAGCCACACGTACAAATATGCAAACTTCATGTTGCATTATGGGATAGATATCTACCGGACATTGCACTTATGTAAAAATAGATGTACGCTATTAAAAAGGAAGTAACAACAACACACTACCGGCTAATTGTTAACTTTCCAATTTAAAAGTCTCTGTTTGTTCATACTCCAGTTTGAAGGTAAGTTTCCCATAAGTTTTGTTAGTGCTCAACATGTTTATTTACTTTGAATCAATCAAGCAATAAACTCAGAGTTTAAATCTTTGATCTGATTGATAAAGCAGTCAATATGGTCTCCTGAAATGTCAGGCTTGTTTTATACTTATCATTTAGTACATTTGTATAGTGGCAGTAACGTTGAATTTCATCAAATAAATAGATAGATAACTAAATAAATAAATAAACTTCTGTTTAAGATATCCTTTTACCCCTAAAGTTTCTGTGCCCTTTGCTACTACACCTATCAATGATGGAGAAGACCCTTATCAACATTCTAAGGATAGACGGCCTACAAGAACATCAAGAAAGACAGACATTTGACCGACAAGTACAACAGAAAATTGTATTTGTAATCTATGGAAATCTTGAGGAAGAAATTGGAAGTGCAGAAGACATCAAAACCATTCTGGAACAAAATAACTATAAATCCACTCAATATTCCGGTAAAAAAGCAACAGATGTTTTAAAAATCATTTCTGATGCAACTGAAAAATCATCTTACAAAGTGACTGTACTAGCGTTTCCATATTTACATACAACAGTGAAACTATCTACTTTAATATTATACCCATTACTTGAAGAAGAAGAAAAGTGCACTGTTATCATGGTTAAAGTGTCATTGTCACAGGAACTTCCAAAATATGCCAATTGTTTACCGACTTTGGACCTTACTACAGATAGATCACAATGGTGGCAACAATTGAGAAAAATAACTGGCAGATGTGCTGGAGAAATGAGCAGCATTGTAGCACGGGAACATAATTCTAAATGTCTCAAACAATTCAATCAAATTTTGGATCAGCTTGATTTGGAAGTGTCTAAAGCTTCTTTAGAAAACCAAATATATGCAAGAGAGCAGACAAGAAAATTCCTTGGCCAAACTGAATCTACAAGGTATCATTCTAAAATGAAAAGGAAATACCAATATCATGCCAGCAGTCCAGGTTTGATTTCTCCTGACAAAGAAGACATACATCACCTAAATAGAAGCAAAGGACAGCTTAAAGAAATTCCAACCTGGAAACCATCTCCAGAAAAGATAATCAGGACTTACTCTGAGAATCTACCATATGGGAAAGATACACATGTCTTCATCATCAATGAAACCACAGAAGAAGAGAAAAGACTTGCCAAAAAAATGGCTGCCATGCTACAACTTCATGGAATCACGTGTGTGAGCCGTGATGAACTTCAAACCAATGAAGATTTAATGGCAGCCATGATGAAATCTGTTGACCGGTCTATGGTAACCATTATTCTGAACTTCACTAAATTGTCTGGTATTTCATCCATTGTAGCAGACCATGCCTTTATACCTGATGAGTTGGACAAGAAAGCAGTTGTAATTCCTTTAGTATTTTCAAGAACAGAGAGAAAAGATGAAACACAAAGTTCCAGTACAAAACAGGGAAACCGTTCACTAAATCAGGTAGAAGACGTATCTCCATTAGAACAGAGACGTCAAAGACAGCTAGACATTACAACAGGGCAAGGTGTGCTGATGGAAGAAGAAGACTGGAAAAAGAAAGTTCTCGGTTATATCAAGAAAATTCAAACACGAACAGAGCCCAACATGGCACCAGAGAAATCACACAAAGAAAGATGCAGAATTCAGAAAGTTGTAGATGACCTTCAACTAGTTGTCAAAACACCATCATACCGTGCCAAAAAACAACTTTATCTGACGTCATTGGTCGAACGACCTGAACTGTCCCGCTTTCTTTTTCGTCATAAAGAGTATAAAGTCATGAGTCTACCAAAGCTGGTAAGTTTGACCAAGAGGCCTATAGGACCTGTATAACTCACCTATATAATAATATTGAATATTAAAGTTAAAGGGCAGTAGCTTCCAAGTGTCACGAAAAAGAAACTGTGACACTTACAGTAAGCTAGTGTCAATACATCCATACCATCAAAACTATTATTTTACTCATCTCACTAATAATTATTACAGGATATAAACAACATTTTTCTCAAAATTGAAATCTCTTAATAACAATTAAAGTAATGGTATGCTTCCATCCATAAACAGCATTTGGTTCTATATCTTGGTTTTGATAATATTTTTGAAATCTGAGTCAATTTGACCCTTTTGGCCTAGTCCATCAGCCCCTCGGGGTAAGTCAAAATCAATATAGGCATATCATCAAGCAGTCATCCTTCCCTCATGTCCAAAGGAGGTTTAACAAATAATGCTCAAAAATTTATTTTTCTATATAAACTATAGCAAACTTTATCCCCTCCCCACAAGGGAATGTGACACCCTGGGGCCATGAATAATTCAATTTCACAAATTTGGTAAACCATCTTTAGACACTTCCCTCCATGAAGAGCATTTGATACTACCATATTTGGGTGTTGAGAAGATTTTTGAAATCTGAGTCAATTTGACCCCTTTGGCCTGGAGGTTGGGGAAGCATATAATTAATTATTTTAATTCATTTTCACAGAGAAGATGTTGTTGGTTTTAAAACAATTTTCTGCAAATTCTAATAAATCATTTTTTTTATACATGCTACTACACTAGTATCATTAATGTATTTTCCGGGCTATAAACTGCATCCGAGTATAAACCACAGGGCTGCTTTTTAGCGGTTTGATCCACATATAAGACACACAAGGATATAAGCCTCACCCTTTCTTAGGATGCTGTAACTACTGCTTACCAAAGTTCTTTGATATAAGAGACAACCAAAGGCAATTTACTTTGATTGTCAGTGAAGCATTTAACATAAGTTTGCAAATTAATTTTAGTAATTGTCTTCGCACAAATATAGGGCCTGACATTATGTACGGTTTACTTAACAATAACATCATCAGTGTCTGTACTGTTAAGTATTAGCAAGGGCCCTTGCACGCTGACAAAATTCTGATACTCCCATATTTTTCCTTGTAAGTTACACAAAGCCATTCTTATTGTAAACAAGCATGGTGCTTGTTCTAGGATTTGACCAGATGACCTATTGCCCCCAGGATGAAACAGGCTATTGCTATGGCTTCCAAAGAAACAACTAAAGTTCAGAAGATATTAATGTAAATAATGTTACAAGGTATGATTAATTAAATCCACAAGCATGTGAAAGACAGATACTCATAAAAAACAAGAGATCCCAGAGGAATCTTGGTGCCCAACAATGTTTGATCTGTACATGCTCTTTGAAAGTTGGATCTTTTCACTTCTTTTCTCTTCTCTTGTTTTTGATCCTAATGATAAGACATTTGAACACTCCTTTGCAGAAATAAATGATAATTTTTACCTACTAAATCAAAAATGGCCACCTGCAAAATGGCCACCTGCAAGCCCAAAATCAAATGAGCACAAGGAAAGACGAAAGGTAACATATTTATAAAATTTAAGAGATATCCATTCAGTCCCAAACTCAAATAGGCACAACTGGGGACCTTGAAAACCCTATACAAGAAATTTGAGAAAAATCCATACAGTTGTTCACAAGAAATAGCAATAAAAAACTTGCAAAGTCAAAATCCAAGATGGCTGGCTGTTGGCCATTTTGTTTTTCTGATTTGATCCAAAATCGACCTAAGGAACCTACATATGTAATTTAAGTGATCCATCTAGTACTTCTCAAGAAATAGCGATAACAAACTTTCCTACTTAAAATACAAATTGGAGGCCTGTCAGCCATTTAATTTTGTTTTTAATCAGACCCAAAATCAAACAGGCACAACTAAGGACCAAGGGAAACCTACAAATGAAATTTAAGAAAGATCCATCCAGTACTTCTCAAGATATATTGAAAGTGATTTTCTATACATAAAATACTTCCTTTGAGGAAACCCTGAATGAAGCTTGAAAGCATCTGGACCCCAAAAATAGAGATCATGTGCAGAATAAAACATACAGACATACAACCTGCTTGCTATATATAGGACACCCACATCTTCGATAAGGGACCTGCCTCATTGATATGAGGCTCTAATAAGCATGTACTAATCAACACATACTGTTGAATTCATGGGAATGTTGATGACAAAGGCCATTCATTCTAGACATGAAACTGCAAAGGTTTAAATTCTACAGAATTTGAGGATACAAGATGCATCACACGTCAATTTGTTAGACCTAGACAATTGAATTTTCAGTGTTGTAAAATCACATTGATAAATTATATTGAAAACACATGAAATACTTTATTAAGACTAAAAACAGACCAAATAGCTCCAGAATGAAAGTATGGTTTGAATAATTGAACAAAGTGTGCAGTATCTACACTTGATAATATCTTGAAGTTGCTTACTCAAATCACGTACTCGCTTAGATTTTGTGTAATTCAAAAGAATGTTACTCACTTTTACAGGGCACTGACAAGACACCCCAGAAAAGACCATCCTCAGCTCCACTGAGTCAAAATCAAGATCCTGTGGACCGAAACCTTCCACAACGATCACAAACACCTGACCCACATATCAACCGATCTCAACAGGTAACTTCAACTTACTTTGTTCAATAGTATTCTATAGGGAATATTTAGCTCTTTCTTTCTTACTTTCTACTCTTTTGTGTCCCTCTTGAAACCTATCCTCATATGACCCTGCTTGTTACAAAGACACAAAATCCCATAAAATCTTCCATCTAATGTCAGTTTACAATATTTTCTAACATCTAATGCTGTGTATCAAATAACTCTGTTATTATAGCTTCCTTGTTGCTATATTCCTTGCTCTTTGATGTACCAAATAAAGATTCCTTAAACTTTCTTGACAAAAATCTATTTTGGCTAGCATTGTACAGTGCTTACTATCCAGACAGAGTTAATTGGTATGTAAAATCTCCAAAGTCAGAGCCACAATCTGTTCCATATAGCCATAGACCAATGATTTCAAAATCCAAATACTTTTGTTTGGACCTCATAAGATTTGATTATCAGGAACTGTACAGTAACAGTATAGAAAAACATGTTAAAAATGTCACTTTTCAAACATGTTAAAATATTTATTAGCCTTTACCTTTAACAATGGTATATCGCCAAAATCCAGCCATTCACTGACTTCTTCCTCCGATGTCAGGATGGCCTTTAATGAAAAAAATCATATACAATTTAACGTTTGATGCCTTAAAACAAGTGAAAATCATGTCAAATCTGCCCTGCATCTTTAGATGAAATCCTGTGAGAATTGTATGACAGTGTCTTGCCCAATGTGTTAAAAATAATACAAATGTTTCATAATACTTGCAGATGTAATTTTATAACAAATATGATTATTTGTTCATGCCCTTGACTGGTATCAAACTCAGCATTTCTTATCTAATGGTCTAAAAAATAAACTCAAGACATATTTCTTCCTACCCAAGTCAGTAAGACTTAGCTAGTTTACAAGGACAACATACATCCCCTCTAGGAATTGTATTCAGGGTCTTCAGAGGGACCAATGATACTTGTGGAGGAACAACAAGTATTGTGTCCTTATAGAGCTGCCATTGTAAAAAATATCATCTTTACAGGAATGAGATGTCACATCTCTGTTTTTCTGTAAAGGCTAATTTACCAACTGAGCCATCTGACATGGCTAATTTACCAACTGAGCCATCTGTCATGGCTAATTTACCAACTGAGCTTTCTGTCAAGGCTAATCTACCAACTGAGCAGATGAGAAATTCTCTTTTCTCTAAACCTGGGCTGTACACTTGGGCAAGATTGAATGGTGTGAAAGTTGGTCAACTTGCCAGGTTCAAGTGATGGAAATTTCACTTTGGCCTACTGGAATGACCTTACGTACAATGTGACAATGTAATGAACAAAGACTGAATATGATCGAGAATCTACTGAGGAAATTCTCAGATCAGGTGGAAGTATACTGTTATACTTAACTATAAGGGGAATTTACCATGTCCCATGATCATTACCACATATCCCCACATATTCATGTCGACAGGTGCATGGACTTTGTCTGTGACCTGCTCATCATACTTACCGGCATTCTGTGATGGAGCCAGTCCATGGCAGCTGAGGCAGCAACAGTTATGACACTATATGTGTACAAAGGTGGCGCCCCCTACAATACAAAATGATATCACTATCCTGACTACTTTTAATATAAGTTGTTTGAAGTATTATAATGCTTAATTGAAAGAAAAACTACTGGAACAAATAGGGACGAGGGCAGTTTCAGAGGTCCTGCTACAGTTGTCTGAAACTAAAGGCTAATGTTTGTTAGGTTTTCAGAATTCATTCATAAAGCAAGATCTGTGTATGCACATATGGTCGGAAACATTATGATATTCAGTAAAAGTGAAAAAGAATACATCTTAAAGTTGGTTCATAGTTTTATATTGGACAGAAAATTCCAAAACTGCATTTTGGTCTCTGTTGGTCATACTTCCCACATCTGGTACCTGTGTGTTCATCGTGAAATAATTTCATATCACCTGGATCATGATTACATGCAGGCTATGACACTGCACTTCACAAATATTAATATCAATAATATGTATAAATCCTTAATCGTGCTATAACTTAATGTAACAGAATATTATGTACCAGTAAGAACCAACAGCTGAATTAGAACATTTGTACTTACATCAGGTGGCGACCAGATATCAAAAACACCTGCCATTGTAAGTAGTCGCTTGGTGCTAGGGACATTTTTACCTGGAGAAAAAAACACAAAGTGATTTTAATGGTTGCAATTGTAACAAAATTTAATCACTTGGTACCTACACAGCAGCAGAACTCAAATGATACAAACAATAGGCCATGGGCCTTAACGGTCATCTGACTATAAAGACCTATATTTTAAAGAGGCCAAATAGGCCTAAAATAAATTGCTACACTAATTTACAACTTACGAAGAAGACATTGTTGGTTCATAAAAACATTTTCTCCAAACTTGAAATCATATTCTTAATACATGGTACTACACAAGTGCCATTACTCCAACCTATTGCTAGTTGAAAAAGAACTTTTAAGATCTCACCTCACATAACAAGAGATATAGGTCAAGGTCAATTATTTAAACAAATTGATAACTATTGTTACTAAGTTTGACCTCTGTGACCTTGACCCACTGTATATTTATATTTACAAATTGGGTAGTTCTACACACTAGCATACTACAGGCCTAATATCAGCACCCTGGGCCTCTTGCTTATTGAGAAGAAGTTGTTTAAAGATTTTAACATATTTGACCTCTTTACCCTTGAAAGTGGTTAAAGGTCATTAATATTAATAAACATGGTAGCCCTTTATCCCATCATGCTTCAGGCATAATATTAGAACTCTAGGCCTTTCTGTTATATAAAAAAAAGTTGAAAGGACATCAGAATTATTTGGGTTACCTGATAAGCATAAACCATCATGGGTAGAGAGCATCGCACTACGCAATCTGAGACCTTCACCTTAGGTTATGTAGGCCAGTGCTTTAGCAGCCCCTTCTACATGGAGGTATGTGAAGGGTCTAACTGTGGGAAGAAACATGGAAAAACCCACTCGATCAGGCAGCCTGATCCAATACCTTCTCATGTTTTATTGGGTAATCAACCTCTATGAACTGAGATGAATGACAAGAGCACAATAACCATGCCACCAGACCACCAAGTTAGTATTAGAGTTAATTATTGAGATCAACTATTGGATGACCACCAAGTTAGTATTAGAGTTAATTATTGAGATCAACTATTGGATGACCACCAAGTTAGTATTAGAGTTAATTATTGAGATCAACTATTGGATGACCACCAAGTTAGTATTAGAGTTAATTATTGAGATCAACTGTTGGAGATGAGAGGCATACAGTGAACTACCTGTGCACTTATTTCCCTGCTCAAGGTTAATGCCCTGAAATGTTTTATCTCCAGCATCTCTTCCATCACTGTGACCATGAAAGTCAGAAAATAATTCGGACTCCAAACTCACATTCTGCAGAATGTCTTTAGGTTCTACTTTTATTTCTTTTTTTTCTGTTTCAAGTGTTTGTCTTGTATCCTTAAAGTCTTGATCACACTTATCCTCCACTGGCCAATCACTTGAATTTGAAACTAAGTCTGGCTCCTTCTTAACATTTAGCCAATCAGAATCTTCCATTTTCACTTCCTGTTTGATGTCACTGATACTTTCTTTTTGTGTACACAATGATGATGATTGTGGGAAATAAATGAAATATGGTTGCTTTTCGTCTTTGTCTCTCTTCCATTCAAAGAACCTGAAAGAAAAAAAATAACAATAATAATCACAATTCTACCATATGACCAGTTTGATATATAGTCACTCCTCTTCAAATGAACCTGCTTGCCATTACCAGGAGAATATTTCTCTTCTAAAAGTTTATTATATACAAATTCTAAAATTATGTTTCTTCGTTTACTACACAAATGACCTATGTTAAAGCATATCACCTTTAGTTTACTTTTTTTGTGATGATTATGTGTTTCAGTATTACTTGGATCACCAACAGTCACCCATTTTTTATCATAAAGTTTGGACAATAGGGAAAAAAGACTTCTCTGAAAAACCAGTAAGTTTGAGAAATGCCTTTAATGTTTTAACTGATTTCTATTTACTGTTGATCTCAGCAACCTTGTTACATATTTTTAAAATGAACTTTATTTATTTTACAATAATAACGAAAAACAAATTGCAGTTTACACACATCAATTCTTGTTGGCCAGGATGGGAAAACACGAGGGGTCTAAATGTAGGAGGAACTGGATTACCTGGGTAAAACCCACATTGTAGGTGACCCCATATTTTCATATAATTGATGTGTCAGAGTGTAAATGCCATATATCTGATTACGTGTAAAAAATGTAATATGTTGGACAAACGTCCACTACTATTAATACCAGTGGTGGGACATTTCACATCACTGTATCACAATATTCATGACGTTACAGTCACAGACTGTTATCTAACGTCTTCAACACAAACGTCGCCGTACGAAAGAAAGCTGGATTAGAACATTAGGAACTTCTCAACCAGCAGGTTTGAACATTATAGCATAATAGCTAAAACAAAAAATCACTAAGGTGAAGACCAGGACTCTCATCCCGTGCATCAGGTGGAGGAAAACATATTCTCACCTAGGAAGCCTGAAAAGACATGCGAATATGGTCCATGGATCTACAAAAACTCGGAACAAATGCAAAATATGCAAACGGTCCTACGGATGCATACAAATGTACAAATGGCACCTACAGCAACAACACCCCGGGTACAATGTAGAGCCGGAAGTCTCCGAGGACACTACGAAACAGGAAGCCCGTAAGCAAGGTAGCAAATGTCCTTTCGAAGTACAAACAAAAACAAAGCTGGATCAAGTAAAATTCCGCACTAAATCCGCCACTGTAGGTCCGTCAGGAATTTTGAGTCATTGTTATTTGAACTATACTCATAACGTCATAAGTAACAATGTACAGACCACCACATTTTTAGTACTTAAGGGACATGGAACCTACTCTAACTTTACTAGAAGTACGGCGTTGGCTCTACACCCTTTTTGATATTATCCAGAAAGTTTAAAAAAACAAGAGGCCCAGAGGGCCTGTATCGCTCATCTGGATCTTTATGACCAACAGTACTATATCTGTGCATATGTTCCATGTTTAACACATTTGTCCTTGGACTCTTGGACTTCATAAAAGGAACATACTGGCCAAATATAATGACTATAGGCTTTTCAATATTTCAGAAGAAATTGTTTAAACATTTTAACACATTTGACCCCTGTGACCTTGAAGATTGGTCAAGGTCATTTCTTTTAGCAAACTTTGTAGGACACCATAAGAGGAACATAGTAGCCTAATATAATGATTCTATGCCTTTCGGTATTTGGGGAGAAGTCATTTGACCTCTGTGACCTTGAATATAGGTCAAGGTTATTTCTTTTTGCAAACTTTGTTGGACTTCATCAAAGGAATCTTCCAGCCACATATAATGATTCTAGGCCTCTCAGTATTTTGGAAGAAGTTGCTTAAATTTTTTAACAAATTTGACCTCTGTGACCTTGAATATGGGTAAAGGTCTTTTCTTTTCAAAAATTTTGTTAAGCTTCATCAAAGGAACCTTCCAGCCATATATAATGATTCTAGGCCTCCCTGAATTTTGGAAGAAGTTGTTTAAAGGTTTTACCATATTTGACCTCTGTGACCTTGAATATGGGTCAAGGCCATTTCTTTTTGCACACTTTGTTGGGCTTCATCAAAGGTACCTTCCCGCCAAATATGATAACTCTACACCTTTCGGTGAAAAGTTGATGGAGGCAGGATGGACGGTCCGACGGACGGACGACGGACGCCACGCTATGGCATAACCTCACTTCGCCCTTTGGGCCAGGTTAGCTTATGAAAGTGTTCTTTCAATGTTATAACATATATGTGTTAAACTTTCCAGAAATAAAAAATTTAATGTAGCACAAACAACACAAACATTTCGAATAAGTGATCCCAATTCTTTTAATTCCAAGAGAATACTCTTACCCATCAGCTAACACCACACATCGTCTGCCTTTTTCCAGAGGTACCTTGTAGGTTCGTTTCTCCAGCATACCTTCTGCTCGGCAGTTGTTAGTTTCGTAACTGACTTTTTTAGGATCACCCTTGTGCCAGGAAGGAACCATGCCCCACATCATTGGCTGAATGACACGGTCAGACAAGCCCTCCAACTCCCCTAAGTAGTGTCTACTTGACAGTAAGACAGGCCTACAGCATGATAATCATATTCAGTTTCAAGGGATGATTTACTTAAACAAGACAAGTTGAATGGAAGAGAGTGTATTCAAACTGTCAGGTCAAACAATTCAGTATTTGGTTACTTATAGTGTAGGGATTTCAACCCAGTCCACAATATGACACAGGGAGAAATTCCCTAGAGATTAGATCCTAGACTGATTGTTATAGCATGATCCTTCTTGTCTCTTCAAATCCAGTCACAATTGCATATTATAGGGTAGAAATCTTGATTATATCCACATTTGAAAATAGGTCAAGGTAATTCATGTGACCACTTTTGTTCTGAAATACACAATAGTTCTTTTGTACATTGATATATCAATTCAAATTTGTAAGTTAGGCCCAAACAGCACAAGAATTTGACCTTCGACTTTTTGAAAACACTAGCTTCTACAGATGATTAATATAAAATTTCAGAGCAACACTGACCCATATTTTTCATTTCTTTATGTAATGCTATTTGAATATCCATATATTGGTATTACATCTGTGAGACCTAGAATGTAGGCCAAAGTTATTCCTATGTGGAACTTCACAGCTATCAGATTTTAGTAGCCTACTTTGGAAGACTCTTAAAACTTCTAAACAGATGATAAAATTTAATCCATGTTAATTTTTGTTCTCCTTGACCTTTGACCTAGCATGATAATCTGAATAAAGATTTGCACATTTGCGACATTGTATGACAGATAGTATTGTACTTGAGCTTGATTTGTGTGAGAGCCTGGAGAGACATGGCATGAGGGATAGTATTGTAATCAATCTTGACTTTTGTGTGAGAGCCTGGAGAGACATGGCATGAGGGATAGTATTGTAATCAATCTTGAGTTTTGTGGGAGAGCCTGGAGACATTGTATGAGGGATAGTATTGTAATCAAGCTTGATTTGTGTGTGAGAGCCTGGAGAGACATTGTATAAGGGAGAGACATTGTATAAGGGATAGTATTGTAATCAAGCTGGACTTTTGTGTGAGAGCCTGGAGAGACATGGTATGAGGGATAGTATTGTAATCAAGCTTCGACTTTTGTGTGAGAGCCTGGAGAGACATTGTATGAGGGATAGTATTGTAATCAAGCTTGACTTTAGTGTGAGAGCCTGAAGAGACATCGATGACAGATAGTATTGAAATTAAGCTTGATTTGTGTGTGAGAGCCTGGAGACATTGTATGAGGGATAGTATTGTAATCAAGCTTGATTTGTGTGTGAGAGCCTGGAGAGACATTGTATGACAGATAGTATTGAAATCAAGCTTGATGTGTGTGTGAGAGCCTGGAGAGACATTGTATAAGGGTTAGTATTATACTCAAGCTTGACTTTTGTGTGAGAGCCTGGAGAGACATGGTATGACAGATAGTATTGTAATCAATCTTGACTTTTGTGTGAGAGCCTGGAGAGACATGGTATGACAGATAGTATTGAAATCAAGCTTGATGTGTGTGTGAGAGCCTGGAGAGACATGGTATGACAGATAGTATTGAAATCAAGCTTGATGTGTGTGTGAGAGCCTGGAGAGACATGGTATGACAGATAGTATTGAAATCAAGCTTGATGTGTGTGTGAGAGCCTGGAGAGACATTGTACTAGGAATAGTATTGTACTCAAGCTGGACTTTTGTGTGAGAGCCTGGAGAGACATGGTATGACAGATAGTATTGTAATCAAGCTTGATTTGTGTGTGTGTGAGCCTGGAGAGACATGGTATGACAGATAGTATTGTAATAAAGCTTGAATTTTGTGTGAGAGCCTGGAGAGACATGGCATGAGGGATAGTATTGTAATCAATCTTGACTTTTGTGTGAGAGCCTGGAGAGACATGGTATGAGGGATAGTATTGTAATCAAGCTTGATTTGTGTGTGAGAGCCTGGAGAGACATGGTATGAGGGATAGTATTGTATTTAAGCTTGACTTTTGTAAGAGAACCTGGAGAGACATTGTACGAGGGATAGTATTGTATTTAAGCTTAACTTACGTAGGAGAGGTTGAGAGACTTTTTTATGAGGAATATTATCATTTTCAAGCTTAACTTACGTGTGAGAGCCTGGAGAGACATTATATGAGGGAAAGTATTGCTGGCCTCCGGGAGGATCCCTCCACAATGGTTTCTGTGTTGTTCCTTTCTTATCATGAAAGTTGCAGGCTTGGCATACATCATCTGGCGCCAAAGTGCTAAATATGCAAGAAGAAAAAAAATTTCGTTGAAAATGAGGGAGAGGACTGGAAAAAAAAACTCAAGGCGCAACAACATGGGCAAATACATACCTCATATAATTTTTGTGCTTTACTTATAATGCTATATAACCACTTTTCTGAAACAACATTTTTCTCATGAAAATTAACTTGATAATATCAAAATTTTCTTTTGCTTTGAAAGGGACATATGCTCAATGCTTGCAGAACAATGAAGACATTTCTATCAATTGGAACAGAAATTTTCTATTTTTGTTTTTTTATTCAGTTTCACATTAAAATTTACAAAAAGCAAGGTTACCTTACAATTTTGTTGTTTTTATATACAGAGTTAACTGCAAATATTGATCTCTAATTGCAATTATTTCAACATATTCCCCAAATTATGATCGAAATAACATTTTACCATTTCTAACAACTGTATCTCATGTGATTGAAATTTCAGAAAAACCTATTCAAGGAATGATGAATTTTGGAGACTGACTCTACTCTAAGTCTTTGGGTACATGAATCTGGTTTACTGGTGTGGCAATGGTATTGTGCAGCATTGTGAAATAAATGGGATCAAAATAGCTTTCTGATAAAATTATTATCCCCACTACATCCCCACCCCCTGCTATTGTTTAAGTGAAACCTGTTTCTCCTCTTCATTATTATCAGTTCCTTCTTTACCATGGCCTTCACTTTACTACACTGGTAATGGACCAATGGGTTTTTCACTCATATTACACAATCTTAACTTAATCAACTATCTTAATTCTGAACATTTTATGAATCACTGTAATATCAAATAACAGAATGTTTTAAATTTGGTTTTTCTCCAAAACTTTCAATTTTCTGGTTTTGTATTTTTTGGACTTATGCTTTCTCTATGGGACTCACTCAAGTTTTGAGAACACACTAAGTCTGTTATTGGGACTCACTCAAGTTTTGAGAACACACTAAGTCTGTTATGGTACTTTTCATGTATATGCAAACATGTATATAATGTGTCATATATGTCTCTGATATAAGGAGGAATGAATTATATGCCCCAGGTTAAATGCTATATAATAAAAAAACAACGACCCATATCTCATTATGAATGATGTCAAAACATAGACAGAAAAAAGATCTTTCAGTTCATGAGAATTTCACTTATAATTTGAAATAAGCATGTAGATGTTGCTGGCTTATACTGTTGCCTTCCTTGCTATCTGTATCAGCAAGCATATATAGACAGGGTACATGGTAAGGAATCAGCATATAGTCACAGGTCTTAGTCTAACTACTATCAGTCTGAATCAGACACCTAACATATGAGTCCCTGCCTGAGCTGACCCACTGATGTAGATAGTTCTGCTGGACAGACACTGGGGAGCATAAGAAGCTGCTGTAAAAAGATACACAGAGAAAGCATGTGCTCCTGAGGTGATATCTCAGGTAAACATCCAGCCCAAGTAACAGTACCTCACCTACTGATCAACCTAAATGACACAACAGGTTTGAGAATTGCATGTGTACAACTTCATTCTATTCTCCATTATATCTTGATTGGCATGCATTGTATATTCTGGCAATATTGAATATTTTACAAATATTACTCTTTCTGTTTCTGACAAAATTCTGTAACAAGATTACACTGAAAAATTAATTAAGACAACAAGTAAATCAGGACATACCAGATTTCAGCATTTATAATCACAAAGACTGTAAAAAATACATTTAGAAAAAACATTCCATTCTCACAATTCCAAGTCATAATAACCCATATACAGACAAACTTCTCCAGACTAAGCATTAGATCTATACTTAGGACTATGTCTAAACCAAAGATTTATGTCATGACTTTCCCAAACTATGTCAGTATCACAGAGAACTTTTCTAATGGTTATATTGAGGGGAACTACATTGTTCATCAGTAGACATATATTTGTGTAAATGTGATGTTATGTGCATGTTTTATAAATTAACACTGAAAGAAATTTTCCCACATTTTAAGTTGGTCGATACTGTAAACCATTACTCTCTTTTGGTTAATCCCTCTTTATATAACATTATCTGACTATCAAATTCTATTTCATTTTCTGTTGCCACCGAGTGAAATTGGTTTCTGGGTTGAACCAGTTGATTTTCTATTAACCAGTATACCACAAGGGTGACCTTTGCTTTTACATAAGGGTCTCTGGAACATGATGTCTTAAGTACATGTAAACTCATAATTGATCTTTGTAGAAATTTTGACCAAAACCTATCAAAAAATGAAGTTGCTGGGTGCTTACATTGAATCGCGACGTGACAGGATGGGATGGACATGGGCAATGTTATATGCCATATACGCTATAATAATAGTAGCCATTCACAGGACAGGCAGTAGTTTCTTGCACAAACGTGTTCTAATAATTCCCGACAGATTTTCAAAGGTTTAATAGGAAGCAAAAACCATTCATAAAGCTGAAATATATTTACTTTAGAATTTTTCAACATAAATGTAAGGATTGATATAGAACTACAACTTTTAGACAATGAATATGTTCTTAGCAACTAAGATTATGAAAGATGACAAGACTGATGCACCAGCCAAGCTTGAAACACCAGCTGAATCCAGAGTTCAATCTGTTTTACCTTGTCGTGATCAAATTTGATTGTAAGCCATGTATATCCCATTGAATTATACGTTGTCATTCTTGAAAATTAAAGCATTTCCTTACAATTTCATCCTTAATACACACAATAATACATCAGTCACAGGTAAATATTTATGTATCTTCATCTAGTTTTCATTCTAATATTTAGGGCTGTACTTGTGCACAAAAACTATTGGATCACATGTAGCTTTTTCAGGCAAACTAATGGCAATTTACAAAAAAGGCAGGAGCAATTGACAAATATCAGTGCCAACCAATTTTCTTGTTTTAATCGAAATAAAACCCAAGAGTACCATGTATCGAAATAAGCCCAAAGATATCATTTGATAATGGAATCCAATACAGATTCTAGTCACATTTTATATAGGTAGGTTGTAGACTGGATCATCAGTCATAAATATATTGTTTTATGCAAAAGTGTTTCTTACATGCCAGTATTGTAAAGTATAGATTAATATGGCAGTACAAATAATATGATTCAATTATTTCCAGAGACGTATTTATCACATGTGATATATACGTCTCTGATTATTTCACATATTGAAACTTCAGATGTCAATGCAAACACAAGTATGAGGTGTTCAAGCATTTATTATTATTTCATATATCAAAAAATAGTAAAATGACACCTCATTGACAGATAGACACTCTCTTATAAACAATATATTTCTTACAGCATTCATAATAAATATTTTGATAACATCAAGGACTTGGCCTTTAAATAGCAGGTCCGATTTTACGATAGGACCATTTATGCAGTGATGCCGTTTATCAGCTTTTATTTTGATTGGAAAATAATAGAACATTAATGTTGCTAGTGACGTGCATGTGACCAATCGTCAAGTATATGTTAACCAGTAAATGTCTTTGATTCTTTTCAATGGATTAATGCAAAGTTATCTAAAAATATAGTTCGATATTCCCATAACGTTAGTACCTGCTCCGGAAGTTATGACTAACGGCAGGCCGACTCATCATCTAGCCCACCCGACCGAACAGTGACAATCGACCCCGCCCCTAAACAATATGCATGCGTAGATTTACTAACAAACCAGAAAACTGACCAGGCAGTCCGCCCACACATTGTTATAGAAATCGGAGAACTGTGGATTGTTGACACGGGTTGCCGTTTGTTATTGTCCAGTTGAATACACGTGTGCGTATAAAACACATGTGTTTTTCCCGCCGTTTACTCCAGAATGTTATAATTGACCTATTTTTTGCAAAGAGATTCTCACAACGAACTTTATTTCATTAAAAAGCATAAGCAATTTTTCCTCATAGTGAAATTAAGAAATTAAGAAGTTATTATGCTATCCATTGTTAAAAGGCAAGGACGTTTTCTTGTCACATGTTAAAGTTTTGGTTAGATCTTCGGTAGCCGAACATGCCTGAAAGAAGTGTTTTGATTGGATTAATGAATGAATTGACCTCATCACGTGACCCTACATGTCAGTTTGCCGTAATGGTGTCAAAGAGAATGTCGCCACACTCCGGAACGTAAACAGTGTGAAAAGTTATTTTTCGTTGGCTTTTCGGCCGAGTAATATCTGACAGATTGAAAAAGACTTGCTATGTACTTCCCCCAAAAATATAAAGGAACCGAGAAGTGACTATTAGTACGCATATTTAGTATTTCCGTGTTGGGAGATTGACAAACATGGCGGCCGAACCAGGCACCTCCTACTACTATCAGGTAAAAGGAACCATGTCCTAAACGACATACCGCCGGTATTGTATTTAAAACATAACGATACTCTGTATATGCTAGATTTTGAAAGGATGCCTTCATACTGATATTCCTAGCTTTGTAAACATATGCTTGCTGACATCTATTTTGGACAACACCTAAAATGTTTTTTTAAACCCGACCCCTCCTCTTCCATTTGTCTTCTGTCTTGGCAATATTACACGAGAACGTTTATTTGTCTAGAAGCTTACACACTCCTTATATATTGTGTTGCTGCTTATCTTGAGAGAAAACAATGATATGCCGATATATTCATATAAATGCTTAATAATGTCAACCAAAACTAGAAATCAGAAGTAGCAGCATACTGTACAGAAGGCATTGGTTTAGAATGTTGAAGGCTGAAAATGGCCAGTAATTATGAAGATATGTGTATTATTCATCCATGGTATTATATCTTGTAAATGGTATACTATTATAATTTCATTAGTTAAGTTCATGTAAGATAGCAATATTGGGAACTGTTGTAGTCCATCATCAGTTCATTTCAAGTTCTAGAATTAATAACTAGATAATGGTATTTAACATCATCTGTCTTGAGTGTGGACAATAAATATTGTATGTATGTGAGAGTGTTTCAAATGTCAGTCGCTCAGTTAATGTGAAAGTGCATGGTGATAAAGATAGTGCGTAATTAACAGACTAATTTTCCTCACCAATGGAAGGTGGATTTTCCTCAAATATCTATATAATCACATTTGTTTGCTAACCATCATTGTAACAGCTCTACAAAGCTTGTGTTGATTTATGAACTTGTAAACATTGTGAAATAAAGGCTGATTTTATTGCGTTGCTGATGGAATTAAATGGTTTGAAGAAAAATATATTTTTTATTAGTTTAATTAAAGATTTTGTTCATATATATTTGGTAATTTGACCTAGGCATTGTATGCTTTGACATCCCTTCATACTTGTAAATTTTTGCACAGGGAGGTGCCATTGGTATAGGACAGAGGTATGGCTTTGAACCCAATCTTCCAGAGGCAGAGATTCAACTAAGGTTGGAAGACCTTCGTGAACAGCTGAAGAAGGAAATTCGTAAAGAAATGAAAATAAAAGAAGGGGCAGAAAAACTACGAGAGGCAACAAGTGACAAGAAAAGCCTGTCAGATGTCCAAATAATTGTCAAGAAGTCCAACAATAAAATGAAGGAGCTTCAGCAGGAGCTTCAAGAGTTGGATTTGTACTTACTTATCTGCAACCCTGGCAGCATTCGGCATCGAGACAACACAATGGGTAAAATATGACTTCATCTATCAAAATTAATGTCAATCTATCTTGCCTTCTTTTATGAATTGAAGGAAGATTTATGGTATATATTTATGAGACTATTGTATACTCATTACTACTGTAAACAACATTGATGGAAAGCTTCTTAAAGTGCATTTAATTGCTTGAAGAGCTATGTGAAACTACATTCATATGTACAAGTGGCACTGTATTATTAGTGTAGATAGTTCAAAACTTTGATAATAGCGGTAGGGTTTCAGATTTGATTTGAGAGTACCATGATCAGAAATATATAAGTATCGTAACGGCCTTGGAATGAGGTGTTTGAAATATTATAAATATATGTATTAAATATCAATAATGAAGTCATGCTACCAATCACAAAAATAAATCTGCTTGATGCTTGTAATGGCATATAAATCAAACCCTTTCTAAAATTTACTCTGTACTGAGAGGGAAGAGAAAATCTTGACATTTTCGTAGTAGTATTCAATTTGCTATAGATGTAAAGTAGCTTTAAGGATGTTGAAATTGGATGAAGGTTAAATCTGGATATCCCAGCTAGATATTATTTTTTCATTTTAAGTTGAAAATTTATATAGAGGCCATGATCAAGAGACTAAAACTTAATCACTTCAATCAGCATCAGGATATTTTTCAGTTAACATTGAAAATATTTTTCCAAAAGTAAATGAAATGTTTATAACAAAGAACTTTTTACAATACCAAAGAAATGAAATACAAAAACTGGAATTTTCACTGGTCGATTAGGTTGTTCTAGTGAAGTAAACCTGGTACATCAGGGAAGTTCACATGGTCTTCATATCTATGAAGATTGAAAATACAAGTCTTTTCATATTTTCGTGGCTCAGGTTGTTAGATGGACACGGCAAAGTAATGTAGGGATATCTGGAGGAAGATGAGGACAGAAATCAAGTTTACTTCTATTCCATTATCACTTCAGCAGCTCTATATTAAACATGGGAATCTTTTAATGCTATTTCCCTGGGGAAAGATATGTGTTGGGAGATAGGGAAGTGTGGAAATTAACGGAGGAAGCAGGCATTATGGTATTGATTTAGACTAGGGCAATAGGCTATACCAGTTGTCTGAGGTGAACGGACTCGGCAGAATGTATACTGAAATACTTAAAATGTTTTGATGATATGTTATGACTAATTTTTTAATCAAATTCTATAATTTAAGATTTGATAAGATTTTTTCATCATAGTTAATCATAGCAGTCACAAAATGGAATCTTACAGCTGGGAAGCTGTATAACATGTGTACATTATTTATGTATTGGAAATAATTCCAGGTATTGCTCACTCAGCAAAATATAGATGTTTTTGTAGGTAGTGAGTTAGGAGGAAGCTAATTATCTCTCTAGATTGTGTAGTTAGTATAAAAAGGAAACAGATACTTGGTGTTCAAATAACATTTTAGTACCCCCTTGAAACAGACACAGATCTAGATAGAGTACTTGTACTTAATAGGAAGTGTGATCAGAAACACTTATTTTTGTGAGTCACACAGATTTATGTTCCAGAAAGATAGACAAAAATTTATCTCTATCCAACAATACATCAGTAGCTTTAATTTGATGTCTTGACTTGATCTGGATTTAATTTAGTTGGAAAACTTTCCACAGCAACAAATTTGAAAATTATAAAGTATCTTGAATGAAGACTGCAATAGTCATTATCCCATAGACAAATGATTCATTACCCAATGCTGCATTCCAGTGCACCTTCTGTTTTACACAATTGACATTTAAAAAAAAAATGCTCTTTTAATGCCTTAAGACTTAAGGTGTTCAAATTCTACAGATTTCAAGTTACATGTATGATCAGTGAAAAACCATTAGAGTTGAGAGCAATGGGCCAATTTCAGCAATTTTTAGTCAGTGTGTGAAACAAGGTTGGTCGTCCCATGTGGGACTAAGAGTAGAGGTGTAAGTTTCTGATGTGAGGATAGGGACCTTCTAGAAGTATTCTTAGGTACTTTTCTAATTTTAAGTATGATGACCAAAACACCATGTATTGCTTTGCTTTGTATTAAAATATAATAAGGTGAGCTGCCCTGACCAGATTTAAATCCTAATTATAACTTTTAAAATTGAATACTTTCAGACCATGAATTTGATTAGACAAAGTTAATGATTTTACATATATGCATATCAGATTACTAATGAACGTCAAAGTCAAGGAGAATACTTAGTAATACTGTAGTGATACATAGCAGTACTAATACAGTAGTTGATGTATCTAATGTCACATGGTTATTCAAACACATAAGTCAAGGTCACAGTTTCTTACAGGTTGTAGTTTTAGTTGACATTTTACATAGTCAAAGTGCTCAGAAAGGTCAAAGTTGGTGTGTAGTCAAAATGTATACATGTAAAGGCAAAATGCATTAAGACAAACTGGCCGAAGTTGGAAAGTATATTGAATCATCTGATGAACTCGTTTGTATTTAAAGGACAAGGGGTAATTTATCTTAACAGGTGAACATTGAGTTCATAATTTTGAACCACAGGAATTTTGGTATACATTGCAATTTCATGAATAGCAGACCCATCAAATTAATTCAAAAGAAAAATAATGTGTATTACAGATATTGAAATCTTTATCATTCATTTTTGACTGAGTTGAATAGGTGTAGAAACAATGTTTTTAGATCATAAGTACATGCTTAACATTTAGAAATGTTATTCCTTGGAATCAGTTTAGTCATGTTAAATATCTCACTTTAGTAGTTTGTAGTAAAATGTAAACATAGTTTCGCATATACAAATAAGAATAATCTGTATTTTTGATTGCGCTATGTGCTATTATTAGAATCCTTGAACAATAGAATTGAAATCTATTTGTAAATGCTTGCACTGAATGCTAAAAAAATGTTTGATAATAGTTATCAGTCATATACAGACTATATGTACAAGATAGTATTGTCATGAAGTAGATGCTAGTTATGTCACTTGCCAAAAGCGACATATAGGTATTACTATATGTTGGGGGCTCCATTGTCCGCACAGAGGTTTTTTATGATAACCTGAGTTCACTTTTGCCGATAAAGCACAAATTTCATGAAGTGCTACCTTGCCAAAAGTGCTTGCTTGGGGGAGCTTTTCAAGTCCAAAGTTCAAAGGTCAAGGTCACTGTTACTATAAATCGAAAATTAGTGTTTTTGCAATAACCTCAGTTCCTGTTGGCTAATCAACCTTAAATTTCAAACAGTGCTTCCTTACCAAAGGTGCTTGCTTGGGATAGCTTTTCGGGTTCAAATGTCAAGATCCCTGTTAGAATAAATAGAAAAAAAAATTTTTGCAATAACTTCAGTTTCCATTGGTCGATCCAACTCAAATTTCAAACAGGGCTTCTTACCAAAAGTGTTTGCTTTGGATTGCCTTTCAGGTTCAAAGGGCAAAGGTCAAGGTCAACATACTATAACTATTTTTTAAAAAAAAGATTGCAATAACTAAAGTACCTTTTGTCCCATCAACCTCAAACTTCATATAGTGGGGTTGAAGGCCTAGGACATTTTTTATGCGTTAACTTGAGTTTTCTGTGGACATTATGCTCAAACTTCATGCATTGCTTCCTGCTTCCTTACCTAAGGGGCTTGCTTGAGATTGCTCTTCAGGTTTGAACATCAAAGACCAAGATCATTGTTACTATAAATAGAAAATTTGTATTCATACAATAATCTTACTGACGGTACTTGATTGGGATTGTTTTTCAGGTCAAAGGTCAAGGTCATTGTAGCTGTAAAAAGAAAATTGGTTTTGTGTGATTACTGGAGTTTTCTTTGGACTTTTAGACTCTTAACTTCTTACAATGCTTCTTAACCAAAAGGACTTGTTTGTGATTACTTTTCGAGTGGGTTTGTCCCTGTTCCTACTATATTTGGAGCAAAACAAATTATATAAATGAAATAAATACAATGAATATCTATGACTTTTGTTCCTTAAAACTCATCGTCAGAATCCTTGCTATGCAGAGGACACATTCACTTTCGTGGAATTCTTGTTTTAATTATAAAATATTCTGTATTATGTGTGTGAAGAATTGATTTAGATAAGGCCATCCCATGTGGACATGATCATCCATAATTATGGCATCTCAATGAGTGTATTGAGAATAGGATGGAATCTGTAAATACCACAGCTGACCTGATTGAGTACATTAAATTTACAGAGTAGCCCTCACTATAAAAAATGCTGCAAAGTGATTTTGAAAATACTGGTCATGACCTTTTTTAAGACAACCCAGTTTTGATAGGAAAGGGAATTTTATTTTCTTTACTTGCATTGAAAACATGTGAAGGAATTTTTTCTACATAGACTCGTAACATTTCGAGATGTTCAGACTATGTATATGTTTTGATTTTGACATGTGTAATTGGTGTAGAAATTAAGATGTCATAGGATTGAAGTGTTCTCAAGGAAAACATCAATGATTTCTGGTAGATGTTTGATTCCTGTCAATCACTTATATGATATTTCAAAGTTTAGGACTTTTGGTTTTTATCTCGACTTCGATCTTATGTTTGATGCTGTAAAGTAGTTCATAGGTAAGAGGCATCGATGAAACCCTAATGAATGTGTGAACATCACAGCATTCCAGGAATATTTTGTGTGGGAGACTGGAATCTTGTGTACAGTGTTAAAAACAGGTATTATAGAGTTTTCAGCATATATCCTTGTAATCTCCTGGTGTATAGTAACTCACATCTCTAGTATCTGTAGAGCCTAGAGAAATATCAAAGGAAAGTCGATCGGCATGTTCTCTGTATATAGTGGGAGAAATTAGCACTAGGAAGTATAACCCAAAAAAATTTACAGCAATGAAAATAAAACAAATCTGATCATACTTTTAATATATACATGTATATTTGTGTTCTTGCTGAGTTTTCAAACAAGGTGTTATTTTTGGGAAATAGCTGGATTAATGAAAACTCCTTACTGGTTCAGTGAAGTTGATGATAAATAGCAGAGTATTTAA